CATCTGAATTAACCCCAGCATCATCTCACACTCTTGGTCCTCATAATTTTGGTGCCACGTCGATTGGCCAATCTCTCCCATCAGCGAGGAACTTTCCAATTTCAACATCTCGACCCCAAATCGAGGTTGTTCCGCATACTTTTGGTGCCACGTCACTTGGCAAATCTCTCCAACCTGCCACCCCCTTTCTAATTTCAACATCTCGACCCCAAATCGAGGTTGTTCCGCATACTTTTGGTGCCACGTCACTTGGTCAATCTCTCCAACCTGCCACCCCCTTTCCAATTTCAACATCTCCACCTCAAAACGAGGTTGTTGCTCCTCACCACGATATCATTTTGAGTCCAAGACGCTCACCCCAACCAGAAACTGCTTCTCCTTCATCACCTCTCTCTTCTGACCCCGATAGCTAAAATCCAGTTCCGAGTGCAAATCAACTACCTGCAGCATCCATCCCTGCGACTTTTTATCTCAAAACTAGTATCTTGCCTCCCGCTACTTTCTATCCTCAGCCAAACGCCAGCCCCCAACGTCTTCCATCAACCACCACACTCCACTCCAAACCGCATCTCAAACATCGTACTCTACGAAACCTCCTGCACAACGACTCCGTGCCCATCAACCCCTCAATCCTTATTGGTACCACAACATCTTTTACTCCACCTCCCAGCAGTGGTTGAGACCCTGCCCAAAACAACCTTCCGCTCCTCAACCACCACCATTTTTTCCTTTCATTATTGCATCACCCACTCTTTTCCAAATGGGGACAACTATCAACGACATCACCATCTCTCCAGGATGTTCACCCCCGACAGACACTAACTCTCCTCTTTCTTTCCCACAAGTCTGTCCTAATACGGAGTTGGAATCTTTACCAACCCCCGCGGCACCTCTCCCTGCTAACATTTTTGTGCCACCTCACATTCTACCTTCCTCCCAACCTGTACCTCCACACCATACCAACGCATTCTACCGACCACCTTTCCCTCCCTCGCATATCTCGACCATTGATGGCGACTTCTGCGCCTGCCCACCACACATCTCTCACATCGACAATTTGACGGGGTGGCCCACACCCACTACATCTTCCTACGATGCAGTTTTCGCCCACCTCATTCAAGCCTTAAGGTTTGCTTCCATTCAAGAACGTAATGCACACCCCCCATTCGTCAATCCCCGATCGACCAACGACCCGCACTTTGTCTCTCTCTTAGCCCAACAACTTCCCTTCCAATTACAACAAGGGATTGGTACATCCGACATGAGGCCTCATGTAGTCTCTGCAGGTTCAGATTCTATTCATATGTTAGATGCACCTCGCCCTCGTTCCTCGGGTCAGCACATGACCTTCCCAGATTCCCCACCGACGGGTGGTTTTAGACACAATAACTACCAACAGCGCACCTCACAGGGTAACCGTAACCGTAACCATAGGGGTAGATCTTCGTATTCCATCAACCGTGGTGGCGGTTTCTCTACCCGCCAGAATGTACATAGCCAATTCCAGATCACAGCACCTTCGAATCACTGGCAATCCAGGAATACAGAATTCCGAGGCACACATCACATACAGGATGGTGACGGCCGTAATTTTGGTGGAGGTGGGAGAGTCCATTCTCGACGACGCTATAACCCCAATACTAACCGACCTCGTAGTGAAAATCACTCGTTGTATTCTTCCCCTAACGCACACCCCCGCCAATCACGTTATAACTCACTGCCTATACACACTAACTACAATCCAAATCGCTCCTCCTCACATATCCCAAATACCTGGCGACCAGATCTATTAACTCGACCTAATCTACCTACCAACCTCTCCCGACCACTTTCCAATTCTAACCCTCTACCTTCTTCACCCAGCCAATGCCTCGCCCCCCACACCGCCGGTGGCAACATTCCTTTTCCTCCATGCCCCGATTGCGTCGCCTCACGACACACGAATTTCTCTATCCCACATACTTTTAAACCAGGCAGGGTTTGACCAACCTCTGCCCCTCGGCAACGTTCTCAATTAGATAACCTTGTTACACTAGCTGTATTAATTATATACGTATCACGGCGAACCCAGGATGGTCCCCTTGACTATCCCCGTAATACAATAGTAATAAATAGTAATACTTACCGGTCACCCAGATAGCTGTATTAATTATATACGTATCACGTATATACGTATACACGTATACACGTATATACGTATCACGGCGAACCTAGGATGGTCCCCTTGACTATACCCATTAATACAATAGTAATAAATAGTAATACTTACCGGTCACCCAGATATATATATATATACGCATTAGAAAACCCACCCATAGGATTTACAACAACAAAAATCCACAAGAGAATTCTTTCTCCTGTGTATTTTTTTGCGCTTTTCCATAGGTGATTTTCGATATCTAGGATTACGTAGACATCCCACATTCTTTTGTACCACATAACTATTACTTAGAAGCGAAAACCGGATAGTCTACCATATTATACAGCGGTCGCTCTATGGTCCCCACAACCATTCGCCGCATTAAATATATAAGAGAACTAACGACGCGATAATCATAAATCCACAGGAGAGTTCCTTCTCCTGTGCATTTACGTTGCGTATAGACCTCGATGGGCATCTCCCCTAATGAGTACCCTCACTCCCCTACCTTAAGATTTAACTCTAGTAAGCTCCTCCTGGTCACCTTCGTCTGCACATTTTTTCCAGCATTAGGCAACCTTCGATCTGTCATTCAACCAGTAACGAATTGTCCGCTCAATTACATTAGTTTTCTTTCTTAATCGCTACTACGTACCTCCCCGTCTGTTCACGAACCACGTACGCGACTCAGCAATACGTTTAGTATAACGGTATCTTCTACACCACCTCTATATACTCAATACCTCACCTCACCGGTTGACTCAACACTTTACTCGCCCCCGATGTTATTCTCAATCCATATACCTTGTGGACCAACTGGACCACAATATTACTCTCCTCGCTTCAGGGCTCATCTCCCATGCTGATCACAAACAATTAGCCGTCTCACTTACAACGATCCGACCCCCCGACCACAATCTAGCTCCAACCCTCCTTCTACCGTTTATCGCACACCTGAACCTCACAAAAAAAAAACCTGTTCTCCGCATCGACAGGACTCCTCGGCCAACCTCATATCTACAACGAGGAAGAACGACCTTCATCACATGGACGCCGATACCCTCATTCTCACCTGATTCTCCCTGCTCAAAACCAGTCTCCCTCCTGCCTCCATTGTCCATACTCATCCTGCCGAATATCCAACTCGACCCTTCCTCGGGCCATAACACCCATCACCCACTAACCCATATTCTTCTCCCAGACGACACTCTTCACCTCGCAACCTGCAGTATCGCCCCAGACACTGGCTCCTCCGTCTTGTATCTTCCACCCTGTGACAGTGAACGACGACCAGTTCATCAGGACCACACAACTTCTCTAGAGGAGGATTTCATCCTCCCGTGCCATGGACCACCAAGTCCCAAGTCGCCGAAGTCCACCTTCTCGTCCACCCAATTTCGGGCGTACAACAACTCAATCCTCATGCTGACCTATCTAGAAGAAATGCAATTGGCCTCCGAACTTCTTCGACTTTTTGATGCGAACTTTTTCTTCACCCCCAACCACCTCCTCCAAATGTGTGGAAAATTTACGTCCAGCCTTTCACCTCCACGCCCCTTTAATTTCACCGACTCTACAACAGTGGATGAGAAATGGTTCAACGAATTCGCAGCCCTACACCCGGAATTATTCACCAACATCAATCTCCTCACCTATTACGGCGCTTATGGATTCTGCACACGACACAATGAAAAACTCACCATTTTTCCCCCTTCAAAACTCCTACCGGTGCCAGGAAACCTACGTTTACTACCTCCACGCCCTCCCAAAAGGGGCCTCCTGTCATACGCGTACCAACTTTGTTCTTGTTCTCACTCCCCCCGCTATCTCCCGCGTCTTAAACCGCGTCATACCACGTATCAAGATCACGCCGAACAACCAATCGAAACCGAGGAAACTTCTCCAATCCCCCCACTCTACCCGAACATACCCGCCGACGGCTCCAAACCTTCCCCCCCACTTCCATCCACTCCCTCAAGGCCTGTGCCGGCTAACAGTAGGCCGTCCCCACCCCCAGATTCAACGCCATGCTCTCCAACACTGCAATCTCATCCAGCTGATCCGCCTCAGCAATAAAACAAACAACGGATATTTCTTTTCTTTACACCGTAGACCTCCTCACCCATGCCCTCCCTAATCTTCCCCTGCTTGCGGCTAAACTTCCGGCGACTCTATCCCTCTCTCTGCCGTCCATCTGAAACCCCACACCCCACCCTTCTCGTTCTTTCAAGCAACTCAGACACTCGTTTTACCCACTCAGCACCATCAATTTCATTCAGAAGACCAACGATTAACCACGGTTACAAATTATTGGAGATATTGGAAATTTTGTCAATTTTATTCCGTCAACAAAAAAAAATTAACCACGGTTACAAATTATCGGAGATATTGGAACTTTTGTCAAATTTATTTAGACAGCAAACAATTAACCACAGTTACAAATTATTGGAAATGGTGCACATTATTGGACACAACAAAAACTTATCTACGACGACGATAATCTACTTCTGGATTAGGATTTCCTTGGCATCCTATCAGATGACATCTTCCTATATTGCAAGAACCCCCATTGCAGTTCTTCAGATGATACCTCCATCGGTCCCTCGCGATGAAGACATGGCCACATGGACACCTCCTCCGAAACCACTGAAATCATTTACAAGACAATTAATTATTATCTTCGCCATTACACCTCTGTCCAACCCCTCCAACAACGGTTCTCCCTTACTCAGTTCCACTTACATTTTTCGACCTGGCCTTTATCCTCGTTTTTCCTCCCGCCATCACCCTCCCGCTCCCACCGGCCTGGTTGGCGCTCCTCTCGGTCTCCTCACCTGCACCAGTGGAAGACTTCTTCCCCTTCCGGACACGTTTCACCTGCCAAATTCAAACAATATCAGACCATCACTTTTTCTCTTCAAGCAAGTACGCACCCCCTCATCCACACACTACTAGCCCCGCTTCTTACCTTAACAAACAACGCCTCCAAGTCGTTCTCCTCCTCCGAAGACACCGGCCCCGAATATTGGACCTACATACAAACCATTTCCGACAGTCAATCTCTTTATCAGGTCATCTACTCAGGGGTTTCATCTTTATTAAATTGGCAAACAACTCATCCCTTACTTGATGATTCCTGCCGCCTGTTGCCCCTCTTCCACCACTACTACCCGGCTGCATCTCAGTTCTGGGGCCCACCTCCTAAACACACATGTCACCATTACTTCTCCACTCGCAAGAAAGAAGAAAAATAAACCAACACAAACACAACCACCCCCAAACAAAAAACGACATAAATAATAATATAAACAGCAACAAAAAAAAAAAAAATAAAAATCAATAAACACAGACCCAATCTACAGACATCTCTACGATAACCACTTACCACCGTACCAACTGCTGCGGCGTCATCATCTAACAAGAAGCATAGATAATTAGATAATTAGATAATTTAATAGCAGTAGATAATTCTTCGATTACCACCATGGTCTAAACACATCAACCAACACATGTTACTTATAATTTTTAGCCCAGTATTAATCACCATTATTGTTTACCAATTTTTTCTTTAATTGTTAGAGTACTTTTTATTTTACATTAATTTCTGTTACATTCTAAGACATTTTAATTGTAGGATCTATGAACTAATTTAGATAACTCTTGGCACTCATAACTCATCGTCTATTACTTTTAGTATTTTCGTCATCACACCATTGTTTTCACATCTGGCACTCCTCTGTCTTTGGCTCCCTCTGCTTCGACCTGCCGGGCACATATATATTTTTCAGACAGCTCCAATCCGGTCCAATTAAAATTCTTAGATAGGAAAATTGTTATAATTGGGTGAGGAGGACTGCATGTGTGTAGCGGCTACACACATGCAGTCCTCCTAACCCAATTTTAATAATTTTCCTATCTAAGAATTTTAATTTTTACAATTTTTCAAACTCCCAATTATAACAATTTTCCTATCTAAGAATTTTAATTTTTACAATTTTTCAAACTCCCAATTTTAACAATTTTCCTATCTAAGAATTTTAATTTTTTCAATTTTTCAAACTCCCAATTTTAACAATTTTCCTATCTAAATCTTAATTTGTTCCATCAAAAATCTGCTGCCTCAGTTTTTATTTTTTCGTTAATAATTTTCCGACTTTCGTACATAAGTTTTAAAATTTTGTTTTAGTTTTACCAGCCATGCACGCATTTATGCATGCATTTTATTCTGCTAAAATACCTCCCCATTATATTTCATTCACGAACACACTTTACGTCAACAAAGCTTACATGCAATTGTCCATCCACCACCATCTTGGGGGAATACATACCTATCCATTCTTAATTGAAAAAAAACAAATTTTCTTACCTGGATTTTTGACGAATTTTCCCGACTTTTCTGAATACGTTGACGCCAAGTAGGTACACAGAATCTGACTGAATTAAATCTCGCATTTTTTCGTTTGTTGCGGTAGGGCCACCGCTTACTAGAGGTGAATATTGTGAAAGAGCAGGTTTGGTCAACTTCATTAATGCCAAACCCCCTAATTAGTATGCCACTCACCTCCATCATCTCTTACAAACAAGAGACAATGTTGCAAACCAGCTTCGTCACAACCTCATCAGAGATATCTCTATTCAGAGTGGCCAACCGGTTCATAATCGGTCAACACATAGGTATCAATTAGGTATTGCTAGGATATATAAGCGAAAGCGCAGCCACCAGACGGGGAACGGTGGAGGACGGTCGAGGAAGTATTTTGTGCTACTGCAGGTTACCTCTCCCAATATTATTGGGAGAGGCAGAGTTCTGCCTGTTTGTACAAGTAATAAATAAAACCTCTCTAAGAAAAGTGCAACCAAGTCTCATCTCGCCTCCCAATTATTACGCACACACCACAACGACGACGACGATCGTCTCATCTTCCTCATCACCACCATCACTGCAGTCAACCCCCCATAAACGGAACTTCACAAATATGTTATTCAGATTTCGTAATTTTGATAATCAAAATTTGATTTATTCTGGGACAAAAGCAATATAAAATATTTTTGTAAACTTTTTTGTCTAATTTTGACACCAAGTTCTCCAAATTTTACAATTTGTTGGCACTTGTCCACTTTTCATAGTAATTCTAGTTATGATGAATTTTCAAAAGTTTTTTTAAATCTTGGGACAAAATACAACACAAAATATTATCGAACATTTTCTTGTCTAATTTTGACTCCAATTTTTGGAATCTTAAAAATTTGCTTGGCACGATATTATTCAGATTATATGTACGTACTGTCCAATTTATAGCCGATCACTTCGTTTGCATATTTTGACACATTCGCGACTTTATTCAACATGGAAAGCCGGTATCCCGGAAAATGGGCATACTAAGACTTTGCAAATGAGGTGACACGCCTAAATCATACCTGTTCACTTTCATTCATGTGACTGATTATGATAGAGAATGATAGTGAATGAAAATGAAATTCCTGTCATTTGAATGAAAATGAGTGATTTTTTGATTTATTTATTTCAATGAGACACCCCAATGCTGGGTTATTACGCCTCAAGGTAAAAAATTTGTCATTACAATAGATTTAAGAAAATAATAATACAATTTATCAAAGTGCATCATGATCGTCTAAAATATCAAATAATTCCACCATTCTCTCGGTACATTGTTCATGAACACGCTCACATTTAACTAGTCGTTTAAATTCAATTATACTTAGATTTCTTAACTTTTCAGTGATTCGTACCGGTAAATTCAGTACCGTTTTTGACGCCCTATATTGACTTTCTCATCAATCCATTACATATAATGTTAGGCTCAGAATACGTTACAGTTCTTGTTGCCCTTACTATTCTTTTCTCTTGACAAATATAGTCCCGGAAAATTCCCGGTCCGATATTATTATACATATTAAAGGCAATTTTACTCATTTCAAACTTACAACAATTTGCGTTTACATTTAACCACTCGAGATCTACAATGATTTCATCAGAAATGCTGTCAAATTTAGATTTACCATACACAAACCTGGCACATCTTCGTAAAATATTATTAATACATTTTAAGTTGCTACTCCCAACTAACCAAATCGGACAACAATACATTATAATAGGTAAAATTAAGGCTTGCACCACCATTATTTTATGTCTTACATCGAGGACTCCCTTTAATGAATATAACGACCATAACGCAAAGTTACATTTCTCCGCTACCTTATCACATTGTAAATTAAATTTTAAATCGTTATCAATTATAATACCGAGAATTTTTATAAAATTAACTCTTTTCATGGGTACTCCATCCAGTTTAACACTTATATCCTGAACATATTGGATATGTTTTTTTGCAGCAATGACCATCATTTCACATTTATCATTATTCAGTTCAAGCCTGCTACTTTTCATCCAATTACATATATTTAATAAATCAGATTCAAGTTGAATGAAAATGACTGAAAGATTCAGTAATTTCGGATGAATTACTGTGAATGAAGGATTTATCACTCATTTCATTGTGCACCTGCTTAATACATGGGGCGAAGTAAGAAATGAAGGGTTCTAATTTTCAGGATTCTAATAAAATATTTTTTTTAACACTTTTTGTATTTTGGATAACTTTGACACCAAGTTCTCAAATTTCTAAAAAATTTATTACTCCTCAGATTTGAGAGATTAGGTAGGATTTAATGGTCTCTTTTATTTTGAGACAAAATAAATACATACGATATTTTTTAGCATATTTTTTTATTAATTTTCACATAAAGTTCTCAAATTTTTAAAATTTGGTTGGCAAAATATTGGTCAGATTTTGTCATTTTATTTATTTTTGGGACAAAATACATACATATTTTTTTTATATTATTTTTAGTATAATTTTAAAACCTAATTCTGAAATTTGAATTTGTCTGATTCACATCATTATAAAATTTGTAGGTATCAAATTTTCATAGTGTTGGAAAAAATATTATATATTTTTTTCACACTTTTTGATATAATTTGACACCCAATTTTCGAATTAAAAAAATTGCTTCGCAGTATATTTCTCAGATGTCAATGTTTTCCGGTATTTTTATCAATTTTTGAAATTGTGCAAATTTCAGTGACCGCGTGTTGTCCCGGTGCGACAAGAATTCGTCCACGTGGAACCTCCAGGCCGCCGAGAATGGTCAAAAGGGCAAACAGATTTTCGAGGTGGGTTGGTGGAACCCGTTGACTGGGCTCAGAATGACAGACGACCTCCTCCCCCACGTCACCGGGGGGTTTAGAGGACGAAGAATCGCCGTTACATCCATGCACGTGCGTCTACATTCCAGCAATATTTAATCAGAGGGCGGATATGTATTTATTTTCAGACTTTTCATACAATGACGACCTTTGTGGGTGTCTCCCCTAACTCGCATAGAGCACACAAATTTAAAAATATTTCCATATGTCGGAACATATTTCGAGGTTTTCAGACATGCAAATATTTCCGTTATTATTTGAAAATTGTGCAAAGGTGTTCCATATTTTTTCAAAAATACATGTGTTTCATAAATATTTCAAGTTTCAACGATATGATGTGAGATGATCTTTTTTGTTCAAGGAAATGAATCCAGATCATTAAATTCCAAAGTACGAATTTTGCGAAATTCATTATTTTCATCAGTTTTAGTACATCGTAAATGCTAATTTTGACGTTTTTGGCTCAAATATTAGGTACATATTTCATTCATCGAAATATTTTGCTTAAAGAAATTGGAACACAAAAGATTCAGAGTACTAAATTCAGAAATGCAAATTTTTCGAGAATTCTCATTGTTATCTATTTTTGTACATATCTATTTTGTAAAGATTTTATCCGCCCTCTGATAACAATTTGTACCGCAAAAGAATAATAATCCCCCAACTTTTACCCTTTGCCCCCACAGTTTCCCCCGTGGCAAATGATCACCCGAGACGACCCCGAAAATCCGGACAACGTGACCTATTCCGGCCTCATGTTCGAAGTTCTCAACCACATGTCCAAAGATTTGAACTTTACATACGAAGTGCTGGAGCCGAGACATGGCGAAACTTGGGGACACCTCCAATCTGACGGGTCTTGGTCCGGCATGATGAAATTGGTCGCGGAAAATAAGGTCGGAAACATTCTTTTTTTTATTGCAAATTCATGCAAAAATTCATAACTTACAAGGAAAATCTGCCAGCGTATGCTCTCCGATTTTGGGCAAATTAGTGTTAATCTGTGACAAATTAGGATGTCTGTTAATCAGTTAGGATGAAATTTGCAAAGGTACACTCAAAATAAGGTAGTAATGAATCATTACCATGCGGAATCACTATGTATCTCTACCACGCCGGTTACGATTTGTCGTAGAAATGGTAATAATAAGGTCAGGGAAATTCAAATTTAATACATAATGGTATTCACTTCCTTAATATTTGGTAATGAATTTGAATTTCCCTGAACTTATTATTACCATTTCTACGACAAATCGTAACCGACGTGGTAGAGACAGAGTGATTCCGCATGGTAATGATTCATTACTACCTTATTTTGAGTGTATATATGATCTCCCATGAATGGGCACGTTTGGCAGAGATAGATATTTGCATCGGATGAGGAGAAAACGGGTACTGAAATTGACAAATTAGTTTACTGAGCGTTTTCTCCTCTTCGGATGCAAATATTTCGGCCAAAAGTGTCAATTGGGAGATCGCTTCTTTCGCAAATTTCATATATGAAATTAGTATTTAATTAGTATACTAATTAAATTTGTGATCGATTAATTTGCATAAAATTGGAGATTTGCCTTACAGAGAAAAATACTTAGCTGCCAGAAACCACTTCTCCGTACTATTTCTTGAAATTGGTTGCACCTGAAACCATACCTGTTCAAAAATTTAGTTTTCATTCAAAATTCAAGTCATCCCGATTTCTGAATGAAGATTGTCAGTAATTTTATTTCAAACTCATTTCATTTCACTTCATCTGACTTCATTTCTTACTTCGCCCCATGTACAGTATTAAGCTTATGGTGAAAAATGAAATGAGTGAGAAATCCTTTCATTCACAGTCATTCCTTTGAAATGACGGAATCCTTCAATCACTTTCATTAAAATCAGATAAAATTAATTTTCATTCTCTATCATAATCATAACATGAATGAAAGTGAACAGGTATGCCTGAAACACTGTTTTGTACATATTTCCATACATGTTCAATAAATATTTATTCATTCAAAGTTCATTCATTCAAAGCCTCGAAAAAAAGTATTCATTCTCTATTCACCCGTTCATAAAAATTATTTATTAATTATTCAACATTTATTCATTATTCACCATTCCTTCATTATCCATGTTATTCAAAATTCACAGTATTAGATGAATTTCTCAACTTTCCATATGTATTAAGCATTGAGTGAAAATGATTGATGAAAAAAATATTCATTCACACGAATTAAATAGATATTCACTCAGTATTCATTTATTCAAAAAATTAGGATAAAATATTCATTCAATATTCATTCAAATTTTGAACTATTGAATGCATAATTTATTCATTCATCATTAAATGAATGAATGTGAACATGTATGCATATTTCAGGTCGTCCTTGCCGCCGCGGCGTTCACCGTGACGCCAGAAAGGTCAAATTATGTCGACTTTACTCAAGTCATTGAACGAGAATCGTACGGATTTATGGTCAATCGACCCAACGAGTTATCCCGCGTGCTCCTCTTTGCGGCCCCATTTAGTTATCCGGTAATTTAAATCTTAATTAATTAATTTGCATATTCATTAATTACTCAATTAAGTAACTACTTAACTAACTAATTTATATATTCATTAATTAACTGGCTAATTTCCATATTGGTTAATTATTTAACGAGTAAATGAATTAACCAGCTATTGATTTCTTATTTAACTGATTAATTAATTATCAAGCTATTAATTTCGCAGATTAATTTCTTACTAACTAATTACATTAATTCGCTATTTTGCATATTCATTAATTATTTAACTAGCCGATTAATCAACTAACTATCTAATTTCCAGCTTGGTTAATTATTTAACGAACAAATGAATTAAGCAACTATTCATTTTTTACTTAACTGATTAATTAACTATGTAACTAATTCGCATATTAATTTCTTACTAACTAATTAACTAATTTGCATATTTACTAAATATTTAGCTATCTTATAAATCAATTAATCAACTAATTTGTATAATGCACAGGTCTGGATCTGCATAATAATCACGGTCATACTAGTCGCCCCCGTTTTAAACGCGGTCCACCGTTCCAGCTACTTTTACACGTTTTATCACAAAGTCGACGAAAATAATGGGCTCAGCAAGATGAAAAATTGCTACTGGTACATTTACGGCTCACTCCTCCAACAAGGTGACTTTATTATCAATTTATTTACGACTTGATGACTCGTCTCCGAAACATACCTGTTCATATTCATTCATTTGACTGATTATGATACTGAATGAAAATGAATTTCTTATCATTTGTCAAGTCAAGTAATCCTTTATTAACATGTCAACAAGTATCAGCTAATATAAACTGGTTTCCAATATTTGAATGAAAATGATTGAAAAATTCCGTCATTTCAGATGAATGACTGTGAATGAAGGATTTCTCACTCATTTCATTTTTCACCCTATGCTTAATCATGGGGCGAAGTAAGAAATGAAGTCAGATGAAGTGAAATGAAATGAATTTGAATCAAAATGACTGAATGTGAATGAAAATCTTCAATCAGAAATTGGGATCAGTGACTTTTGAATAAAAATTTGAACAGGTGCCACAAAATGGTCAATTAATCATGTTTCCGCTCTGGGAACTTATATTTCTAATTCACCTGATGAAGGAAAAAGTATTTTCCGAAAGCTTGTGACTAATAAACATCAAACAAAAGTAATCTCTTATTTTAAAATTCTGTCCGACAAATTTGTAGAGCAGGGAGTTCCCAATTTTTTCAAGAAATATACACTCCAGATTTTGACACTTTTTGAAGGAGGAGATCTCGAGTTTAAGAAACCTTCAGAAAAATTGGAACTCGTCGAAACTGGCTCAAAAAAAATCAACGCCATTCCATTAATCAACTCACTGACTACAAATTTATCGTCCAGAATTTTAAAATAAATTCCTAGAGCCAACATTAGATTTACTGGTATGAATAAAACCAGGGAAATCCTCCAAGGAAACGGGAAAAGGGAAAGGCATTTGCCTGAGGGAAAGTCTCACAGGTCAAGGCTATTGCTCCTTTTCGTATGAATAAACTTTACCTTTCTCGCCAGGCAAATCCCCTTGGTTTCGGGCAAATCCCCTGACTTCAATTACATGTAATCAAAATAATACCATCGCAACGAACACAAATGCATTTCAAAAATTTCTCTGACCATGATTTTGATCAAATTCTTAAAGAAATGTCCCCCAATGACCCCCACTGGTTTGTGATGTTCGCTAAAAAGGCTAAAATTCGGTATCGGCGCATCTCAGAATTGCAAAAATCAAGGAAATTTCAGCGTTGTTTTGTTGTATATAAGTGTATTTAATTTAATCTATTTTTGATTTTTTGAACACCCTCCAAACTCACTCAGACTAACCTGGAAAAAAACACCTTCAAATGCTCGCCAAAAATCAAATTGTTCTCGGAATTTAAAAACTCTTTTACGATTATTGTCCCATACAGTTATTTTATAATATTCAAGATCAAAGTCATTTTTGAATTTTTTATAGATTTTCAAAAATTTCCTAACCAGGAAAAATACTAAAATTCTAACCTCCTAACTTTGTATAAAGCTAAAAATTTTCGAATTTTGAAACCTCCCTTTTTGTAAAATATGCACGACGATGAATGGGTTTCAAAATCGCCATTTATATGGAGGAATGGAAAGTTGAGACACAAAAATTCAAACTCAAAACCCACATGCAATGGACCCTTAAACGGCGAATAAATGAGCGAAAGCAGAATTTAATTAGAATCTTGGAAAATTTTCAAAATTTATATGCAACTTGCGCGATACCGGTAGCATGACCAGTTGGCCGAAATCTGAATTTAAAAATATTTCAGAAAATATTTTCAGGTTTTCAATGAAAATATAAAATACATTTTTTCGATGTCGATAGCAAATAAAAATCTATATTTTTGTCGATAAATCTGGTTTTGTGAGTTTCAAAGCCCTAACATGTCCAACTAGTGTCCAACATTCATAAAAAGTACAACAGATGCTTAAAAACTAAGTTTTATTGCTAATTTTGTTAGTTGGGGTCAGCATAGTAGCTGATCGGTATTTTTTGGGGAGATTGCCTGAAGGAAAGGCTTTCACCTTGGTTTTACTCATACGAAAATCCCCGTCTCCAGGGAAAATCTTGAGGTTGAGGTAAAAGCTATTCCCTTTTTCCTTTCCCTCGGGGAAAAGCAAATGCCCAAATTTTTATTCATCTATATTGGGGCATTCTCCTCAATTTTTTCGGAAAAAGGATTTCCCTGGTTTTATTCATATCACCCATTATGAAGTTTTCAAAAATTTCTGAAACATGATTTGAAAAAACATATTTTTATCGATTGTTTTTGATCGATCGACCCAACAAGCTTAATCTGGTTAAATAATATTTTTTAAAGAAAAGTTTATTCTTATAATTGGCTTTGAAATCCTACAATTTACTCTGATTTTAAAAATTGGGTGATTTCTGAAAATTTAGAAAACTTTAAGGTCCTTTGAATTTTTTAGCAAATAATCAATGCATTAAGCTGAGCAACAAAATTATGTCTGTTCTAAGTAGCTTCGAAGCAGACTATTTCAAAACTTCTAAAATTTTGATTTTTAAAAACATATTTTAGAAAACTTTTCGTCCTCAAAATTAGAATATCTAGTTTAATTGCATTTGAATTTTGCGAAAATTTCATTTATTGCTGCAACTTACTTTGGAATCAAGAAATTCTAAAATTTGCCTTGATTTTGAAAAGTGTTTTGCAAAATAATTAGAACAGAAAAACTACTAAAAATGTATTGATTTTTACGATTTTGGCGACGAGGCAATCACTGGTATGAATAAACACAGGCAAAAGCCTTTTCCCCTAAATTTGAGGAAAATCCACAGTTTTGTATGAATAAAACTTGAGGCCTTCGCTTTTACCAAGGTCAAAGGAAAAGGAAAAAGCTTTTCCCTTTCGCATGACCTTTTCCCCCTCCCACAGAGAAATTCTTATGAATAAAGTCCGGTAAAATCCTTTTCCCCTGGAGCAATTACCCTAAAATACCGATCAGGTCAAATCCATCCCCGACGTCAAGGAAAAAGCTACTTCCTCTGCAAATTTTTAAATTCTGCTCACTATAATTAATTTCTTTGTTTAATACGCCCATTCTGCACAATTATGGCAGCCTTTTTAAATGTGGGAGTGGTTCGAGCAGCCAAGGATTACAAGGCTAGAGTCACTACAAGAGATTCCGACTACAAATCGCTTTTCCGCTTTGAAAAAGAGAGTGTTGAATGGTTAGCGTATCACTTTTTAGGGGAAAACACCGAACATAGGGGAGGAGCTTTAACTTCGGAGCAGACAATGAAGGTCTTCCTGCGATATATGGCGGACCCAGGATTTCAAACTGGCGTTGGTGAAGATGTCGGCGTGGACCAGACTACAGTGAGCAGGACTGTACACGAGGTTTTAATAAACTTATTTATGATCTGTTTAATTTCAAACCTCATGGTACAGGAAACTACAATTATTAATTCTGCACTTTAGGTTAGAAAAAAAATTATGGAAAAAGCTCACATTTGGATAAAATTTCCCCAAACGGTCACCGAGATTTTAGCAGCTAAACAGGATTGGCAAACAAAGTTTTCGATTCCGTCCGTCGTAGGCGTGGTAGATTGTACACACATCCGGATCCCCAACCCAAAAATCGATGGTGACGAATATATAAATCGGAAAAATTATCCCAGCTTAAACGTCCAAGCCACTTGTAACGCCAAGGAGTGGTTTACGAGTGTTAATGCAGAATGGCCGGGCTCAGTCCATGACAGCAGGATTATGAGAAATTCCGAACTTTTCCAAATTATGAGCAAGACGCAGGATACCATAATCTTAGGTGACTCAGGCTATGGAATTTCGCCATGGCTAATTACACCGTATCAAAATCCAACAAATCATGTGCAGCAATATTTCAACAAAGTGTATGCAAAAGAAAGGGTTATAATAGAACGCTGCTTCGGTCAAGTAAAAAGAAGATTTCCCATTTTGCACTATAAGGTCCGGACAGCTCTTAAATCCGTTCCATCAATAATTGTCTGCTGTTTCGTGCTGCATAATATCGCCAAATATTTAAAAGACCCAGATGATTTTCCACATTTTGATGAAGAGGAGAGTAATGAAGACGATCTGGATGGGATTGAGCTGGTGACTGGCCAGAGCGCAAGGATTAGACAACTTGGCCAACAGAAACGAGATCAGATTGCAGCAATAATTTATCAAAATAGATAATTCTTAGTTTTCACTATTCGTATGTTCATTTCTCTGCAATAATCATAAATTGTTAACAGTTTACTAGTGCATTTAAGGGTTTTAAAATGTTTCAAAATGTTTTACGAACACCAACCTACCTATAAATAAACAAACATTTATACATTTTTTTTACTATTTAACTTCATGAAGTGTGAAAGGTTCACAGCTATCTACTGTAAAAGTTACGCTTTGGCCACGAATTGGTGATGCACTTTCTAGTCGACGCCGTTTCAATCGTAGAACCTGTAGTTGCTCCAGAAGTACCAAGCGCTGAGGCTGGGAACTAGACAAGTTTCGAGTCTCTTCTGTTTCAAATTTTGCCAGTATCTGCTCCCCAGTTTTCCGTTTGTGAGTACTATCAGGGTTTGAAATTGGCTTCGTAGATTCTAAATTGATTTTGAGGTCAGGAACAGTGATGGGGTCGGAAATCCGGGCACTAGAAACCCCCGCGGATACAGCTCCCTGGAAGAATAGTTATCAATTTTACGAGGATTGAAATTAAAGGGGATTTGTTTCACACCACACCTGAACCTGGGAAATTGATGGGTTCGACTTTGACCCAATCAATTCAACCATAATTTTCTCCCAAGGTTTTAGAGAAAGTTTCTTGTTTCCTGTTCTATTGAGATCGCACTTATTTTTCACTTCGACTTCATTCTGGAAATTTTCTTCGCTAACGTTGCCTTTGTGAAAATTTGCATAAGTTGTTCCTGAAGCTTAACAATTAACTCAGCCACTGCCTTATCTTTACTTTCCTTTACGGCGGGTAGTTGAGACTTGCTTAACCAGATTGGATAATCTTTCAGTAATTTATTGAATGCAAGTTGCTTATCATCAGAATCTCCTTGTATTGCTCGATCCTCCTCATCAAGTTCGGAAAGAGTTGACATCTCTATAACCGGTCTAAAATAATTAAAATTGCAATTGAGGGTCTGGGTAAAATTATTACAAACATTTAAGTAATTTAATTAACATACCTTTAGATGAAATTGAAACTTTGGCAAAGTAAATTGGACGGTTGAGTAATTTTTTAGGAATAGTAGTATAAATTAATCGCAATTATTAGATAGATTTTTGTATATTTATTCAGGCAGCTTTATTGGATAAAAAACCGTTTTCCCGCAATAAACATTTGCAAAAATGGGGCAAATGCCAATTCCTCCTTGGGAAAAGGCATAGGGAAAGGCAAAAGGTTATACCACTAAGTTCATACCACTTGGGGCATTTGCCTATACCTTTTGCCTTTGCCACCGGAAATAGCCTTTCCCTTTTCCCCTTTCCCCGGAGCTTTTCCCTGATTTTATTCATACCAGTGAATATTTGATCATAAAATTTTCCAAAATTTCAAAAGTATGATTTAAAAAGCATATTTTGGTCAATTTTCCCACATGCAGGAATAATCCAAAGTTCTGGTTTAATATCAATTTATTTTCAGAAATGCTTATTTTTGCAACTGGCTTTAAAATCCTACATTCTCAAATTTGAAAAATGGTTTGCAAAATAATTCTCACAAGCATACCTGTTCAAAAAAAATTTCTTCATTCAAAATTCACTCATCCCGATTTCTGGCTGAAGATTTTCAGTCATTTCACTCAAAATTCATTTCATTTAACTTCATCCGACTTCATTTCTTTCTTCTCCCCATGTATTAAGCATAGGGTGAAAAATGAAGGGAGTGAGAAATCCTTTCATTCACAGTCATTCATCTGAAATAATCGAACCTTTCAGTCATTTTCATTCAAATGAGAGGAAATTCATTTTCATTCCCTATCATAATCAGTCAAATGAATGAAAGTGAACAGGTATGCTCACAAGCAGAAATTATTCAAAGATCTGTTATTTTCAGAAACGCTTATTTTTGCAACTTACTTTAAAATCATACATTCTCAAATTTGAAAAATGGTTTGCAATATTTAAACGGAAAAATTATTAAAAATGTACTGATTTTTACGATTTTGGCGACGAGGCAAAATTGGATCATCAAATTTTCCAAAATTTCTAAATTATGATTTTAAAACCATATTTTGGTTTAATTTCTCACACACTGCACAAATTAGAAGTATCTGGTTTAATATTATTTGATTTTCACAAAAGTTAATTGTTGTAACTAAACAGCTTCAAAATCCTACATTCTCAAATTTACTGTAATTTTGAAAAAGTTTAGCAATAATTTGAGCTGAAAAATTACCAAAAACGTACTGATTTTGCCGACATCATCAAATTTCACAAAATTTCCAAATTATGATTTCTAAAAGACATGTCTTGGTCAAAATTTCTCACACGTTTCTCCAAACTAAAATATGTATCTGGTTTAATATTATGTACTTTTCAGAAAAGTTTATTTTTTGAACTGACTTTAAAATCCTGCATTCTCAAATTTACTGTGACTTTGAAAAATGTTTTGCAAAAATTTGAACGGAGAAATTATTAAGAATGTGCTGATTTTCTACGATTTCGGAGATGAGATCATAAAATTTTTCAAAATTTTGAAATTCTAATTTAAAAAGCATGTGTTGGTCAAAATTTCTCAGGTACCCCATATAAAAGTTGTCTACTTTAGCAGCTAATTTTTTTTTACGAATTCGGGGACAAGGCGATATTACATCATAAAACTTTCCAAAATTTTAAATTTCCACATTTCCAAAATTTCTAAATTATGATTTTTAAAACATATTTTGGTCAAAATTTCTCACACATTGCCCCGAACTATAAAATATTAATATCATCAACAAATTTTCAGAACAGTTTATTTTTGTAACTGACTTTAAAATCCTACATACTTTAATCTACCTTTATTTTGAAAATTGTTTTCCAATAACTTGAAGAAATTATTTAAAATGTGCTGATTTTTTTACGATTTTGCGTACGAAGTAACAGTGGATCGTGAAATTTTTCAAAATTTCAAAATTATGTTACAAAAACATGTGTTGGTCAGAATTTCTCACACGACGTCATAGAAAGTTACACACCTATTTTTACAGCATTTAATTTTCTAGAAATATCTATTTTTGTAACTGCCTTTAAAATCATACATCCTCAAATTTCAGTTGATTTTGAAAAATGTTTTGTGATAATTTTAGCTCAGAAATTATTTAAAATGTCTGATTTCTCTTGAAGAATTCGGGGACCAGGCGATATTACATCATAAAATTTTCCAAAATTTCCAATTTTTCCAAATTTTCAAAAAGTATGATTTAAAAAGCATATTTTGGTCAATTTTCTCACAAGCAGAAATAATTCAATGATCTGGTTTAATATTAATCCATTTTTAGAAAACTTAATTTTTCTAACGGACTTTAAAATCCTACATGCTCAAATTTAGTCTGATTTTGAAAAATGTTGTATAATAATAATGTTTAATTTTTGAGGGGATAAATTATAAAAAATGTGCTGATTTTTACGATTTTAGGTACGAGGTAACATTACATCCAAAATTTTTCAAAAGTTTCCAAATTATAATTTTAAAAACATGTGTTGTCCAAAATTTGTCACATACAGCACCGCCGAAAAAATTTCCTAATTTAATAGCATTTTGTGTTCGAGAAAAATTAATTTTTTGCAACTGGCTTTAAAATTTGGTCTTTGTAAATTTTGAAGAGCTTCATTTTTACTATTTTTCAATTTCTGAAAAATGCAACAAAATTTCCAAACTATGATTTAAAACAAATTATTTTGAAGAACTTTTTTTTCATTAATGTATATGCAAATTATCTAGTTTAATTTCACATTTGATTTTTGAAAATCTTACAATTCTCAAAATTATGATTTTGAAAAATACGTTAAATTTTTAACAAAAATTAAAAATCAATTTTAAAATGTTCCCAACCAAAAAATTGGGAACTTTTCCCTTAAAATTTTGAATTTTTAGGAGGAATTCATCTCCCCGAAGCGCTCAGTGGACGAATGTTGATCGGATTTTGGTGGCTTTTTGTGATCGTGACGGTCACAACGTATTCCGGAAATTTAGTGGCGTTTCTGACCTTTCCAAAAATTGAGAGCCCCGTAAACACGGTGGAAGATCTGACCAATTTCCGTGGCGTCGAGTCCTGGGGTTTCCTGGCTGGTAGCGTCATTGAGGATCATCTCATGGTACAAATATTTTTTTAAAAGTACAAATTGTGTCAAAATTTGAGCAAAAATTTAAAAAGCTGTACATAATTTATAGCTTTTTAGCTACAAATTTTGCAAACAAAAAAGTCGTTGCAGAATCCTTTAAAAAAATTGTAGTAAAATTTTGTAAAACATGCATATTAACAAAAATTGTGCCAAGCGGAGTTTTCGACAAATTTTAAAACTGCTAATTTTTTCAAAAGTTGTACAAAAACATTCGTCAAAAAATTGTGCAAAGCGCACTTGTAAAAAAAATTGGAAAACATATTTGCCAAAAAAATTATGAGAAATGAGAAATTTTTATTAAAAATTCCACATTTGTCAACAAATTGTGAAAATGCTTATTTTCTCAAAAATTCCTTTTCTCCACAATTTTTAAAAATGTGTCCAAAAATACAAAAAAATGAAACTTTTCTATACAAAATTACTAAAAAATGTATTTGTATTTTGGTTTCAGCGATCTTCCGACCCTCAGTTTGAAATTTTGTATAAAAAAGCCATAAAACACGCCGCCTTTAATAAAACCGTGCTCGACCTGGTCAGCCATCACCAACACGCCTACATCGACTGGCAAATCGTCCTCGCCACCGCGATCCGCGATTCGTTAAGAATTACCGGAAAGTGCGAATATATCGTCGGTAAGGAATTAAATAATGTGCAAAAACTTAAATTCATTGCAAAAAACATTAATTAACTGCTAAAAAATTCTTACTTTTCCTGCATATTACAGGATCCGAATCCTTCTTTGAGGAAAAGATCGCTCTCGCCGTCCCAAAAAAGAGTCCATACCTGCCCGTTTTTAACAAACAGTAAATTTACCAAAATTTATAATGTATCACGGAAATAATTATTTAACATTTTCGAAAAAAACGTCAAAATATTTACGAAAAAACGTCAAAACTTTCCAACATTTTTTTCCAAACCATGATTTTTTTGTTATCCAAAAATATTGGAAAATACTTAAAAGCTGCAAAAAAATCCCGAATCGAAATATTGCTACTCTGACCCCACAAAGTTTATCGGTTGTGCAGGCGTCAAAAAATTTAAAAATTCCTGAAATTGACAAATTGAAATTTAAAAAAAATCCTATAAAAATTAATGAAAATGTTTAATTTCTCGAAATATTTCCAGAATTGGTCAAATGTCGCAAACTGGTTTATTAAATAAATGGAAGTCTCGTCAAAGTATTCATCAATTTTTTTCGAAAAGACGCAAAATATTTACGAAGAAACGTCAAAATATAAACATTCTGCTATTTTTCTCCAAATCCTGATTCTTTTTGATGCTCAAATTTTGTGTGTGGTCCATTTAAAAAAATGATCTTTTAAAATCATTAAAATATTGACAACATTTCAAATAAAGTCTGAAGAAACATTTATAAAATTTGATATTTCGAAAAAATTAGAAATATAGAAAAACACTGGAAAATAAATATTTCGAATTTTTTACGAACTTTTACATTTCACAAACCTAATATACATAAAACATCCAAAATATTTTGAAATTTTACTAATTAAAGTTTAACAGTAAAGTTAGTCCGTGAAAACTGAAAAAATTATTCCATGAATCTGACTGAAATATTTTCCAAATATTTATTTTTCAAGTCTCATAAAAAATGGAAACTATACTAATTTTTCAAAATATTTTCAGAATTGGTCAAATGTCGCAAACTGGTCTGTTAAAGAAATGGAAGTCTCGTTACTGGCCGGGGAAGGATCGCTGCAGTCGGATGACGATTTCAGCCGGAAATCGAAAAGTAGGCGTGGGCGATATGCAGGGATCTTTCTACCTGCTCTGTCTCGGCTTCGGCGTGGCCCTGGTCGTGCTTATCATCGAGGTTATCGTCACCCGCCGGAAAAAGAAGAAGATGATCGACACCCTCAAAATCCTCGTCGGCGGGGCGGGAAAAGACATCAAATTTTGGAAAGATAAACAATTCCCTTTCCTCCAATAGGATAATTTATTATGTGAAAAAATTGGAAGTTAAAACAGTAAAAATCAATTATAAATTATTAATAATTGATTAACCTTAATGCTTAATTATTTAATTAGCATAATTTCCACAATAAATATGCAGATTTTCAATTCAGTTAATTACTACAATTCTTTAAATTGGTTGATTTATTGAAATTTTGATTTCCACCGAACTTTTTCAACGAAGGATTCGATGAATTGTTACAAAAAATTGTAAAAAAACAGCACATTTTTAATCACTTCTCACTGAAATTATGAAAATTAACACATTTTTAATCACTTCTCTGCTCTGGGAACTTATTTTAAAATTCTGGACTACAAATTTCTAGTCAGTGAGTTGATTAATAAAATGGCCGTCAGTTTTTTCACCTAGTTCCAATTTTTTTGAAGGATTCTTAAACTTGAAATCTCCTCCTTCAAAAAGTTTCAAAATCCGGAGTGTATATTTTCAAAAAATTGGCAACCTCTTGCTCTACAAATTAATCATTTTAATTTAATTTTAATTTTTAAAAAATCATTTATAAAGTTGCCAGGTTTTTACTTTACAACATTATTTATTTCCAAATATTTCTTTTCAAAAAATTACCGTTTCTTAAAATTTATTACGTAAATATTTCTAAAATCAAAATTACAAATTAAATCAAAAACAGAGAATAATCATGACCGTGACAGTCTGGAGTCTGTCGTGGCGCTACGTGTACCGCACCTTCTTGGAGACGCTGGTCTGGGTCCTGCATATCAAACTCGTGCCCATCCTCTACCGCTGGGTTTCCCTCTACCCGGACGAAACGTGGGATGCATTCTTGAAATACTGGTGAGTTATCAACCACCACCATACCTGTTCAAAAATTTAATATTCATTCAAAAGTCAGTCATCCCGATTTCCAACAGAAGATTTTCATTCACATTCAGTCATTTTCTTTCAAATTCATTTCATTTCACTTCATCCGACTTCATTTCTTACTTCGCCCCATGTAGGGTGAAAAGTGAAATGAGTGAAAAATCCTTTCATTCACAGTCATTCATCTGAAATTCCGGAATCTTTCAGTCATTTTCATTCAAATGGTAGAAAATTCATTTTCATTCACTATCATATTCACAATTATAATCAGTAAAATGAATGAAAGTGAACAGGTATGATTCCATGATTTATTTGTTACACCTTTTCAGGATATTCGCCTTCCTAGCGATCTCCGTTGCAACAGGTGTGGGCGTCTTCTCCGACCGGGATTTGTCGCATGTGTCCTCCCACGATTTGCTGGTTCCCGCCTGGTTCACCGCTGTGTTCTGGAGCTGGCTGTATCTCGCCTACCTAGCGGGGAGCAAAATATTCAAAATCTTGTGGCGCCAAGAGGACCCCGCTGAAGTGAAGGAATTGAAGAATTTGATCTGCTGCGTGGCATCCTTCGTGGTCATCAAGATCATCATCGTGGACCTTTGGGTGCTCTATTTATTAACTGACAATGGAACCTTTTTTCAAGCTACATCGGGATCGACTAGCGAGTTATATCCAAAAATCAAGCCAAAAGGTAGGAGTCACATAACGCTTATCTTTCCGTTGAGTGGCCCTTTTGATGAAAAATATTAGAGGTCAAAGTTCACACGAGCGCCTTGGTTTTCGCTCCGTGGAGGAAAAAGCAAGAGAAAATTTGCTCAAAAATTGAACTTAACCGCCAAGATTTTTCTTTAAAGTGGCCATTCAACGGAAAGATAAGTGTTATGTGACTCCTAATTTTTAGCTTGATTTTTGGAAATAACTCGCTAGTTAATCCCGGTGTAGCTTGAAAAAGGGTTCCATTGTGAGTATAAAGGATGTCCATAAATTAAAGGTTGATTTTATTTTTTTTTAGAAATTGTCTCTAAAAATCCGAGCCAGCAAATCAACCAGGTGGTTTTAGGAGGAATTCATACTATTTAACTGATCATTTAATTTAATACTTTTTAAAACATTTATTATGGTCGAAACTAGTATTAAATAAACAATGATCAGTTAAACCTTCCCAATTTAATAACGACCAATAAATCTACATATTTTGCGTGATGAATAAATAAATAAATGCTTATTTAGTATTTACAATATGAATGTAGTCACTTTTTGCGACAAATTTTTCAGTAGTTCCTTAAAAATATTCGATACTCTACAAAATGTAATTTACAAACGCACATCGCCGTGATGGAGACGGAAGTTTGGGGGGGGGGCACTAACATTATGGGATTATGAAGGGGAGGGGTTTATTAACACTGGCAAGATACGATTTTACTGAATTGTTTGGTGAAACCCTGCCCCCTGCGTCCCAATTTTCTTCGTAATTTATCGCCTAATTTAATTAATCAGGTAACTATAATAAGGTAACTATACATAAATTTCCAGAAATTCCCCATAACTTCCTCATAAATTCCCCAATTTTTCTAAAAAAAACGATAAAAAATTACTTCCATCTTTCTTCTTCTTCATTCCTTCCTCATTTTCGATGTTTTACATATCAACGAATCCAAATATGAATAACGACAACGCTGCGACTGAAGCTTTCCCGGCGGTCCGCTCATCCGTTTCCGGGCTCACCTTGAAATCGATGGCGATGGAGGCGTCGCTTAAGATGCTGTCGACATCCGCGCTGGGGTCGGGAAAGGTTCGGGATGCTCGGGGAAAGAAAAATTTCCGGAACGTGCTGGACCAAACTTTGCCCAGAGAGTTGCAGGTGGATTCATAAATTTGAAAAAATATGGGGGAACATACCAATATTTGGTCAAAATGTTTAAATACAAAATATTTTTTGAAAATGCAGTATTTTGATCTCTGTTCTTCCCAGGGTTTAGATTTCCGGGGATGTTGCACCCAGAAAAAGGCGACAATTTACCTGGGGAATACAGCAGTCAGTCGAAAATACAGGTTTTATGAAGAAATTAACAATTTATCCGTCAAAATACTTTGTTTTCACGATTTCCCAGAAATAAAGTGTTTTGACAGGGATAAAATGTTAATTTTTTCATAAAACCTGTATTTTCGACTGAATGCTACATTCCCCAGGTAAATTGTCGTCTTTTTTTGGGTGTAGCATCCCTGGAAATCCAAACGCTGGGAAGAACAGGGATCAAAATAATGTTTTTTCACAAAGTATTTTGACCATCCCTTGGAAATTTCCGGGGCTGGAACACCCACAAAAAGACGAAAATCTGCAAGGAGAAGGCAACAGACATGCGAAAATAGTGGTTTTGTGAAGAAATACACTTTTCATTGCTGGAAAAATGCTGTACTTTTTTTTGAAAATCGTGAAAAAAATTATTCTGACAGCGATGAAAAGTTAATTTCTTTACAAAACCTTAATTTTCGAATGACTGCTGCCTTCTCCTCGCAGATTCTCGTCTTTTTGTGGGTGTAAGCTTGAGCTTTGCAACCTGTGTTGCAGCCGAGCGGAGTTGATCCCGCGACTACTTTTCTATTAAGCTTGAGCATATAAGTCCAATTCCTATCTCGGAGTTGCATCCGAGCGGAGTTGATACCGCAACTTTGTATACACAGCGTGGGAGTAGGAGACGTTTTGGTATATAGAGTTATGATAAATTTGCCGCGCGGATATTTGGACGCATTTTTTTAAATTTACAAAAAACCATACTTTTGGAATATATTTTTTTTCACTTTTTCGAAATACCCCTGAAAAACAGAGGAGCTCAAAATTCCCCACATTTTTTGACCAAGTATTTTCCCCACCGGTGAAAAAAAATGACGTATTTTGAATTCTATTATTTAGAGTGCCTTGATTTCCAAAGCGGTCGAGAAATTCTTCCCACCCGACCGGATGTTGAACTTCCTCGACATCTTCAAACCGAACCGAACCATCGTGGACGCGGTGGACATGCTGGGCAGCTTCCGGTCCGCGTACGGCTGCCACTTGACCGAAACCGGGGTCGCCTGGTCGGACGGAACGTTTGACACGTTCAATCTCACCGTGTCGCAGTGCAACCGGCTTTACCAGTTGATTTCATGGAGTGGCGCATTAACAAAGTATGTACATACCTGTTCACTTTCATTCATGTGCCTGATCATGATAGAGAATGAAAATGAATTTCCTGTGATTTGAATGAAAATCACTGAAGGCTTCCGTCATTTCGGATGAATGACTATGAATGAAAGGATTTCTCACTCATTTCATTTTTCACCCTATGCTTAATCCATGGGGCGAAATAAGAAATGAAGTCAGATGAATTGAAGTGAAATGAATTTGAATCAAAATGACTGAATGTGAATGAAAATCTTCACTCAAAAATCGGGATGATTAACTTTCTGGCATACCTGTTCAAAAATTTAATTTTCATTCAAAAGTCAGGCATCCTCATGCACAGTCATTCATCTGAAATGACCAGACCTTTCAATCATGTTCACTCAAATGACAGTAAGTAGTTTCATTTTCATGCACTATCATAATCAGTCAAATGAATGAAACTGAACAGGTCTGCTTTCTGGCAAGTGGCACCTCGCATTTCTCCATTTCCAGTGCAAGAAATGTGACAAACGAAACACTGCACATTTCCTAAATCCCTTTTTCAATCTTTTTCAGCAAAAGTCTCCGTTCCATTATCCTCTCTACGGAACCGGACGCTTTTTCGGGCTCAAACCTGCCCCACATTCTTTCCCGATCCTCCTCCTTGACGGAAGTGACCCTTCTGAACGGCGCGACGGATCACATCCTCCGAATTTTGGGGAAAAACTGTCCCGCCTTAAAAATTCTAAATGTCTCGCACTCTACTGGAGTCAGCGACGCAGGTCTGGCCGGGCTTATTTTGGCGGGAAGGCGCCACACCTTCGGGCGCCGCGGGCGCATGACGGTCGCAGAGGCGCGGGCCGTTCCCCCCGAGGAGAAAAATCCGTGCGCTGTGTCGCTCTGCAAGATCGTCCTAATGGGAACGATCGTGTCTCTGAACGCGGTCAATTTGTCCTGCGCCATCCTGCAGGATTCGTACTATGTCGCATTTATTCCGGATGTCATGATCGTGCGAGCGTATGGGGCGTGTCGGCACGATGTGCAGGTAGATTTGGTCTTAAATAGTCACCAATTTGTGCAAAATTGAATTTTTAAAGCAGTTTTGGACACCCAGACAAAGGGACAAGTTTAAAAATTTTAAGAAACGCCAAATAAACGTTTTTTTAAATTTTGAGACCAAATTTTTAATGAGTTGTGGACAAGCTTATTAAAAATTATCAATTTACGATTTTTTTTTTACTTATTTCGTTAGAATTTATACGATTGCAGCCTAAATTTGTCTGGGAGTTCAAAAAGTTGAAACGTGAATGAACCAGGAATAAGTTGGAAATAAACCAGAAATTGTAACTGAGTTGAAGACAATTATTCAAAAATTATATGAAAAATATCCAAAAAATTATCAATTTCCAATTTTTAGTTGAAACTTTGTACGATTAGTCCCAAATTAATTTAGGAATCCAAAAACGTTTAAAAATTCAATTTTGTATATACAAGTAATTTTTTACAGTGCATTTTAACCCAACTAATTTTCCACACTATTAATCCTCAGGGGACACATGTTTCCACCCGGGTTGAAAATGAGGCCTCCCTCCACCCACTTTTTGGCCGGGAAGAACCCACCCTTCGCCAGGTGGGGCGGATCCTGGGTCAATTTGTCACTCGGAGAGCGGGCACCGAGGGAACGCTGCAGGTTCTGGAGCACCACGAGCTTCCCCGTGGTAACGGAGACAGGAGTGCGTACAATTTTGTGAGAGGAGTGGATTCCTATCTGGCCGAAGGCATGTTCGTGACACGGTCCATGAACACGGATGAGACCATTCTTATTACGCGTAAGGAAAATAACTGACAATGGAGGCGCAAACCATGTTCAGCCAGATAATTTTTTGACCTTATTAGTTTGAAAGAGCAAGTCTTTATAAACAATATTTGGTTCGGCACTTGGGCAGATGCGCAAATTTCAGCACGTTATGGTCGCCGCAAGTTCGCAAAAACGCACGAAGTTGAGCTCGCGCTGGGCATTGCCCGAAAAATAGTGCGTTTTTGCGAACTTGCGGCGCCCATAGCGTTTTGAAATTTGCGTATCTGCCCAAGTGCCGAACCAAATGTTGCTTGTAAAGACTTGCTCTTTCAAACTAATAAGGTCAAAAAATTATCTGGGCTGAACATGGTTTGCGCCTCCATTGTAAGTGGAAATATAAATTGAATATCTGTATTTCGGATGTAACCACTTGGGAGAAATAAGGGCGAGGAAAGTGGTTTCATGCATACCTGTTCAAAAATTTAGTATTCATTCAAAATTCAGTTATCCCGATTTCTGACTGAAGATTTTCATTCACATTCAGTCATTTTCTTACAAACTCATTTCATTTCACTTCATCTGACTTCATTTCTTACTTCCCCATGTATTAAGCCAAGGGTTAAAAATGAAATGAGTGTGAAATCCTTTCATTCACAGTCATTCATCTGAAATGACGGAATCCTTCAGTCATTTTCATTCAAATGATAGGAAATTCATTTTCATTCCCTGTCATTCACTATAATAATCAGTCACATGAATGAAAGTGACCAGGTATGCCTTGCACTGCAAGAAATATAGCAAACCCGCAAGAAACGAAACACTGCTAAATTCACATTAAATAATTTTGATCGCATCTATTTTTAGAGTTGATCTTATTCTGGGACTCGTTCGAATGGCCGATCGCAGGTCTCCCAGATTTGGACGAGTTGGGCGTCTGCCTCCCAAACCTGGTCGTGCTCAAGGCACGCCTCCGAGGAAAATGGGACCGAGCCGAACCACTCTTTCCGAACCTGCGGGAAACGTACATTTGGACTGTGAGCGATACCACGATGCTCTCGTTTTTGCGGAGCTCGCCAAAAATTGAAATCCTCAATTTCAGCTGTTTAGATCTACTCGGGTAAATATTTACAAACATGCTTTCATGCGAGGTGCAAAAAAAACTGCAAGAAATATGCGATATGGACACATGCAGATAGCTGAGAAAAAAACAGTTTCTTGTCGTTATTTCTTGCAAGTATTAATAGTTACGTTTGCATGCCCGAAACATTGATCATGAATTTGCAAACTTTACTTGCTAATTTATAACAGTGTTTTGTTTCTTGTGGGTTTGTCACATTTCTTGCACTGCAAATCAAGCGATGCAAGAAACTGCAAGAAACATGCACCATCTTGACACATGCCGTATTTATTGCGGGGGGGGGGACCTAGTTTCTTGCGCCGTGCATTTCATGCATGATGCAGACCAAAATTGCTCAAAAGCACGACATTCTTGCCTTTATTTCTTGCAAGCAGTGTTACGTTTCTTGCGGGTTTGCTACATTTCTTGCACGGCAGAGCAAACCATGCAAAAAATGCGAGGTGCATGCAAGAAACTGCAACAAACATGCGCCATCCATACACCCACGCGCAGTATGAAAATACCGCGTCTGGACGCAGCTTCTCGCTCGTTGCGTTTCTTGCAGTTCTGCAAAAAACACTTTCTTGCACCTTATTCCTCCCACCTGAAAACACTAGCCATCAATTTAACCCATTAAAAAAATCCTCCTTTTTTTCCTCCAGAACGCACGAGGAACAGCTGACCGACGCCACTTTGGCTCAAGCACTTTCCGCAAATCCAACTCTTCTCACAACCCTGGTCGAAGTTTGTATCTCTCCAGGCCGCGATTTACACCCTTGTTCGGCACGTTTCCTGCTTCAGAGGGCGCCAAAGTTGAAGCGGTTAGGCGACATTGAATCGTGGCGCGTGACGCTGGCCGAAATGAAACAGCTGGGCGAAGAGATGGACAAAGCGAATTCGAAATGCATCCTAACCGTATTGTCCTTTCCGCCCAAGGAGAAGCATCAGTACCTCTTTTGATGTATGATTTTATCGCCAAAATCGGAACACTTTAATCATCATTTCTCCGCCGTGGAAATATATTAAAAAATTCTGGCCGAAAAATTTGTACCGAAGGTCGTTCCCAATTTTTTAAGAAATGCACACTCCAGATTTTGACACTTTGTATTGGAACTTATCGAAACCGGCTGAAAAAAACTCGACGCCATTACATCAATCAACTCACTGACGGCAAATGTGTCGCCCAATTCTTAGAGCCGCGACTTAATAAAATAGAAATCTTGATCTGACCATAAATTTTGTGCTGGAAATTTCATCATTTTATTTATTTGCTAATCATATTTCAGCTAAATAATAAATAATTTCAGTATTTTCTCCTCTTGGGATGCAAATAACTCGGCCAAACGTGCCCATTGGGAGATTGTATCTTTTGCAAATTTCATCCTACTCAAATTTATGATCGATTGACAACGTATGCTCTCTGATTTTGACGAAATTAGTGTAAATCATTCACAAATTTAATTAGGGTAAAATTGGCAAAAGACACAATCTCCCAATGGGCACGTTTCGCATCCTAAGAGGAGAAAACGCGTCATAAAGTTGACAAATTTTACACTTTCCAAATTTACTGTGCGTTTTCTCCTCTTCGGATGTAAACTTCTAAGCCAAATGTGGTCATTGGGAGATCGTGTCTTTCGCAAATTTCATGCTAATCAAATTTATGATCGATTGACATTAATTTCGCCAAAATCAGAGAGCATTCGCTGGGAGACCTGTGGTATTCCGTCAAACTTGCCAAATGCTCCTTGACAACTCCCCCTAAAAAAATTGGCTTATCAACAAACCTGATATCACTCGTACGATTTATTATTTGAACTAAAAACCACACCCTTCAACATGGCCACTTCAACACCTTCGAGAGCTTGGGACGCGTCCTTTTTCTGGCAGTGGTTCTGTCTCAGCCTCATCGAAACCATCGTGTGGACCTTCACGCTCAAAGTCATGACCATTTTGGAGCAGTGGCTCTCCCTCGACGTGTACAAAACGCTGCAAGCCTTCCTCAATTCATGGTACGCTCATTAATTATCTAACTTAATGATTCATCACTAACTTGGTCAAAATCAGCACATTTTTAATCATTTCTCGCCTCCAGGAACTTATTTTAAAACTCTGGATAACAAATTTCTGGATCAGGTTGTTCCCAATTTTTTGAAAAGGTGCAATCTTTAGATTTTGACCCTTTTTGAAGGAGGAGATCTCAAGTTTAAGAAGCCTTCAGAAAAATTGGAACTCGTCGAAACTGGCCTAAAAAATTCAACGCCATTCCATCAATCAACTCACTGACGGGAAATTTGTCGTTCAGAATTTTAAAATAAGTTCCCAGAGCGGAGAAATGACTAAAAATGTGGAGATTTGGACGATTGTTTTAAAATTCTGGACGAAAAATTTGTATTCAGTGAGTTGATTAATGGAATGGCGTTGAGTTTTTTAGGCCAGTTCCAAAAAATCCAAATGAAGCTTAAAGTTTCCTTAAAGTTTTCAGAAATCACCCATTATTCTGAAACAATTTTTAAAATCATAGTAAATTGTGGGATTTTAAAGCCAGTTACGAGAATAAACTTTTCTTTAACCAGATTAATTTTGGGTCGGAAACAATCGACAAAAATATGTTGTTTTTTTCAAATCATATTTCAGAAATTTTTAAAAACTTAATAATCTAATGTTGGCTCGTCACCAAATCGTTAAAATTACTTAAAATCAACACATTTTTAATCTTTTCTCGTTTCTGGGAATTTATTTTAAGATTCTGGGCGACAAATTTGTCCTCAGTGAGTTGATTGATGGAAAAGCGTTGAGTTTTTTGAGCCAGTTTCGACGAGTTCCAATTTTTCTGAAGGCTTCTTAACCTTGAGATCTCCTCCTTCAAAAAGTGTCAAAATCTGGAGTGCATATTTCTGAAAAATTGACAGCTCCTTCTGCTCTACAAACTTTTTCTTCAGAATTTTAAAATAAGTTCCCAGAGCCGAGAAATGATTAAAAACGTACTGATTTTCTCAATTTTGGTGATCCATCAACCAATCCTACGCTAATTAATTAATCAACTAAAACCCTCCCATTTCACCCCCAAAATTCTCCTTATCTTCCTCAGGCTTATCTGTTTCTTAACCTGCGCGATCTTCCACCTCATCGGAATTTTATCCATCGACGACCTCATTCCCGATCGGAATGACGACTTTGCCAAATTTTTGGAACAGGTTTTCAAATTCTATTCGAACAAGGATCAAACTCAGATTCCGACCGAACCAATTTGGCGAATCCTACTCGTCTCCTTCTATTTCGCCATGATCGCGTCCTGGTTTTATTTGGCGGTCATTGCGGGGACACGGATCGTGCTGGGTTTCATCGCCGGGGGGACAGAGGAGGAAAACAACAAGTTTTACAACCTCCTCACCGGCGTCATGATCCTCGTCGCGGGCAAAAATTTCTTGTATATGACGCTAAACGTGATTCAGTAGATCAATTTAAATCCATACGACGAGAATGTGATTAAAATGAAATTATGCAAATAAATGGTGGTAACAAGCACGTTCTAAACTATTGTTGGATTTTTTAAATTTTCTGTCAAGATTTGCAGTGTTTCTTATACATGACGCTCAACGTACTTCAGTAGCGTCATAACTTGTCCTTTTTAAAACTACAGAACGTGAAAATGTCTAATTATGTAAATAAAATGAAATTATGCAAATATATAAATCACATTTTTAGCAGGATGAAAGCTTTAAACTATTTCTTCCGATTGAGATCTTCAATTCAAGCGTATGCTCTCCGATTTTGGGCAAATTACTGTCCATCGATGGCAAATTTAATTAGGATAAAATTTGCGAAAGATACGATCTCCGAATGGGCACCTTTGGCGCAGATGTTTGCATCAGAAGAGGAGAAAACGCTCTAAAAAGTTGACAAATTTTACACTTTCCAAATTTACTACTCGCTTTTCCCAGTCGGATGCAAATATCTGGAGATATTTGCGATTGATAAGGCAAGTTACGATAAGGTAAATTAAGATATTTTTAACGGATAATTTAAGATAATCTAAAGGCCAGGCCCATTAATATACCCACCCAGGATAAAGTTATATGTAAATATGTATGTAAATAGTAAATAGCAGAGGCAATAATTAATTTCTTAAATTAGCAAAGTTTTCTGTTCTCAATTTATTAATACAGTTTTTTTAATTTCTCCAAAAATTTTGAATTTTTTTCATACTTTCATAAGTTCAAATTAGATTTCAAATTATTATTTCTTCTCTCAACACTGTGGGAGCGACTGGTAATTGAAGACCGTGGAAGTTCGTGGAAAGTTTCCCTTGGACGGATGTGCCCACGCCATGTATCGCGGCCCATATTTCACTAAAATAAAATAAAATTTTGAGCAGAATTAGAATTTTGGGAAAATTTGTTATCTTTTTTATAAAATTATGAAAATCAATTAAACCTCCGAGATAGGGCGGCCATTCACACCGAGTTTTCGGATAGCAGATCGGAGCTTTGTTGCACCCACAGGAAATATCACTCGCGGCGATGCGTTGGTCCTCATTGTACCGACGCCAATCCCGATTGATTCCGTATTGCGTGGGGTCACTAAATTTACATAAAAATCATGCAGAAATTTACTATCGATCTAAGGTTAGCTAGAAATTTGCAAATTTTGCAGAAATCTGTTGGGGAGCAAGTAAATTTTAAAAATCATACAAAAATTATCGTGCTAAAATTTACCATATAAGGTTAACAAGAAATTTGCAGAGAAACTGTTGTGGAGCAAGTCAACTTTACAAATCATACAAAAATTTGCCAATATGTTAAACAAGTTAGCAAAATTAGCATCTGAGGAACTGTTGAGGGGCCACTAAATAAATAGAAATTATGCAAATATCGGCAAATTTACGCAAGAAACTACTAAAATTAACAAAATTTCTTGTGTGGTAGCTAAATACATAAACAATTTCGCAAAAATGCACCAATTTTAGTGCAAAATTCGCAAAATTAGCGGATAAATTGTTGTAGCGTGGCGTCACTAAATAAATACAAACTTTACAAAGAATTCATCAATTTAGGGAAAAAATTACTTTAAAAAATCTCAAAAATGCATCAATTTTGGTACGAAATTTGCAAAAATAGTAGAGAAATTGTTGTGGCTTCACTAAATAAATGATTACAAATCGTGCAAAAATTTGCCAATTCACATAAGAAATTACTAAAATTAGCATAAAGCCTTGCACGGTCACTAAATAAATAGGACATAATCTTGTAAAAATGTACCAATTTTGGCCAAAAGATAGGAAAATTATTGCTCAAAACTGTGCAAAAATCATACAAAAAATTAGCAAAAATTCTTGCACGGTCACTAAATAAATACGGCAGAATGTTCCAATTGTGGCAAAATTATTGCCCAAAAGTGTGCAAAAATCGTGCAAAAAATTAGCATATATAACTCTACCATTTATCCTTCTCTGGCAACTCCCAGACGCACGGAATCGTGGGTCCGATCAGGCTGCGGACCTTGTGACACTTGAAGCTCCAGTCGTCCGGTCCTGGACACGCTTGACATCCGATGTTGCTCGGCGTGACGAGCTGATCCACAAAATTTCGCCATTCCGCTTGGACGACGCGGTTTTTGAACCAGGGCTGGTCCTCGTACGCGCGGAGGAGACCGATGTCACAGTTCTTGTTCCAGTACGATTTCATGTCGTCCACACAGTTCCGCGGCAGGTTGCAGACCACGCGACACTTTTTGGGAAAAAATGGCGAAATTTTATGGCAAAATTTCTACTCGGAATTTTATGGTGGCCAAATTTTATGTCAGTATATTTATCGAAATTTTATGATGGAGTTTTACATGGGTCGGAATTTTATGTCGGGGTGTTGAATCGAAATTTTATGCTGTTCAAATTTTAGGTCGGAATTTTATGTCGGAATTTTATAATCTGCAATTTCATGTCCAAATTTTATGTCAGGATTTTTACGATGTCCCAATTTGTCCAAATTTTAGTCGAATTTTCTATCGATTGAAATTTCAAGGTCTGTGTCCAAATTTTATGCCAGAATTTTATACTCTCAAAATTTTGTCGGAATTTTTGTTGTAGGAATTTTATGATGTCAAAATTTTGTCTGAATTTTATAATGTCCTAATTTTGTCCCGAATTATACCTCCAATTCAAAAAATGCTTACTTTTCCATACGATTTTCCGCACGTGAGTCCTGCCCGATTCGACTTTTTACCCCCGCAGGACGCGTCCCCAAGGGGCGACGGGCCGCTGAGCATATTCGGATTGTACAGCTTTCGGACATCATCCACCCGGACGGAGTACGGCGAACGGCGACAATTTTTACACGACATGACGAAAACACGGAAATTTTATTCCAAGAAATAAAATAGGTCACGAAAAATCGACACAATTTGATATTTCGCCATCGTTATTTATTTCGCCACGGGTTTGTTTATTATCTCCGAGACGACAAAGTTCCACTCATTTATAATCTTGTCAAATATGTAAATGATGTCAGGTCACGTGGCGTTAAAATTTTAATTTACACCATTTTCATGAATTTCATCATCCTAATTAAATTTACTCATTGTTAAGTCGAATAAATGGCGTTAATGGCGTGGCGTAAATTGTCGTTACGAAAATAGCGTCGTCGCGTAAATGAATGCGCTTATCCATACATTTTGTTATTCAATAATCCCCAATTTTTTACAGATTAATTCACCATTTTTCACATCATTTTACTTAAATTTACTTGTCATTAAGTCGAATAATTAAATACTTGGAGTAAATGGCGTCACGTGATGGATATGCGCTTATCTACCTTTTATTCCTCGATATCCACCAATTTTACATATATTTTTTTACATATCATCATTAATACTATGAAACCACGTGGAAGCCTGATCCGTCTGCGCCGTCGTGTTTGTCGTCGTACTCGCCCGCGTCGGCGTGGTCGTTGTCGTCACCCCGGTCGATGCTCCGGCCGGGGGTCGAATTACCATGTTGGGCGCAATATTCATGATCGACATGGTTTCCAGGAGGCCATGATTGGACGCCTTCCGATTAACCGTGCCGACGGGCATGAGTCTGTGCACGGCGAGCAGCTTGGTCCGGATGTTCGCCATGGTGGTCGAGGGGATGGAGGGCGTTGGCGACCCCGTCGATGTCCCTGACCCGCCCGCCGCCGCGATGGGGCCGGATCCTCCGTCGGTATGTGGTGGTGGGTGTGGGTGCGGATGCGGGTTCCACAGGCCGGGGGATACTATCCGCATTTCGGGAGGGACGTCGGTCTCGTCGCGGTAGGATAAGTCTGAAATTTGTATAAAATTATAGTGTTTTGGTTTTTGCAGGTTTGCAAAATTTCCTGCGCTGGGAAGCAAGAATGCAAGAAATACGCGCCATATGAGGTAAAAATTTCCTGCGCTGGGAAGCAAGAATGCAAGAAATACGCGCCATATGAGGTAAAAATTTCCTGCGCTGCGAAGTAAGAACGCAAGAAATGCGAGGTGCCAGAAAGTGGGAGAAATATGCGTCATCTAGCGACGCGCCGTATGAGGTATTGCAGCGGGGTGTCGTTTCTTGCAGGTCAAACCTGTTCGCTTACATTCATTTGAATGATGATGATAGTGAATGATGGTGAATGAAATGAAGTTCCTGTCATTTGACTGAATAATTCCGTCATTTCAAATGAATGACTTGAATGAACGGATTTTTCACTCTTTTCATTTTTCACCCTATGCTTAATACATGGGGTGAAGTATGAAATGAAGTCGGATCAAGTGAAATGAAATGTAATGAATTTGAAACAAAATGACTGAATGTGAATGAAAATCTTCACTCAGAAACCCGGATGACTAAACTTTGAATGAAAAAATAATAATTTGACCAGGTATGCTACCACTTTCTTTCCATTATTTCTTGCAACTGGTTACTTGTACCTGAAACATTTGCGGCGCAAATAAAATTTATGCATTACCGGAAATTGCGTAAACTGCGCCGGGTTTGTAGAGGAGGCTGTCGTGAAGATTGCTGTGGGGAAAGAGCACTTTCGACGCGTAGGATCCCATCCACATGATTATCCAGCAACACCCTGCCCCACCAAAGATTAAGATCTGCAATAAAAATACATCTTAACGTATGTACGACTCATCGCCAAACTGGTTAAAATCAGCACATTTTTAAACATTTCTCAGCTCTGGGAACTTATTTTAAAATTCTGGACGACAAATTTGTAGTAGGTGATTGATTGAATGGCTGTCAGTTTTTTTCAGCTAGTCCCAATTTCTAATTCAAAAAGTGCTAAAATCCGGAGTGGATGTATATTTCTAAAAAATGTGTTCCACAAACTTGGTCGGAATTTTAAAATACGTAAATTCCCGGAGGCGAGAAACGATTGAAAATGTGCTGATTGTGACCACTTTGGCGACGAGTTATCGAGTCCTTGTAATACAATTTTCTAAAATCATCAAACAAACTATTCCTCTGCCAATTAATTAAATAAGTAAAAAAAAAATTAATTGTAAGTGTAACTGATTATGAGTAAGTAAATAATTGATTAATTAACTATTTATTTTACAATTGCCAGAATCTTGTAGAAATCCATGGGGCAAATCTTGAGCTTTTCAAAATCTTTTAAAGTGTACTCCTTCCGAGCTCCGGGGATGGCAATTTTCTCGGCTAGCTTGACGTGGCGACAAGGGTCTTGAAAATTCATGGCGACGTAGCGCCCGTACACGCACAGCTTCACGATGTCCAACAACCTCTGCAACTCTGCAGCGTCCTCCATCGAATCTAAAACCTGACAAAAATTGTGCATAAATAAATGATTTATTTCATAAGTGGTGACAACCCCCCAAAAAATTATGGTTTTTAGTCCCATCCAAACAGAAGTTTCCGATTTTGTAAAACCACAGGATTTGGGTTAAATCAAAAATCGAAATCGGGAGCCGGACATGAATTTAAAAAGTCGTCCATGAAAATCAACATTTTTGTAGAATTTCCGGTTTTATGAAAATTTACACTTTCATGGAATTTACCGTATTACGGAATTTACCACTTTACGAAATTTATGGTTTTATGAAAATTTACGTTTTTACGGAACAGTTTTCAGATTTACTACGGAATTGCGGAATTTAAGGTTTTAGAGAACCTACAGTTTTACGGAATTTACGGTTTTATGAAAATTTCCGGTTTTATAGAATTTCCGGTTTTACGAAAATTCACAGTTTTCCGGAATTTACCGAATTTTCGATTTTACATAGTCTCCAATTTTATCAAAATTTCAAAAATTAACCCCAACTACTTTAAAATCCTCCCATTTTACCCCCCTAAATTGTACCCACCTGACAATTATTCGTGACCACGGGCCAATCCGGATTAACCTTTTTGTAATGATGCGGCCTGTGGTGTGGCACCATTCCTCCCGCCGAAACGTTCACGTCCTCAATCTGCGTCCTGATGTGGACAAACCCGTCGGGAATGAAGACGATCGTGGACATGGTCAAAATCACTCCCGCCACGAACAGCACCACGCCCAGAACGCCAAACCCGATGAAGGCCGCGATCAAACGCTTCCTCCACTCGGAGACGCTGCACGCCACGAAAATGACCAGCTGCACGGCGGCGTAGAGAAAAACGGCCAGGATGAGGACGATCACACCCGTTTCGAGGGACTGGTCACGATCAGAAATGGTCAAAAATACTTGGTCAAAATTCATAATTTACCGTATTTTAAGCTCGGTTCTTCCCAGGGTTTGCATTTCAAGGGTGTTACCATACCTGTTCATTCATGTGACTTATTATAACAGAGACTGATAGTGAATGAAAATGAATTTCCTATGATTTGAATGAAAATGACTGAAAGATTCCGTCATTTCAGATGAATGACTGTGAATGAAAGGATTTCTCACTCACTTCATTTCTCACCCTATGCTTCATACACGGGGCGAAGTAGGAAATGAAGTCCGATGAAGTGAAATGAATTGAATTTGAACGAAAATGACTGAATGTGAATGAAAATCTTCAGTCTGAAATCGGGATGACTGAACGTTGAATGAAAACTAAATTTTTGAAAACGTATGGCTGTTACACCCAAAAAATGTCTACCTGGAGAAGGCAACAGTCGTTCGAAAGTACAGGATTTCTGAAGAAATTTACCTTGTATTGCATTCAAAATACACTTTATTTTCAAAAAATCGAGAAAACAATGTATTTTGACCCCGATAAAAAGACAATTTCTTCACAAAACCCGTATTTTCGACTAACTGTTGCCTTCTCCACACAGATTTTCGTCTTTTTGTGGGTCTAACACCCCCGGAAATGCAAACCCTAGGAAGAACAGAGCTCGAAATATTTGTAGTTTGACAAATACCTGGTCACGATGCAAGTACTTCTTCAAATTCGTGTAATTCGCCGCGGCTGGAAAAACTTGGGCCACATGGCGAAGTTTTTTACCCGCAAAGATTACATCCTTTGATGAAACGGATGGGAAGGCTCGTTTCTCAGAGAGGATCCCGTTCCACGCCAGGTCGTCGAGGAACGCGAACAATTCCAGAGTTGCGGAGGCTCCACATAAAATCTAAACATGTCGATAATTAGTTAATTGATTAAGTAAACGGCAAAAAAAATTTTGTGACAGTATTTCGAGCTTTAAGAGATTGGAGTTCCAGCCATGGGTAAAACCAGTTCTTGCTACACACATTACATGCACTGCAAATGCGAGGTGCAAGAAAGTGCCAGAAATATGCGTCATCTAGCCACGCGCCGTATGAAGTGTTTATAGCGGCCGGGCGCAGTTTCATGCGCCTCGAATTTCTTACAGACTTTCTTGAAGCTATTTCTTCCAAGTGGTTACGCAAGAAATACAAGAAATGCGACGTGCAAGAACCTGGGAGAAAATGCGAGAAATATGCGCTACCTAGTCACGCGCCGTATGAACTACAGCGGCCGAGCGCAGTTTCTTCCTTTACCTGAATTTCTTGGAGGTTAAAACATTTACCTGCAAAAAAAACACTTTCCGCCCGTTATTTCTCCCAAATGGAAATCCAATCCCTTACAAGACCGGAACTCAAAATACTCTAAATATTTTGACCACCTCTTTTACATAATTATTTACATAATTTAAATCTATTCACTCACGATAACCACAATCATCAGCAGGATCAGCATCACATGATAAATCCACCTTGAACAGGCCACCGTTTCCTTATTCCCTTCGTGGTTGTCCAAGAACGCCACCGATTTTTGTGAGTGGACGCCTCGCTCGAGAAACGTGGCGGCCGTGTTGGACAACTTGTCCGCTTCGCGCGCCTGGTCTTGCGGCCCCTTCGATTGCGCGAAAGGTAACCCGAGCGTGGAGCGGCGTCGACCCACCCGGCGACCACTGCCCGCCGAAGAAACCGAAGCGATTGACCGATTCGGCTCGGGGACGAAGGACACAGACGGTTCTTTAGAGGGAGGATTCATAATTTAATTCTTATTTTTTTTCGGAAATTTATTTCACGCCGGGAACATTTTCGCCATGCACAGATTTTGGCACGGATAAAACGGGAACGAAAAGCATGATAATCACGAGACTGACATGGATTTATTTGCCAATTGTCTGCCTTTCGGGTATGATTTCTTTCTTTTACTCCTTGGGAACTTGCGCCAATGTTGTAATTTTTTGACTGTGGCGCAAGTTACCAAGGTTCATTTTTGAAAAAAAAACTTTCATAATTCTGAAAACATTTTGCTGAAAAAAGACGTCGCGAAAAAAAAAAACGTTTTCGCCAGGTTATTTATTTCCCGATTTTTTACGGAAAATAATAAATTACACTCGAGCACCAACTCGTTTTTTGAGTCCATTTTCGAAATCTTACTCAATTTCTACCCCATTTCAAACTACGGAAAATGTCGCGAACTCCAAATTTGAGCCGCACCACGACCACCACCACGTTGTCGGACAGTAGTCTGTCAAGGAGATCAAGTGGTTCATTCTCTCGGGCGTCGGCGTCGGCGGCGTCGGTGTCTTCAGTGTCCTCTACTTCCTTCACGACCTTATTCGCCCGTGACGAAGAAGAAGACCAAGAAATCGGTGACGATACCTTAAGTGAAGAGTCGCTAGATTCGGAAAGGTATGCATGAGAGGTCAATTCACGTACAACAAAATCTTGTCCCTGGCAGAATGGTGATTGAACAATTATTGACCAATTCGATCACAAATTTAATTAGTATAAAATTTCCAAAAAACACGAACTCCCAAGAGCACGTTTGGTAGAAAAATTTGCATCCGAAGAGTAGAAACCGTGCAGTAGAAAAGTGTAAAATTTCTGAAGTATACTGGTCGTTTTTTCCTCTTGGGATGCAAATATCTCTGCGAAACGTGCCCATTGGGAGATCGTGGCTTTTGCAAATTTCATCCTAATTAAATTTGCGATCGATTGACATTAGTTTGCTCAAATAAACCCCTCCCTCCTAAAATATCTATGTCCCCAAATGTCCCCACGGCTTCCACTAATTGAATCAATCTTGTTAATCTTAATAAATAGTGAGGGGTCGCTGGAGTCCTTCACTGAAGGGTCGCTCGAAAACCCAATCCGAGGTTCAAGCCAAGAATCGCTGCCATGCTCGAGTCAAGGATCGCTTCCTTCTTCCAGCCAAGACTCGCTCGACGGCCCGATATCTCCCACCGTCAGTAAAACCATGATCCGTGCCGCGATCGATAAGGTGGCCGCGAAGCGATTGACGGAAAGAGGCGTCCCCCGCGCGTGCTACACGCCCAAATGGATTTCCAACAAGACGGAACGCAACACGCAGGTACACAAGTACTTAAACCCGTCTTGTAAATTAACTGATTCGTACATATTAACACGCAAATAAAATTGTAATAATGAAACCTTTTTTCAAGCTATTCCGTGATTTTGTAGCGATTTATGTCAAAAAATCAAGCCAAAAATTAGGAATCATGTGACGCTCGTCTTTCCGTTGAATGTCCCTTTTGAAGAAAAATATTTGGGACAAAGTCCAATTTTCGAGTTACTTTTCCACCACGGGGCGAAAACCAAGCTGGACACGTGACCAATATTTTTCGGCACATTTAACGGAAATATGTAGGAGTGTCACGTGGTTCATAATTTTTGGCTTGATTTTTTTACATAAACCGCTACAAAGTCACGGTGTAGCTTGAAAAAAAGGTTCCATTGTAAATCAAATTAAATCAAAATTAGGATATCGACGGCCGGATGGCGTTGTGGGGGTCACCCTGCAAACCGAAGACGAAGGACTGGATGAAATTCCAACGAGACGAGTATTTACGGGAGCAAAGGAAGTACGAAAAGTCGGAGGATGCCCTTATGGATCTATTTTTCGAACCTTGGAAGCCCAAAGTGGTTCAGCATAGATTCAATTTTGGATGTGAGCGAATTTCATACATATTTTTCTTAGATCTTGAGTTTAATGTTTGACTCTAAGTCAAAGTCGTGACATTTTTAATCGTTACTCCGCTTTGGAAATTTATTTTAAAATTCTGGACGATAAATTTCCAGTCAGTAAGTTGATTAATGGAATGGCAGCGAGTTTTTTGAGCCAGTTTCGACGAGTTCCAATTTTTCTGAAGGCTTCTTAAACTTGAGATCTCCTCCGCCAAAAAGGGTCAAAACAGTACCGTACCAACCGTGGTATGGTGGTACCAAATACCAGGCCCGGGGCCCGCAAGGGCCCGGGCCAGGTCACTAGCTTTTCACTAGATATAATGGACTTTTTTGGGTATTGACGATTTTACAAAAAATATTCCACGCAAATAAATTTTCTTACATCTAACATGAAACTGCTAGATTTATTTGTTTTTCATGTGTAATTATGCTTGTATGAATTTAGAGCAAACATACTGTGTCACCTTTAATTTTAATAGTTTGACTTTCGAATTTCAAATAATATGAAAAATCCTGATTTTAGCTGAAACGCAATTTAGAAATTCAGTTAAAAGGGAAATTAGCACACTTAAAGAAAACCTAAAAGTGTGGATCGACTTATTTCTGTGCTTGAGGAATTTTAAAATTTACGGGGTAAAAATCGGAGAGGATCACATCACGCCTACGAATGTTTCGTTACAATTTTGAAATATGTAAATTACCTGACACCAAAATTTGTCAAAAGTTGCCATATTGCTATTATATTTTGTGGGATTTTGGGAAATTGTAAAGTGTTGGTACATTCTTAATTTGTTGGAACCGAAAATGCGAACTTCAAAAATTCAATGTGAAAAAAGCAAAGATGCTTTTTGGAAACTCAAATGTGCCTCGCTAGGGGACAAATTTAACGAAACCCAGTGATAAAAGTGGATATGAACTTAGGACCATTAACTTACAATGCGATGACACCATCGGTCTCTCTCCGTTTTTGACGAAACCTCGATAGTTATGCAACCTTAGACATATAATAGAATACGTGTTTCAGGATTTTTCATAATGCTCAGCTTAAAGGAAATTATAACGGAATCCGTGAGCGAGAACTTCCATTTTGACCGTGACATTTTCTTGCGAGGGAGAAAAATAAAGATTCTCGCTTACGAATACCATCATACATAATTTCGTTTAAGCTTAAAATGCGTGGGCATAGATTGGTTTCCTCCAATTTTGACCCGACCAATTTAGATTGCATACACAAGGAAATAAGAGGACGTAGTTTTGTGCATACCCCGTTACTGCCTGTGAGAAAATTTTTGAAGTCATTTTGAGCCAAATTTGGATTTTTCAAAGTTATGTAAATTTTTAAATTTGGGCCCTATTGCAAAAATGAAAGAACATTTTTTGCAAAGCATGACATTGAGTTTAAGGAAATTCTCAATTTCAAAAACTTTAAATTTTTTCGAATTTTCTGATCTGGAGCATATTTTCATACAAATTTCGAACGTTAAAAGTTCTTCGAAAAACAGTTCTTATAATTTTATGGAAGTAATTTTGAGCAAACACGTTCTTTGATTTTTAAAATAGCGTTAAAAATTCAAAATTAACAGCTTTCTCAAAAATCCTGATTTGGCTGAAAATGTATTAAAAACTTGTCACAACCGAAAAACGAACATACCGGAAAACGAAAATTACGGGTTCAGTTATTTTAGTGTGTGAGCAACTTATTTAAAATTGGTTAGATCAAAATCCAAAGAAATCAATTCAGGTCCACGCATTTTAACTTTAAACGGAACTATGATAGAGTTCGTCAGCGGTAAAAATACTGGAAATTCTCGCTCATGGATTCCGTCATAATTGAGTTTAAGCTGAGCATTATAGAAATGCTGAAACACGTGTTTAATTATGTGTCTCAGGTTGTGTAATTATTGTGGTTTCGTCAAAATCGGAGAGACCGCTGGCGTCATCGCATTGTGAGTCAGACTATAAGCTAACTGCTTCAGGCCCAAATGTTTACGATTGTATATTTTTTTCTTACCGCTTGGTTCAATTTTAAAAGCTATTTTCAGCTAAAACGTTGACTTTTCAAAATACTGTATGTTTTTGAATGTGTACCTTTCAAGAAATCAAGAATACGTGTTCTAAGCATTAAATAGAATTGAGTTTTCGGACCGGCATTATCGCCAATTCCAAATGAGTCTTTGAATTTTTTAAACTTTTAAAACGGATAGAAAAGTAATCAATCGAAAAGGGTTTGGGAAACGTTGCGAAGTAAGCGAAAAGTATCATATTCGCATATTTATGCAACTTATACGTATATAATTTTCTCCGTCCCGGCGATATTTTAAAAAATATGGCTGAGTTAAAAGCGCAAGTAAGTAAATTGTCACTATCTATTTTCCCACGGAACTGGGAAAATAGTGTACTCTTAATACTCGTAGAATATTATCTACTTCGTTCCAGAATATTCTGTATTCTGGAACCAAAACGATTACATAATATCGAATATATTGAAATTATGAAAGGGCCCGGCACCGAAGCTCATACCAGGCCTGACAATTTCACGGTACGGCTCTGGGTCAAAATCTGGAGTGTATATTAAAAAAATAGGAAACTATCTGCTCTATAAATTTGTCATGAAAAATTTTAATATAAATTCCTGCGAACTTCTGTGAAATATCTGTACTTTTACCTATTTGGTGCACTAAACCTGAGTTATCTTTAATAATCTTTATTTTCACTATTTCCTAAATCGACTTTAAACTTAGTCATCCACATCGTCAAAACCAGGACATTTTTAATCATTTCTCGCCTCTGGGAACTTATTTTAAAATTCTGGACGACAAATTTGCCGTCGGTGAGTTGATTAATGGAATGGCGATGAGTTTGTTGAGCCAGTTTCGATGAGCTCCAATTTTTCTGAAGGCTTCTTAAACTTGAGATCTCCTCCTTCAAAAATTGGCAAAATCTAGAGTGTGTATATTTCTGAAGAATTGGCAACAACCTGAATTCGCCAAATCTTTCAAAATCTTCAGATTTTTAATCGTTTTTCAGGTCTGAGAATTTTTGTTAAAGAATGAGAATTTATTCTAAAATTCTGGACGATAAATTTGTAAAATAGGTCGTTCCCAATTTATCAGAAATATACACTCCAGATTTTGACAGTTTTTTTAGGAGTTTTTTTAGGAGAGCCTTCAGAAAAATTTGAACTCAAAACTATAGTAGCTGAAAAAACTCACCATCATTCTATCAACCACATTTTGGAACATTTTTCGCCTCAGGGAATTTATTTTAAAATTTTTATACCATGCACCTTAACATGTTTTCTTTAGAGCTTTTACTTAAGTAAAATTTTAATAACTGACAATGGAGGTCTCCCAACGTGTGCTCACAGATTTGGACCAAACTGGTGTCAATCGATCACAAATATGATTAGTATGAAATTTGCAAATGGAACTATCTGCCAATGCGCAGGTTTGGCGGAGATATTTGCATAAAAAGAGGAGAAAACGCACCAAAAGGTTGGCAGATTTTTCATTTTCCAAATTTCCTGCGCATTTTTTCTGCTTTTAAATGCAAATATCTCTGCCAAACCTGCACATTGGGAGATAGTTCTATTTGCAAATTTCATACTAATTATATTTGTGATCGATTCACGCTAGTTTGGTCCAGATCTGTGAGCATACGTTGGGAGACCTCCATTGTTGGATAATTCCATATTTAAACCTGCAGACATGACTGAACCCGAACAACGCTACCTGTTCCCCTACATGTTTGAGAAGGACGCTCCCCCCACCCCCGACCCGCTCGAGGACCCCACCCTCAAACCCGAACTGAAATGGTTCATCAACAAAATGAACCAGATGAGCCACCTCGACTACGAACTTTGGATAAGAGAGATTCGCGATAAGAACGCCAAGTGCAAGGAGTGGCTGGAAAAGGGCGGGCGTGGCGTCGTCGCCGATCTCCTGGCGACGGACAAGGACGTGCGCCTCCACCCGGAAAAGAACTTGAAGAACAAGCCACCCCCTCCCCCAGCGTATATTCGGCGGAGGTTCAACAACTGGATTAAACACGTGCCCATTGCGCCGCTCTATTAATAGATTACAGATCTGTACTAATGTATGAATTTGCATATGAAATTGGTTATTATATGTGTGTCGTAAATCTGAGCCTGTGCTAATTTGAATAATAAGATAAATGCAGCAAGTATGTAAAAATAAAATAAAAATTACGGGACATAATTTCCTAAATAAAATCATGAAAAAAACAGTTCATTGTCAAATTCGTAATATAATATGGATCATGGATTTTGCATGAAAATTTGCATCAAACTTTGCATTAGAAACTAAAACGATTGAAATTTTGCGGCATATTAATTCGTCCATCGTGTACTTGCAAAATTGCAAGTTGATTCGAATTTGCAAATTATTTGTAAAATTGCATGTAAGAACAAGCCACCCTCTCCCCCGGCCTACATTCGGCGGAGGTTCAACAACTGGATTAAACACGTGCCCACTGCACCGCTCTATTAATAGACCAATTATTTGCATATGTATTTATGTACATATTAATTGATAATTGATACTAATTTATTATGTGTGTATCAAATCTAAGCCTCTTCTAATTCAAATAAACCAAATGCAACAAATCAAAATAAAATCAAAATTACGGAACATAATTTAATTTTCTAAAATTTTTGAATATCAAGTCCTTATACCGTAAATCATATCAATTACAATATAATTTTCCAAAAAAATCATGACTCAATGTCAAATTTTCAAATTCTGAACAAATGGTGCATGGAATTTTGCATGAAACTTTGCATGAAAACTAGAAAACTAAAACCGTTGGAACTGGGAGTTTGATGTTAATTAATTAATTAATAGCCTCCATTAATCAGTAAGATACGCCAAAGTTCATGGTTATCGTCAATTTGCAAAAATTGCAAATTTTTTTGCAATTATAATATGCAAAACTACATGTAAGTAAATAGTGCTTGCGATTTACGGGGTGTCTTGAGTTGCGCGAGGTTCAGTGTGCAGCCGATAAAATTGGCGATCACATTTCGCAACTTTTTGCATCACTTCTTCTACCTGGAATATTCATTCTCGCAGAAAATTATAATTGAGCAATCACAATTACTAATTTACAATTTGTCAACCGGAAATCTAATTTGATCAAGGTTTGTCGTCCGATATTTTTTTTGATAATAAAATTGATTTTATTGCTATTGCAATTTTATGGGAAACTTAATGCTTTTTTGCAAAGAAGATAATCAATAACTATTAAGTTTTTACACGTTACAATTGTAATATTTACGATTTTGTTTACTGTTTTACTTGCACAGTTTTAACCTGTTCCGAAGCCGAAGAAGTCTCCAAGATGCCGGAAATGACGAAATGCGAAGGGGCCGTGAATAAGGAACAAAAACCCTGCTCTGATAAGTCCAAGTGCACAAAAGCTGACTCTGCCACACCCCCAGCTCCCACCGAACAGAAGAAATTAAAGCCTTGTTGTGCTTGTCCAGAGACGAAAAAACCTCGCGATCAGTGGTACGTACGACACAAATTAAATTTAATCAAACCAAGTCGTCAGATTTTGAGCAAATTAATGTCAATCGATCACAAATTTAATTAGGATGAAATTTGCAAAAGACACGACCTCCCAAGGGGCACGTTTCGCAGAGATATTTGCATCCGAAGAGGAGAAAACGCACGCTAAAGTCGACAAAGTTTTACACTTTCCAAATTCACTGCACATTTTCTCCTCTTCGGATGCAAATATCTCGGCCAAACGTGCCCCTTGGGAGGTCGTGTCTTTTGCAAATTTCATATTAATTAAATATCGATACTAATTTACTCAAAATCGGATCGCATTTATCCATTGCAAGTCTGAAAACTTCAGTTTTTTTATTTTCTAAATTTCCAGCATCGTGGAACATGGGGAAGAAAACTGTACCGAACTGATTGAAGCACATAAACAATGCATGAGAAAAATGGGATTCAACATCTAAAATCCAGCTACGATAAGATGGAACTAGTAAAAAAAATTGTATTACATAATTCAGTCGTCCTCTAGTCAGGGCCACTCCGATAAGGACGACATGATAAGCATTTAATTGATAACCCAACACTTCTTGTGCCGTCAATCTGTCTTTACTTAAAAGAAACAGCGGATCTCTCCACATCAGAAATGTGACTAATTCGTTAAATATTAATTGTTGAAGAGATGATTTAACTGAATAAATCACAATTCTACACAATTTTCGATCTTGAGTGTTATGCAAATTTTATTTTTCTCCATTCCGTCCGACATGAAGTATGAGTGAAATAATTAGAGCGATATATATATTTTTTAAACATTCAGAAATTTAATTCCAACCTTCCATTTCAAAAATTTGAAGTCAATTACAATTTTTTAAACATACTTGAAAGTTACAATACAACAGGTATCATACACATTTATTAAAACATTTCGAAACAAGATAACAGTACCATTAACGTAGGACGATCTAACTCATCGCCAAAAATCCCCACATTTTTAATCATTTCCAGCCTCTGGGAATTTATTTTAAATTTCTGCCCGACAAATTTGAAGAGCGGAACTGCGGAAGTCGTTGCCAATTTTTTTTAGAAATATCCACTCCAGATTTTGACACTTTTTGAAGGAGGAGATCTCAAGTTTAAGAAACCTTCAGAAAAATGGGAACTCATCGAAACTTGCTCAAAAACTCAAGCTATTCCATTAATCACCTCACTAACTACGAATTTGTCGTTAAGAATTTTAAAATGAATTCCCAGAGGCGAGAAATGATTAAAAATGTGCTGAAATTTTTACGATTTTCCCATTAAGTCAGCCAGTCTTACGTCAAAACTCGATTTAACTATAATATTACAATACAAATTGTAATTTACAATAGTTTAGGATTCATTTACATATATTCTTAACACTTCAATAATTAATTAATATACGTCTTTCTTTCCAATAAATAATTTCATTCAGCTTAAGCGTTCTTGGTCTCTTGCACTTCCGCAAGAAGATTTACTTTAGAAGATTCCTCCTCCTCCTTGGCGACTCGAGTGGTCACGAGTTTATCGACCAAATCCAAAAATTGCGCATACTTTTTCGCAGAACTGGCCCGATTTTGATCGGACGCAGTGACCAGGTCCGTTTTAAAGTGGGTGATCCCATCCTGACCAAAGTTGTCGGCGAGGGAGGCGTAATACTCGTGAAGGACGAGCGCAATAAAGGTCTTCGAGTCGTGAGAGATTCCGTCCTTTTGCTGAAAGAACAATGAGAATTTAGTTTTGGGGATAATTCACGCCAAATTGTGGACAACCTTTAGCACATGTTTTGATTTGCAAAATTTCGAGATTTTGTGCTTAAAGATAAATCGACCCAGAAATTTGTATTATTTCAAAATAAACTCTAGCCTTCAAAAGTTATTGAAGGTCAAAATTTCTAAAATCCCAACTTTTTGCCCCATCTCAATCTCAATCACACTTTGACCTTCAATGACATTTACATGGACAGAACGAGGGGCGTATTTTTATTCTCCTATTCTACAAATTTATCGACCAGAATTTTGAACTAAATTTCCAGAGCGGAGAAATGATTAAAAATGTGCTGATTTTGACGATAAGTCATAGAGTCCTACATTAAGCACAAAATCTCGAAGTGTACATATTTCGCAAACACATGTTAAAGGCGCGTCCAGAACGATTTGCAATCATTTTTTCAAATAACAACAACTCACCTGCACCTGCGTTCTCAACTCTTCCTCCTCCATCATGAGTTGGGCGGCAGTGTCGAGCGGTACTTTCATGGCGTCCTGGACGAGAAAATCTTCCTGCTTGTGGCAAAACGAGAGGAGACTGACGCCCAGGGAAAAGTAGTCCAGAGTGCTCGATCGGCTCGTCGAGTCCGTGCAAAGCCCAAATTTACGGAGAAGGTTCAACAAAAAGGAAAGAACTGATTTGTAATTCTCCCCTGAATAAGCAAATTCATGCAATTAATTAAATTATCCAATTAAATAGTTATACAATCAATTCAATAGTTTATGTATTTACTAATTGTTTGTTTTCCGTTTGGAGTTTTATACAAGTAGACGAAGCAACTCAGTCCGTTCAAAACGGCAGTTTGGACGTGACCCTCTGGTATTTGGGGTTCCATATCGTCCAGCGTTCGCTCGTCAGTTGCGTCGTCACCTGCGGCCGAAACATAAATATTCGAATTTTAAAACAAATTCAGGATGATGCGGATATGTATTTTTCCAAATTTTTCATTTGATGACGCCCGACGGTCAAACTTTGTCGACGTGTTGCCTAACTCGCATAGATCACAAAAAATTAAAAAAATTTTCATATATTTCTAGGTTTTCAGAAATATAAGTATTTACAAATATTTCCGCTATTATTTGAAAAGTACGTAAATTTTTTACATATTTTTTTTAATACGTATATTTTGTAAATATTTTAACGATATGAGACGAATTTTGTTTTCTACAAAAAATAAGTAAAAATTTTACCAGTTTTCCAAAAAATCATACATTTTGTAAATATTTCAACGATATGAGAAGAAATTTTTCACAGAAATTCGCCCTTAAAAAATCCAACGTATTAAGGTTAGAACTACAATTTCTTACTTCTTCGTACAAATCTCGTAAATATTTTGACTTTTTTCGAAAGTATTACACCCATCTTTCAGCCATTTCTTCATAAAAACATATCCGCCCTCTCATGATAACCGTAGCTTTTTACCTAAGGGACCATGATTCTCGTGAGTATGAGTGCTCGTCATTTTTTGCACCTTTCTCGGCTTAGGATTCTTCAACAGCTCGTTCAGCCCTTCGCAGAGGGCTGAGACAAATTCGGTTTTGCAGAATGGATTGTAATTTTCGTAATCTTTCTTCTTTTCTTGCAACACTTTTCCAAAGAAGGAGCTCGTCGATTCTTCTCCATCATCGTGACCCTCATCCCCACCGACGCCTTCGCCTTGACCGCCATCTTCCTCTTTATCTTGAAGATCGGGACTTAACGCTTCCAAAATTGAGAACAGAGATACGATCACGTTTCCCAGAAGGAGTGCTGTAAATTTGAATTTTGAAAGATGATTTGAGTAATTGTTTGGATAAGCTCGAATTTGGAAGCATATTTTGATATTTGTTAAAATCAAGTAAAATTTTAAAGAATATTTTGAATTATTGTTATAATAAATTTGAATTTGGAAGCATATTTTGATATTAGTTTAAATCAAGTAAAATTTTAAAGCATATTTTGATAATTGCTTATATAAATTCGAATTTTACGTCCTATTTTGATAAATGTTTAAATAAATTCAAAACTTTTAAAACATATTTTGATAATTGTTTAAATGAATTCGAATTTTAAAGCATGTTTTTGATAATTGTTTCAATAAAATCGAATTTTAAGTTACATTATTGTGGAAATTGGGTTATAAAACTACTCATATTTTCCAAAAATGAATTACAATTTTTTGTTTTACCATTTGTTGAGCTGGATAGGATAAAATTAGCACAATTAAGGAAATCTTGACTTAGCAGCAACCCCTTCCAACCTTGGACGAGGGCAACGTTTCCTAAAAACCATGTGATGCGTCGCATCACTGCAAAAACTTGGATGAGGACGGACACACGGGGCATCTTTTGGGCAAGGGAGACCTAAAAATAGTGACCACGTGCTCAGCCATGATTCTCCTCTTTAAATTTTGTACCATAAAAAGTAATCTACTTACCACACCCTCAACCAATTTCAGGGAAGCGTCATGAATCGAAAAATCCTCAACGATGCTCTGCTGCGAAATTATATTGGCCATGATTCCAAGTCCGATTTCCTAAGAGTTTAAAAACAGAAACAGTTAATATATTCAGTAACATTACATATTACAAAATTTCTTCACGTAGAACTCAATGACTCGTTAAAATCGGCACATTTTTTTTTACTCATTTCTCAGCTCTGGGAATTTATTTTAAAATTCTGAACGACGAATTTTCAGTCAGTCAGTTTCGCCGAGTTCCAATTTTTCTGAAGGTTTCTTAAACTTGAGATCTCCTCCGCCAAAAAAGTGTCAAAATCAGGTGTATATATTTTCTAAAAATTGGGAACGACCTTTGCTCTACAAATTCGTCGTCTACAGTAGAATTTTAAAATAAATTCCCAGAGCCAAGAAATGATTAAAATGTGCTTATTTTAACCATTTTAGTGACAAGTCCTACATTAAATTGAGCCCTCGAGTCGAGCCCTACATTAATCCGTAAAACGTACCGTGAGTCGATCACAGCATGACGCATGCAAAGTTTCTCGAATAATATTGAACGCGTTTTGTTGGACGAGAAAATTCATGACGTCCGGTTCAAAGCTCATGTCCCACAAGAGAGCCATTTCTTCTTCAAAGTCCGGCTCAAGAAAGCGATTCTTGTCCACGACGGGGGCAGGATTTTCTGTTGCTGCTGCGACGTCATCCGACGTCTTATCCTCTTTTGCTATTGTTGTCCCGTCGTCCGAATATTTTGGGAGTTCCTGCGTATAAAAAGCACAATTTGTATCACGATGGGCAAGGTCAACGTCTACCACGACTCTAAACAACTACATAAAAGTCTCCCGTTTCGCAATTTTGTTTCCCAGCGTTAGCTTACTAATTTTGACCAAATTAGTGTCAATCGACTACAAAATTTAATTAATATGCCATTTGTGATAATTCCTTGCAATATATCGGGAAGACTTGAATTGCACATTAAAAGTCATGTAAAAAATATCATATTGTGCAAACCGGTATAATACAGGGTCAAAGTTGAGCCTAATTTGCATGGAATTCAGAATTGACTCTTTGCAAAAGCCATAATCCCCCAATGGGCACGTTTGGCAGAGATATTTGCATCCGAAGAGGAGAAAAGACGTCGACAAATGTTACACTTTCCAAATTTACTGCGCGTTTTCTCCTCTTTGGATGCAAATATCTCTGAGAAACGTTGAGAGATCGTGTCATTGCAGATTTCATACTAATTAAATTTGTGATTGATTAGCATTAATTTGGCCAAAATCTATGAGAATACGCTGAGAGACCTCCGTTGCGAGAGACATTCCAACTATAAAATTTCGTTGTTTTTTCCCCTACCTGAACCCATTTCATTAATATTTTGATAACATGTCGCTCTGAATATGTCGTCGCTCCGATTCTATCGCCTCGCAGGACATTGTCGTTTTCCTCCAATTCTTCCACATCCGAGACCATCGGGTTACACGTGACGTCCGCTTCAGGTTCAGGGGTGCGACCACTTTCGCCACTCTCGGACGCGGGACCTACTACTGTTAGGAAGGAGGAGGACGATGGTGGTGGGACTGCATCACTAGTCGTCGTACTGGGGGCAGTGTCGTTATCATCATTTTCCGATACTTTTAGCCCTGTTAACGAATCAAAGTTATTTAGTACATGATTCTCAATTTTGGGCAAAATACTTCGTCAAAATTCGGTATTTTGAGCTGATTTCTTCCCAGGGTTTGAATTTTCGGGGCTGTTACACCCACAAAAAGACGAGAATCTACGTGGAGTAGACAACAACAGTACGAAAATACAGGTTTTGTGAAGAAATGAACTTTTTATCGCTGTCAAAACACTTTATTTTTAGAAAATCGTGAAAGCAATGAATTTTGACAGCGATCTAAAGTTAATTTCTTCATAAAAACCTGTGTCTTCGTACAACCGTTGTTTTCTCCATGAAAATTATCGTCTTTTTGTGGGCGTAACAGCCCTGGAAGTTAAAATCCTGTGCACAACGGAGCTCAAAATACCGAATTTTGACAAAGCATTTTGCTCATGCATGATAATTTATTAATTCTTGCTTTAAACTCACTTTTAGCAGCCGACCCTCGCATTTCGTCTTCCTCTTCGTCACCACCATTTTTGACGACATGCTTATCTTCACCGTTACCTCCTCCCACACTGTTTGCAGACGACGCCGTTGCTACTACTTCCGCTCCACCCACCTCAGCTGTCGAGCTCGTCCCCACAGTAGTAGCGTTTTCCGTTTCTTCTGCTCGTCGTGCCTCCTCCGCCGCAATTCTTGACACGATCGCAGCTTCATTCATGGCAATCGCTCTCCTTAAAATTTGCTCTAATCCGACCTCCCCCAAACTAAGGGATTCTATCGCTGCTGGTGAAAGCGTGAGGGATGCTGTGTCAGAAAAAAGATAATTAGTTAACGCTTAACACCAAAATCGTCAAAATCAGCGAGTTTTTAATCATTTCTAATCGTCTCTGGGAATTTATTTTAAAAATTCTGGACGACAAATTTGTAGTCAGTGAGTTGATTAATGGAATGGTGTAGAGGTTTTTGAGCCAGTTTCGACGAGTTCCAATTTTTCTGAAGGTTTCCTAAACTTGAAATCTCCTCATTCAAAAAGGGTCAAAATCTGGAGTGTATATTTCTAAAAGTTTGGCAACTCTCTGCTCGCCAAAATTTGTCGTACACGATTTTAAAATAAATTCCCAGAGCCTAGAAATTACTTAAAAATGGGCTGATTTTGACGATTAATCACCCCCAAATGCCAGATAATTTAATGATAAACTAATTAATAACACTCACAAGTTGCTCCTCCCGGCGAAGCTCCCGTCGTATTATTCTCTACAACTCCAGAACTCGAAGTATTCGACGAAGCCGCACTCGTCGTCCGAACTTCCGCCAATCTCGAGCCCGACAACACCCCACCGCTCCCCCGTCCACTCACGGTTCTCCTTCTTTCTCCCCCAAATGCAAAGTAGCCCTCCAAACTGACGTCCTCCGCCTCGTTTTCGTGATTATTCGTCTGACTCGTCGCCAACTGGCGCGACCGGCTCAACGTCGTGACTGGGATGAATAAATCGTCAAGGGAAATATCGTCCGACTCGGCAGTGCTGGATTCTCCGGAAAATTCGCCACGCAGGGAAACCTCGTCCCCCTCACCGCCCCCACCACCCTCGCTGTCAGAGTCCGAATCGGTGTAAAGCGCGAGGCCAAATGGACCACCGGGTCGGGTGAATAAAACTTGTAGGTCGTCTTCCTCGTAAATTGCGCCGACCTGTTAATTAATTAAGTAAATGGTTAATCGTCCTCGTTCTAATTGTGGTTATCAGAGGTGGGGAAAATACGTCGCCAAAATGCTGCGCTCTCTCTTGCCAGTGCTGTTGTACGGTACAACTTGTACCCACAAAAATACCGGAATTTGCATGGAAAATGCAAAAGTGCCACAAAAATACATGTTTTCTGAAGAAATTAACTTTCCGTCACTATCAAAATAACGAATTTTTTGAAAATAAAGTATTTTGACAGCGATAAAAACTCAATTTCTTCACAAAACCCGTATTTTCGAACGCCTGTTGCCTTCTTCACGTAGAATCTCGTCTTTTTGTGGGTGTAACACCCCCGGAAATGCAACCCCTGGTCAGAGCCTATCTCAAAATACCGTATCTTCCCCACCTCTCGCGCTTATCATATCTTATCTTACTTCTGAATCCGTCTCAGAATCGGAATCTTCCACAAAGTAGTCGTTGTCGTCCACTCGAACAATTCTACCTCGGAAATTCTTCATTCTCTTTACGATTTCTTGTCCACAACGGTACAGCAATAGGATCCTTCCGGAATAATAATGTCTCCCATTAAATATGGCGACATCCAATCCAAAAAATGCAATCCGGAAATCAAATCAAAACCTTCCTTCAAAAAAATCGGCCCAATCTCTTTCTTCCTACTGTGCCCAACTCCCTCCTAATTTCATTCAACAGTGGTTAACTAACTGGGTTAATTAATTATGTTGACAATTAACTTTTTCCACGACACGTCAGTCAAGACGATAAAAAACAGAGGGTAGCAAAAGCAAGATTACAAAAACAACACACAAAGAAGTTGGAGAAGAAAATGCTATAGGCATTCACTCGCTGGAGATTTGGGGTCCCTTTGCGCCCTAGGATTTGGTGTGGCGACGCCATCGTGGCGATGAAATCGGGGTCACAACGGTTCAATATTTCTTCCCATACTCAGAAATAGTACTTATATGGACGTAAATTGCGTTAATTTGATAAGGTAAAATTTTGATAAGCCAAAAAATCCGTTACACTGCGCCCAATTCTGTGTCAGAAAGCACTCGTAGCACATTTATAAAGGGGAGATACGTGGTCCCTTTGCGCCCCCGGGTTTGGTGCGGCGACGCCATCGTGGCGACGAGGTAAGGGTCATAACGTTTCAATATTTGTTTCCCGACTCGAAAATATGATACTAATCGATGTGATACTACTTAATCTGATAAGATAAAGGGTCAGATAAGCCCAAAACTGTGATATTTGGCACTAAATTCTGAATCAGTCGGCACTATTGCATCCGCTGAGCACATGTATAGACTGCGACTGCACCTCATGGATGGAAGCCGGCGGTAGAAGAATAAATCAGCTCGAGAAAAATGTGCTGCGTTTAAATTAATTATTAATTGAAGACAGTTAAAATTTAAAAGTTTAACTAACTGTTAACCATTGTTGTTCGTGGTCTGGCCGGTCAGAATTAGAGTTGCTCAACAGAATTAATTGGTAAGCTCCAGTCATTTCTTTTTTTCGATAAGAGAACTATTTCGTCAGCATTTTAAATTATTTTTTATCACGGCGACAATTTTTGACAGACGAGGGATTATCGACGCATAATTATTATAAATTAATCAACTTGTTAATTTTACATTTTCGTGTCTTATTTGATTTTCAGAACTTTCAAAATCCGCAAATTTTTGCTCGTCAGGCCCTTCTGAGAAGGGAATGAATTAAGTGGTAAGCTTATCAGCAATTATCGTCAGCATTTTTTAAATTTATTTTTATCACAGAGGAAAGGGTTTGTCGACAGATATAATAGTTTATATAAATGTATAATTATCAACATTTGAAAATTAATCAAATTTTACATTTTCATGTCTTTATTTTTCATTTCAGAACTTTCAAAATCCGTAAATTTCTCCTCTCCCTCAAAATGAACCAACTTCGAGCATCTTTACAAATCTTGTCCTCCCCATTTTACAACGGGTCACTTTTAAGACAGCAATTCCTTAATGGAACCAGGAATTGTTCCTTCTTCCTCCAAAAGAATTATGAAGGATCATCATCACCAAATTTGAAACAAATCTACATTCTCAGGTAAAAAATTCATCCTATTTCATAAAAAATTCAAGAATGGTCAAACTAATTTGTCGAAATGCAACATTTTGATCTCAGTTCTTCCCAGGGTTTGGATTTCCGGAGCTGTTACACCCACAAAACGATGAAAATGTACGTGGAGAAAGCAACAGGCGTTCGAAAATACAGGTTTTGTGAAGAAATTAGCTTTTTATCCCTGTCAAAATACTGAACCAATTCACGCAGTCATTTCGCAGTCACTCGTAAAATCCGTGCTTTTTGTACCACAATTTTACAACCTTTTACAAAATAAAGAGATGCCCTTGATCTGCTCAAGTCTACAAAAATTTGTAACCTAATTTCCCTTCGAAATATGAGTAAAATATTGTACAAGTTTGTAAGTTTATGGAATTTACGGATTTTATAATGTTACCAAAGCCTGCGTGAATAGCCACAATATTTTGACAGCTAAAATAAGCTAATTTCTTTACAAAACCTGTATTTTCGTAAGACTGATACCTGCTCCACGTAAATTTTTGTCTTTTTGTGGGTGTAACAGCCCTGGGAAGAACGAAGCTCAAAATATTGTATTTAAACCATCCCTAAAAAAATATTAATCCACTCCACTAATTACATATTTCTTAAACGAATCACAGAAGCTTCTCTTCATCCCAAGAAGGCGACGCCCGACCACAAGAACACGTCGCGGAAACTTCATCCCACGACGAACCCACCTCTTTCCAACAAGAACCCGAAGAAACGACCCTTCTCCACCAAGAAATCGACCCAGTCGCCATTGTTCCTAAATCCACTTCACGACCACCCGCACAAAAAGAAGACCCCAACGACCCCGCATCCATCACTCAACGTCTCATCCAGCTCTCCACATGTTCCCCGGAGGATTACACTCCATCCGCCAAGCTAAATCCGGACCTTCTCAAGAAAGCGAAATCCCGATATCGCGAAGTTTTACAAGACTACAAAAACAACTTCAGTCGCAACGAGTTTCTCAGGCAGAGAATGAACTCGAACAATAGCAGTTATCGACCCAGGTTCAATAATTCAAATTATGGCAACAATCCCACCTGGAGGAATAGCAACAGGAACGAGGATTATTACGATGATCACAATGACGGTGGGCGGCGCTGGTTCTCAACTTCGTCACCGCGAGGAGACGATGATGCAATGCGCGATCGCATGAAACAATTAACGGCGTCCATGTCGCAGAATAAGCAGGAGGCCACAGGTAATTTTTAAAAGCAGACGACACAACTAAATTCCTACAAATTAGAACAGTAGTAAAACTAGATTTTGATAAGCGCCAAGCGATGATAAGTTTAGTACACCAATTAATTTATTTGTTAAATAACCACCAAAAAACTAATACCAAAATCCTCCAAACTATACAAATTAGAACGCTAGTAAAATTAATTAGATTTTGATAAGCGCGGTGATAAGTTTAGTCCACCAATTAATTTGTAAGGATAAAATATTTCATAAATAACCAAGTTTGAATAAATCAACAAAATCTGATATTTTTTCCTTGTTTTTCTTTATTTTCATATCCATCCATCCGAAGAACATGGAGAGGAATCGAGTAATTATAAATATAAGAAGGACAGAAGAGATGAAGAATATTTCGAAAATAGGGGACGGTCCGAATCTAGGCAGAAATATAACAATACTAAAAAGAGACCCCTCACCCAGAGGACTATGCCAAATTATGACGACTACAATGATGACGATGGTCATGGAGAAGAAGACGCTTATCCAAGAAGAAGGAGTCAGAGTCAGAATGACGGAGATTTTAACGATAACCCAAGACCAAGACGTCGCAATTTTTCGGAGAATAACGACTTCAAACAGAGACGAAATTTTAACCGAGACGATGAAAACAATCATAATTTTGACGGAGGTGACGATCGCCGCAATTATGATCGGGGGAATAATCGACGTAATTTTGACCGTGGGGACGATCGACGTAGTTTTGACCGGGACGATAACAATCGTAATTTTAACCGAGACGGTAACAATCGTAATTTTGATGGTGACGATCGACGTAATTTTAACCGAGACGGTAACAATCGTAATTTTGACGATCGACGTAATTCTGATCGCGGTAATAATTACGGTGACAATAGGAGAAATTCATGGTCCGAAGGAGGTATGCAAATTGCAAATTCAATATCCTTCTCAAATACTTAATTAATTAAGAATTAAACTGACCCATTTTTTCTTCAGGGAACCGACAGCCAAACTCGTACAACAATAGGAGCCAAAACTTTTCCGGTGGTGGTGGTGAAAGCGGTCGTTACAACTCGTATAATAATAATAACATCAGCCATTACGATGACCGAAGACGTCGCGAAGATCACCGTGCCGGTCCCAACTATAATAAAACATTGGACGACCTTTACGAACGGAAAATCCGCAAAACAACCGATGACGAAATACGATTTCAAAAGTACGGACGCAATTATGAAGAGATCTACGATCAGGAGAGGGCCAAGTTAAAGGCGTACAAAGATCCGAATCGCTTTGATAAGAAGTCAACTGCTGGTAAATTTTTACAAAAAAAATCAGTATTTCGTTCAGGGAAAAGTAACCAGTTGCAAGAAATAACGGACAGAAAGTGGTTTCTTGCAGCTAAATATTTTAACCTGCAAGAAATCCAGGGCGCAAGAAACGACGCAACGCCGCGATAAATAGTTCACAATGGGCGTGGCTAGATGATGCATATTTCTTGTACCTCGCATTTCGTGCGTTTCTTGCTTTGCAGTGCAAAAATGTAGCAAACCCCAAAGAAATAACGACATGAAAGAGTTGTTTTGCAGCTATTTTGACCTGAAATTACTGCAAGAGCCAAGAAACTATGCGCCCGCCGCTATAATTCATACGGCGCGTCGCTAGATAGTTCCGTATTTCTTGCCCTTTCTTCTAGATTTCATGCGCTCGCTCGTTTCCTTGCAATTCAAGAAATGTATTTAACAACCCCACAAAAAAACGAAACACTACAAAAACCAACAATTCAATAATTTTCAACCCATTAAAAAAATCTAATTACCTTTCCAGTTATCGGAGATTATTCAAAATTCACTTCCAAAACCGGACCCACCACCACCACCACCTCCTCCTCTCCCTCGTCCACTCGTTCTTCCCCCTCCACCTCCGCCTCCACCCCTGATGCATCCCTCGACCTCTCCTCCCTCCTCTCCCACACTGACGCCGACACCTTCGGCACCCTCAGCTTAGGCCCCGTCCCCGTCAAAGACTATGTCGGCACCTCCCTCAAAAAAGAACTCCTCTCCGACTCCGTTCAACTCGGCCTTGTCGACAACATTTACGACGACGACGCCGAAGGCGACGACTCCAAATTCCTCCCGGCCCGTGAAGACAAATGGACCATGCTCAAACTGTCGCGGAGAGTGAAACTCCTCGTCGACGAGATGAAGGTCAAAGAGGCCGTCGACACGGTGCAGTCGGCCCTCGCACAAGGCGGCTTCCAGTACTCGCACACGCAATTCGTCTACATTTACAATCTCCTCATCTCCTCCTGCGCGCAGGTGGGATACGTCCAAATGGCTTTCAAGATGTTTAACGACATGAAAAAGAGAGGCTTCAAACCGAAGGAGTCGACGTACACGAGCCTTTTCAACGCCTGTTCGAACTCCACGTGGGACGCGGAGAATAATATTAAGCGGATGGGAAGGTTGCGAGAGGCGATGGGGACGGAGGGTAGTGTCGTGACGCCGAATCAGATCGTGTATCATGCTATGATTAAAGGTGGGGTGGATTGTTTTAATGTGTATATTTGCATACATATGTACCTGTTCAAAATTTCAGTTCTCACTCAAAAGTCAGTCATCTCTCTTTCTGAGTGAAGATTTTCATTTACATTCAGTCATTTTCGTTCAAATTCACTTCATTTCTTACGTCGCCCTATGTATTAAGCACGTGGTGAAAAATGAAATGAGTGAGAAATCCATTCATTCACAGCCATTCATCTGAAATGACGGAATCTTTCATTCATTTTCATTCAAATGGCAGGAAATTCATTTTCACTCAATATCATAATCACTCATATGAATAAAAGTGAACAGGTATATTTGCGTATCAATTTAATGTAGGACTCGACGCTAAAATTGTCAAAATTAGGACATGTTTTTTTTTCATTTTTCCACTCTGGGAATTTATTTTAAACTTTTGGACGACAAATTTGTAGAGCAGGTCGTTTCTATTTTTTTAATGTATACACTTTTTTTTGATAAGCGCAAAAACCTAGGTAAACCCGGTGTATTAATAGCAAAAATATAAATTTTCGAACTTTTAGAATTATTATTTTAGAAAAACGTGTACGCTTTGAACCTGATATGATATTTTAAATATTTTTATTTCACTATTTTATAAATCAACTTTGAACCTCGTCACCAAAAATGTCAAAATCTCCACAATTTTAATCATTTCTCGCCTCTGGGAATTTATTTTAAAATTCTGGTCGACAAATTTGCCGTCAGTTAGTTGATTAATGGAATGGCGTCGAGATTTTTGAGCCAGTTTCGACGAGTTCCAATTTTTCTGAAGGCTTCTTAAACTTGAGATCTCCTCCTTCAAAAAGGGTCAAAATTTGGAGTGTACATTTTTAAAAACTTGGAAACTCCCTGCTCTAGAAATTTGTCGTCCAGAATTTTGAAATAAATGCCCAGACCCGAGAAATGATTAAAAATCTGTTAATTTCGACTACGTTAATCCGAACTTTTTTGCCCGCAGGATACGGACGTAACGGCGACATCGAATCCGCCTTCGGCGTCGTGGACGAAATGATTTCTCTCGGACAATACGACCCCAACACGGAAACGTTCAACATGCTCTTACAAGCCTGCATAACCAATACGGAGAACGGCTTTCGACACGTGCTCGTCACATGGCGGAAAATGCACGCGATGCAGATCCGCGCCGACATTTACACCTTTAACTTGCTCCTCAGGGCGGTTCGAGAGTGCGGAATTTTGCCGGAGCCCGCATTCATCGAGGCGGGTGCGCAAAATGTCCGCAAAAAGAAGGCGGACGACGAAACCGGGCTGCTCCTCCCGCCCGTCACGACGCTCGAAGAGAGTGACGACATGCTCAACCTGCTCTGCTTAAATGATGCCAATTCTCTCGATAAGATTAACCAGAGGATGCTGACAACTAATCAAATTGTGGAGCAGGAAGTTAGACAGTTTTCCTATATTGATCTCATCGAGGCGTTGAAACTTCCGCAGAATAGGTGCAAATTTCTTTTTAAAATGTATTACTTTTTTGCCAACTTAAAATTGAATCCCATCATTTTTTCCAGGCTCATCGTTTTCGGCGGACTGCGTGGCTTCCTCCAAGAAATGGTGACAAGTCGGGTGGGACCCAATTTAAAAACGGTGACAGAATTGGGACAAGTCATCCATCCGTCAGACATTTCGGTTCGTGTAGAGATTTACATAGTTCAACGTATTTAGGAATCTATGACTAAAATCCGCATATTCTTAATCACTTTTCGCTTCTGGGAATTTATTTTAAAATTCTAAACGACAAATTTCTGGAGCGCGTCGTTGCCAATTTTTAAAGAGAAATATACACTCCAGATTTTGACACTTTTTGAAGGAGGAGATCTCAAGTTTAAGAAGCCTTCAGAAAAATTAGAACTCGTCGAAACTGGCTCAAAAAACTCATGCAATTCCATTAATCAACTCACTGACGGCAAATTTGTCGTCCAGAATTTTAAAATAAGTTCCCAGACCCAAGAAATGATTTAAAATGTTACGTCGATTTTGGTGCACTATACATTTTAGTCTAATTTTTAACTCTCTCTCTCTTCTCCTCCAGGATCTCGTCATGATGATGAAAACGTACAAACTGAACCCGGACATTACCTTTTTCAACCTCATGTTAAAACGTTACTACGACGGGAACAACTCCGTCGGGGCGAAAAAGCTGCTCGCCTGCTTCCCCCAGTTCAACTTAACGCCAAACATAATGACCTGGGGCGTGTCGGCGACTGCATGCAAATCAAAAAAGATGGCGAGTGAACTTTTAGCGGAGATGGATGCGGCAAACTTCACGTAAAATAAATACACGCTCAAAATGCAAATATGATATGATCAATGCTAATTTACATATTTTTGCAGACCGAATATTCAAATTATGGGCGCCCTGCTCACCCAAGCGAGCCGCGCTTTCGACCCGGCCTACGTCTTCTGGGTCATGGAGGAAGCAAACCGCCGAGAAATCAAGGCTGACACGAGATTCGTCCTCAATATTGAAGATTTTAAAGAAGTCGTACGAAAAGGAATAATTAACAAGGTATTTATCTGTTTTATTCGGATTAATTTATATTATTTTTTAATTACATATCTATATCCGGCGAAATACTTTGTCAAAATATCGTATTTTTAGCTCAGTTCTTCCCAGGGTTTTGATTTCCAGGACTGTTACACCCACAAAAAGACGAACAGAACACAACAGTCACACGAAAATGCATGTTTTGTGAAGAAATTAGCTTTTTGTCGCAATATCAAAATGCTTTAACTTTAAAAATTCCTAAAACGAATGTACTTTGACATCGATAAAAACTTAATTTTTTCACAAAACCTGTATTTTCGTACGAATGCATGTTGCCTTCTCCACGTAGATTCTCGTCTGTTTTTGGGTGTAAAATCTCCAGAAATCCAAACCCTGGACAGAACGAGGCTCAAAATACTGCATTTTGACACAGTATTTTGGTCACGCTTGCAAAAATATAACAAAATTTGTCGTCAATTTTCCGGTGAAATCACTATTTGTCCAACTCGTCCCTCAAATCGGTCAATATTTGTCCCAGAACGTTCCTCCCTCTCCACTTGTTTCTGTCCGAGGCACGAGGATTATTAGCGGACAGGCCGATTCCATAAAGTAAATCTCTCGGGCTCGCTTCCGCCAGCGTGGTGCCCTTCGTGGCTCGCAGTTTTTCCAGGAGGGCCGGATTTTGCGTGAATTTGTGGCGATTCCCTTCTTTCACGATGGTCCGTGAGTGCATATTCCAGATCGCTTGGTCAAACTTCTTGACCTATTTTTAGGGACAGTTTATTATCAGTCAGAGGGCGGATATGTATTTATTTTCAAGTTTTTCATTTAATAACGATGCACGGTCAAACTTTGTGGGTGTGTCCCCTAACTCGCATAGACCAAGACCACAAAAAATTCAAAATAGTTTTACATATTGTCACACATGTCTAGGTTTTCAGACATGTAAATATTTTCTCTAGTATTTTAAAATTCGTAAATGTAAATTATATATTTTGCATATTTACATATTTTTTTTCAAAAAATGCATATGTTTAGTAAGTATTTCACCAGATTTCAACGATATGAGACGATTTTTTTGTCCAAAGAAATACGATCACAAAAAAATCAGACTTAAAAATATAATGTCTCTTATTTTTATGATTTTTCGTTTCGTACGCATTTCCAAATTTTTTTTATCGTTTTTTTTTGTAAACAGTAAATGTAAATACATACTTCAGCGATTTTCTTATATGCATACATATCCGCCTTATATCATTTTTTAATGTCTCAAAATTATGAAATTTCTCTCTCACCTGTCTCCCCAACTTTTTGCACTTGAAGGGTTCCTCCGTATTCAAAATCTTTGTAGCGATGTCCTCATCTTTAAAGAGTTTCGCTTTGTTGTACATCATCCACATTTCGCAACTGGAAAATTCCTGAACCTCGAGCTCCTCCTCTGCATTATGAAAATTGATCGGAGCTGCGGTAAATTTCGCGTAGTGGAATTGCGAAAAGGGAGATTCGGCGTGGTAGAAAAATGTAAATTTTTCAGGTGTAGTGGCCATATTTTGTAAGAACACTTGGAAAAATTTTGCAATTTTAAAATGTTATACGTGCAAAATATTTGCGAAAATGTGCACTTATTTGCCTGACAGGTAGAAAGGTTTGGCTACAAATGACAACATTTTATAGAATGCATCACCTTTTACCATTGATGCCTGAGCCTGACGTTGATATTTCGTCGGGAAAAAGAGAAATGCACATGCAAAACGTTATATTCGCGAATTTTACATGCAAGCATTGTGTCACGTAGTGGGTCAATTTGCGAATATTTTGTTTGCATATGGATTCCATAAGTGTGTGTACAAACAAGCAAAATATTCGCAAATGTATGCGTGTGATCTGATAACCTTTAGCTTATCATCATAATTCTAAACGATTCTCTGGCTGATTCACCGTTTTTGCAGTTGTGGGATGATGCACGTCATAAGTTCTCATTCGATTTGATGGCACAAAGATCATTTGTAACATGCTTTGTCGACAAAAGGGAACATTGTGTCGAAAAAATTGGAATAAAATTATAACATGGCGAATAACAGGAATGTTTCTAGGCGAAAATCGGGGTCAAGGTGGTCACGTTTCTTGAGCAAAAACTATCCATAATTAAACACGCATTAATAATTTGTTCCGGGTGGAAGTAACCACTTGCAAAAAAGTGGTTCTTGCAGGTAAAATATTTTGACCTGTAAGAAATGCACGGCGCAAGAAACGACGCCCCAACGCCATACGGCGCGCGGCTGGATGGCGCACATTTCTTGCAGTTTCTCGCACCTCGCATTTCTTGCCATGTATTGCAAAAAATGTGTAGCAAACCCGCAAGAAACGAAGCGCTGTACGTTTTACCCAAAATAATTAAATACTTTCAGTGAAAGTCTTTCACTTACTCTCTACAAGGTTAAAAATTAACTCCAATTTTACGTAATTTTAAAAAGTCCCTTAAACTCCAAACCGGTCAAATTAACATGAAATTAATCCCCCAAATCCAAAAACTTTGCTAAATATGTTTCTCCTCTCCTCTTGTCTCGCAGGAAATGGGGAAGCCCGTCACACCCCCCAAGTTGGCCCTCCTTCTCGAAGACATGGACACGTTCACCCCTCTCTGGACCAAGTTTGGTTATCGGTATGCCAGCTGGATGAAAAAGACGCCCGTCGCCATCGAGCCGAAAGACCCCTTCCAAGAGGACTTTGAATCCTTCCGGAAAAATAAGACGCATGGAACCGTCACGAAAGAAATGGAAGATCAAATGGACAAAAAATCTGATGAGGATGACCAAAGTGCCATTAATAACAAGAATTCCTAGTCCTTCCTTAATTAGTTAATTATGTAGATTAGTTAGTTTTTGTTTATTTATGCAAAATAAATATTTTTAAGAATTTACACTTCTCTCTTGGGTTAAAAACAACTTATTTTTCATTAAGATCAATCGTAAAACTACAAATATTTTCAGTAAAATGGACAAAACTAGCAAATCTAATGATAATTGATGACCAAAGTGCCATTAATAACAAGAATTCCTAGTCCTTCTTTAATCAATAATTATGTAGATTAGTTAGTTTTAATTTATATGCAAATAATAAATATTTTTAAGACTAATTCAAACCTCTCTTGGATGATAACTGGCTTACCTTTCACTACTAAAAAATCAACGATAAAACAGTAAATCTTTTCAGTAAAATGGGCAAAAATACCAGCAAATCTCGTGATTGATGATCCCAAAAGTGCAAAGAATTCCTTTCCTAGCTCTTTTTTAACTGGTTAATTATGTAAATCAGATAGTTTCTATTCTATTTATGCAAAATCAATTCAAATATCTCTCTTGGATAAAGAACAACTTATCTTTCACTACTAAAAACCATGATAAACCAACAAATCCTATCAGTAAAGCGGACAAAACTACCAAAATTTCATGATAATGCTGACCAAAATAACAAGAATTCCTACTCCTCCATGTAAATCAGTTAGTTTTAGCCCGAACCAGGGCTTATGTAATTGTCATGTCCGTCTGTCTGTCTGTCCGTCTGTCTTTCGATAACTCTCGAACCAGTTGACCGATTGACTTGAAATTTTTACCATATGCATATTGGACAAAGTTAGGAAACGAGTTCGAAGATGGGCCAAATCGGTCAAGTGGTTGACCGGTGGGGGTCATCGGAGTGGGTGGGGTATTATGCACCAAAATTTCAAAATTGTGTTAAAAAGCTCAAATTTGGTACAAAGGTTGCTAATGGCTCCTAATGAAAGAATATGAAGTGAAATTGGAAAATTTGTCAACCGGAGGTACCCGAGGGGGTGACCCATACCGATTTTTCAAAATCATCCAATCGAGCTGAAATTTGGTATAGAGGCTGCAAATGGCCCGTAATGGAAGAATATGAAGTCAAATTGGTAAAATTTTCATCCAGAGGGACCCTATGGGGTGACCCCCACCGATTTTCAGAAATTAACATAGAAAGCTGAAATCTGGACCAGAGATCCATACTGTTTTTTCACGAAATAACATGAAGTTAAATATGAACAAAAATTAACCAGGAGGCTATAGAGGCGACCTCCACTAGGAAGTAGTCAAGGGAAGGGATAGTAAATATTTTTAGAATTTGGAGCCTAGTAAGTAATACGAAGGATTGATGGAAGAATTAATGGAAAATAGTAACACATAATTTCATAGAAAACTACTGACAAACATGGGTTTACTAATCATTCCTGGTTCGGGCTAAGCAAAGCTGTACTGATAGGTTTTTCTTTTATTTATGCAAAATAAATACTTTTTTAGACTAACATATCTCTCTTTGGTGAAAAACCATTTATTTTTCACTACTAAAAATCAATGATAAAACAACAAATCCTTCCAGTAGTTACTTAGTTAATTATAAAGGTTAATCATCTACTCCGCCACCTTTTCCTTATCCCTCTTAAGCGGACCCATAAATGCCAACTTGTCCTCGGGCGTTTGGAATCGTCCATGACCGAATTTGGAAGAGGTGTCGATAAACTTCAAGTTGATCTTCTCCAAGGCGGAACGCTTCGTGTGGGTGAGGAGAGACTAGAACATAGTAAAGAAAAAAATACGTTAAAACTTCATCCCCAACAAATAGTTTATCAATTCCCAGTTTTCTTCAGTTGTAATCAGTCCTATCATTGATAATCAAAGTCGGTACGTGTACCGATTCATCCAAAAAAAGGCTCTAATGAATTCACATCATCTTAACTAGTAAAAATGAAGGTCTCCCAGCGTATGCTCTTAGAGCAAACGAGTGCAAATCGGTCGCAAATTTAATTAGTACGAAATTTGCGAAAGACACGATCTCCCAATGGACACGTTTAGCAGAGATATTTGCATCCGAAGAGGAGAAAACTCTCAGTAAATTTGGAAAGTGTAAAATTTGTCGACTTTAAGACGCGTTTTCTTCTCTTCGGATGCAAATATCTCTGCCAAACGTGCCCATTGGCAGATCGTCTCTTTTGCAAATTCCACACTTATTAAATTTGCAATCGATTCCCACTAATTTACCCAAAACCTGATCACATACGCTGACAGACGTTCATTCTTGCTACATAAAAATCCTTTCTTTAACAAATCTCTCTCACCTTTCTCAAAGTAAGAACCCTCTTCTTCGGCCCGACGCAGCACCCCTTGATCATCAAGAAATCGTTGTTGACCTCCCCATAATGCGGGAATCCTCCCATCGGGGTGATGCTCTTCTCGGTCAAGTCGTACTCGGTGGAGGCGTTGTTCACCACCTTCTTTCCATCCTTGACATGGATACCTTCTCCGATTCGGTAAATCTTCTTGTTCATCTCGGTCCTGTGGTGGTAACCCTTTTGACCGGCACGTGCCACGGTGAACTGAACACGTGACGGATGCCAGGCTCCGATACAAGCGACCTTCCTCAAACCCTTGTGCGTCTTGCGGGGCAGCTTCTTACAATGCCAACGGGAAGTGACACCTGCACACAGAAATTGGACAACATTTCAATTTAACGGCACAATTAACTAATTAACAACCTTAATTTTAGTTAGTAACATAGTTAGTTAATTAATCAGAAGGAAGGCAACATGTTTTATCCACAGGGTTTCTTTCAGTGTGGTAAACTCACGTTAATCATCACGCTCAAAAAATTAAAAATGAAAATCATGCTAAAATTTCAGTTTCTGAAACTCACCCTTCGTCCCCTTTCCCTTGGTGACTCCGATGATGTCAATCATCTCGTCCTGGGCGAACACGTTGTTGATTGGGATCGGCTTTTCGAGGTGCTTCTTGGCCCAGTCCAACTTTTGAGAGATGGACCCACCGTTGAGTTGGATTTCCATGATGTGAGCCTTCTTCTGGCGTTGTTTCAACAGTTTCATCTGCAAAAAAATGGAATAAATACGGTCAAAAATGGAATCATTATCAAAAATCGACACATTTTTAAAATTCTGGACGACAAATTCGTAGAGCGCAAGTCGTCGACAATTTTTGAAAGAGATCTCAAGTTTAAGAAGCCTTCAGAAAAATTGGAACTCATCGAAACTGGCTCAAAAACTAATCGCCATTCCATTAATCAACTCAACGACTAATAATTTGTCGTCCAGAATTTTAAAATAAGTTCCCACAGCCGAAAAATTATCATACATAATTACGCTAAATTTACCTGAGTGTGGGCAATGATCCTGATCACGCTGCAGTATTTCTTCATGATTTTAAAGTCATGGTCGATCTGCTTCTTGCCGAGGGCATCCTGCCATTTCTTGCTCGCCTTGGTGAACGCCTTCTTCTTGGATTTGTACCTTTTTTACCAATCAAAACGTCAACTATTTTCTCCCCTTTCAAAGAAGAACAATTCTGCATTTGAATCCCTGTCCCAGCAACATTTTCATTTCATTTCGAGTCGTCGTCTCATAGTTTAAACTGTGCCAGGCAAATGGTAAAGTTAACAGAGTCAAAATTAGCCAAAAGTCCGCAGCACAGAAACCAGAGGAGACAAATTTTTATACAAAAAATTACGGATGGGGCTTTCAATATTGGAATTATATTTTAAAAAGCCACTAAATTTCGAGAGGACGTGGTCCACACTAAATTTATAATTAATTCATCAATTAATCCCTGATTTTAATTAATTTGAAGTTAAATTTTCTACTAATTTCTATTCTTTTTTCTGGTTCATTCAAGTTTTCAGTCCGCCCTAGGTTATCGATCACTGATCAATCAGCTGGTGCTTTGTACACTTGGTTTATCCATCATTTGACTTGAATGACCAGTTAAAAATCCACTCTCTAATTAGTTAAATATAGACAAAAAAGTGTCCAAACTCACCAATTCTTGTAGAATCGTCGACGACAATCTTCACTCAAATGTTCAGCCCAGATCAATTTGAGGGCTCGGAGACCGTGTGGAGTGTCGATGTAGCCAACCACGCCGACAGCGACCATGGGAGGAGTCTCGATGATGGTGACGGCCTCCACGATTTCCTTCTTGTTCACCTCTGTGGAGAGAAAAGTCAAGAATTAAGTAAGATTAGAATATTTTGATTAATTATCGTCAAAATCGGCACATTTCTAATGATTTCTCTGCTCTGGGAATTTATTTTAAAATTCTGGACGACTAATTTGTAGTCGGTGAGTTGATTAATGGAATGGCGATGAGTTTTTTGAGCCAGTTTCGATTTTTCTGAAGGATTCTTAAACTTGAAATATACTACTTCAAAAAGTGTCAAAATCTGGAGTGTATATTTCTTTTAAAAAAAATTGAGAACTCCCTGCTCAACAAATTTGTCGTCCAGAATTTCAAAATAAATTCCCAGAGGCGAGAAATTTGCGGATTTTGTTAATTCTAATTAATTTCGACTACTTACTTGAACCCGGCTTATCTGCTTCCCTCACGATATGCGTCATACCGGCCTTGTATCCCAAAAAGGCGGTGAGATGGACAGGCTTTTTGGGGTCATCTTTCGGGAAGGCCTTCACCTTTCCGCGGTGACGAGCAGCACGCTTCTTTGGGTAGAAGCCCATGGACCCGTGACGGGGGGCGGAAAATTTACGATGCGACTAAAGAATTACCAATAAATCATCATTAATTAATAAGTAAGATTCCAGTCTAATTAATAATTACTAATTAATTAAGATAAGTTAGGCTGTAGCTCGCATGGCCTATCTCCCACTTCACGGCCGAACCGGCTAATGAAAGATAATGAAATATGCGACCTTTCGACTGCGCCACCAATGAAGACGGCGCGTCGCATTTAATGTACAACGCTGCGGGTGTGGAATAACTATATGGAAATTTATATAGCTCCAGAGACCGCTTTCAGCTTCCGCCGGTCCGGTCCGAAAACCAGTCCAGCTTCGGCCAAGCGTTGATTTTGATAAGCAAAAGGTTAAAATCTAGTAAAAATTCCACCCCAACTACACTAAATTGTACAGCCCCAGGTCATATTTAACTCAAAAATTACTAAATTGTACAGCCCCACCCTCAAAAAGTACCAAATTCCTCCCCCACCAAAAAACCGGCATGACCAGACACGCTTGCTCACAAAAAAGTCTAAATTTTTACAAAATTTCAACCCCAAAAAGTGGAAATTCCACTTGGCCGTGTAACTGCAAAGCACAGGCAGCCCCACCCCCTCATAATTAACTCAAAAACTACCCAATTCCTCCCCCCACCAAAAAACCAGCATGGCCAAACACGCTTGCACACAAAAAAGTTCAAAATTTGACAAAATTTCACCCCCAAAACTTAAAAATTCTACTTGGCCGTACAACTGCAAAGCACAGGCAGCCCCACCCCCTCATAATTAACTCGAAAACTACCCAATTCCTCCCCCCAGAAAAAAACCGGCATGGTAAAAAATGGCGGACCAGGAAAAAGTCCAATTTTTCCACAATTTCTGCCCCAAAAAGTAAAAATTCTACAACTACAAAGGTTCCCCCAGCTCCCCCTGAGTGGGGGCTTGACCAGATTTGAGAAAACGAGTGAAATTTTGAAAAGTAAAAAATAAAAATTTCTGGGAACTTACCATCTTGAAGTTGACGATGCGAGGAGAACGCAACTACTGAAGTGAACAAGTAAAGCACGGTGTGTGCAGGAGAGCACGAGGCGCTCGTGGTGAGATTTTGGTGCGAGTGAGCGCATGCAGAGGGCGACCAGGTGGTCGGAAATATACAAAAAGATGTCTCATTTTGTACAATTCATTTTGTACAAATTGAGACTAAAACGTCTCAAGAAGTGGATAATAATTGTCTCAAATTGTGAGAAAATTGAAGAAAGCGTTGAATAGAATGACGATACTAATTTTATGTAAACTTATTCACCAAATTGTGCAAATATTCAATGCAGAAACGAACCCCAACATGAAATCGTAATGTTTCTGTCCTAAAAAATCAAATGTCAAAAAATATATTTCTTTAAAAATCAAATCTCATCCATAACGGAAGTTTTAAAAAAACTTCAATTATACAAAAGTGTATTGTATGTAGCAAACAGTATTTTGAAATTTTTTATCATTCTCTCACCACCACCATTATCATCAAAAATTCCCACATTTCATCTCTTCTTCGTCCACCCACCCACCCACCACACCCACTTTTCATCCCCACAATCACATTTCTCTCCCAGTTTACAATTTCAAAAAATCAAAATTCGCAAAAACTGATTCTTACAAATTTTTCCATTTCCCCCCTTTATTAATAAATTTTCACACTTTGCAAAAAAACACACTATTTCATCTCTTCCCTGTCCACCCACCCACCACACCCACTTTTCATTCCCACCAGCATATTTCTCTCCCAGTCTACAATCTCATCATCATTTCACCACAAAAATTCGCAAAATCGTATTCTTTCATCTCCGTATTATTAATATAAATTTCCACAATTTTTACACCCATTTCGCAAAAAACAATATAAAAACGTTTTCATTCCCTTCCCATTCCTCCCCCCGCCACACTTGGAAATACAAAAAATCTGAAAATTTATCCCCCTTCTTCCACTTGAAGGCGAGTCGGTCGGTCTTTTTTACGACTACGACGTGCAGCAAACCAACCCATCGCACATCGCAACGGCCGTCATCATCCCAGTTCAGTCAGCCAGTTGCATTTCTCTCTCTCGCATCAGCCCGCATCTTTCTTCCATCAAAATAATAATAATCAATAATTAACTAATTATTCTCGAGTGTCTAACTGCTGCTGTGATTTAATTGTTCACTAAATAAATTTCTACCATTATGGAGTACGCATTCCAACTCTCAGAGTTGTTTCCGGAAGAAATCACCGTCATAGGGAATGATCTTATTCCGATCGGATGTCCCATGTTGAATCAACTGGGGCCAAAGTAAGTTAACGAAAATTTAATAAGTATTTAATTGCATAGTTAGTTAGTTTGGAGTGTGTGTAAGAGAGTGAGAACGTGTGTATGAATAATTTTGCTTGATTTGCCATGTTTTTTGCTGCGATACTTCATACTTTTCGTTTCGTGAGGATTAATTGAAAATTTCAATTTGAAATCATGGAATTATTAGTATTTTCAATTGTTTGGATTGGTTTTTTTTAACTGTTCTGTTGATAAGCTAAGCTATTAGATGACAAGAAAATTAATGAAAGACAAGGACTCGACGTAGTCCAAAGTAATTAGTAAAAAAATAAGTAACGGTAATTAATTTAGTCGCCGTGACGGGCATTTTATGGCGCATCATCATCTTCATCACACGGTCACGGTAATTAATAAGAAACTAGAAATCTCAGACACGGAAATATATTCGTAAAATTGCCAAATTTATGAGGTGGGTGTGCCAATTTTCCTAACGAAAAGAACACCACTACCACTTGCCAAAAGTTCTTTTTGCCAATTCTTCTCCCTGCAAATAGATATTTGCAAAACAAAAAAATCCTATCATCAAAAATCCTATCAAACAGTACGACGTAGACTACCGAAATCCCGTCAATCTACACATTTTTAGTCCCTATTTCCTCCCTTGTCAAATCTTTCTTTAAAACCTGGTCCCCAGTTTGGTTTCAAAATTTGTATCCGGTGCAAAATAAGGCATTTTAAAAGCAGCAAAGTAACAGGTGTTGCATGTGTGTGTCATTGCTTTAATTACTTTTTGCTAAATTTTATCCATTCAACATTACATAAATATTTATGGACGGATAGAAAGGAGATGAAATGATCACATATTGTTGGACAGAATACGACGAGTCAAGTGTTGTGTTTGTAGATAAGTGCGTGGGTGGTGTTTTGCTAAATAGTGAATGTCTCATGTCGTCTGGTTTACTGGTTCAATTGCCAATCCAATTAAATTCCGTGGTACGAACGTTATGTTGCAGGCGCAGTTAATTGAAGTAATTGTTTGTTAGGATAAATTGAATCCCTAAATTATGCATTTCCTCATTCGCCCTTCTTTAAGTTACTGTATCAAAACAATAATTTTGCACATTTTTGTTCGCAATTTTAAGAATTGATTTTCCAATAAGAATTAACAATTTTTCCTGCTTAATTTTGATTAAATGAGAAGCATTTGTAATTGTTTTTTGGTATAAATTGAATCCCTAAATTACATATTTCCTACTTCGCCTTTCTTTAAAGTTTATTATTTTGCACAGTTTTATTCGCAATTTCGCAAATTTAACCTTTTTTCCAAGATTTAACAAGTTTTCCTACCTAACCCTCATGTAATAATGTCGTCTGGTTTACTGGTTCAATTGCTAATTCAATTAAATTCTGTTGCAGGCGCAGTTATATAATTCGTAATTGTTAATATTGATAAATTGAATCCCTATAAATTATGCTTTTCCCCTCCTTCGCCTTTCAGTTACTGTATTTTTACAAAAATAATTTGCACATTTTTATTTGCAATTTAGTAATTCAGCTTATTTTCAACAAATTAACAATTTTTCCTGGTTAATCTTTATGTCTTCTTGATTAAATGGCATCCCCGAATTCTCTAGACATGAGTTACCGTATTTGTACAAAAATATTTAATTTTGCCCATTTTTATACGCAATTTCACCGAATCATTTCCCTGCTTCGATTAAATGAGACGAGAAGCCCAACCGTGCAGTAATGAAGAAGTTACATAAAAAGAATAGTATAAACAGTTCTGTCATGTTATTTATCATCATTCATTTTCATGTTTTTTTTCTTCTTTCTTGTTATGCGATGCGTTATAGAAAAATTGTTGGTTTTTCATTTACAATTTTACTTTTAGATTATAAATTCTACGAGTGGATTCATACATACATAAATACGGCTTAGCTTTTTAACTTTTAAAGCTTTTTCTTTTAAAACTGTACTCTCATCCGACCCTTCCTCCTTCCTGCAGTGGCCGCGGAAGCGTGGCGACAATGTCCCCACGATTATTCGATGTCCCCCTCATCCCCCCATCTTATATAAACCCCTCCCTCCCCCCATCCTACAATGGCAATATCCCCAGACGTCCCCCCACCAGCTTCCGCGGCCACTGCTTCCTCCTCTCCTCCTCTTTATCCCAGTTTTGTTAACGTTTTCATCCAAGCGTTAACATTTTATTTTTCAAGTTGAAACTTTTCTTCAACAAGTTTATCCGTTCTGCTTGGCAGGATAAGAATTGCAAGGAAGAAGACGAAGAAGTTCTAGTACAACAAATGCTGCACCGGTTATTATTATGTGATTGTGTAAAAGTAGAAAGATCGTGGTGGTTGGTTTTTTAGTCAAAGTTAGCAAGCATTATACGTAGTTTGTGGCAAGCATGGGAAAAAGGAACAGTTTCAAAACCGTTTTTATTAGAGTTCTAGACCAGATTTTCTCATCACTTTTGCGACGACGACGACATGATGGTCACCACCACCACCGGAATTCTGTGTCGGTTATGCTAGTCTTGTTATTCATTCATAATTTCTCTCAAGTTATGTATCATTAGCCGTGTTTGCATTTCATTTCATTAACTATGTACTAACGAACGAAGCGGAAAATGTTGGCATTTTGGCAAAAAAAAGTTAAGTCTAAAAAGATATGGAGGGAGGGATGGTTATTAATATATCCGATTAAATATTGACATTTCTACTCAAACTTAACGACTTCATTCATGCTTGTGAATGCCACGATTAGATAAGAAAAAAGATTAGAGTTTTCGGTTTTGCTCATTTACTAATCATAGATAAATCCAGTAGGAAGGGGTAAAAATGAGATGATCTTGTACATTTGCATATACGCATTTTTATTTAACCTTATTTATAGTCCTCCATATCGCATCTTTTAATGGCTTTTTACGGAGAAATTGGAATGTCACGTGTCCCATAAAAATTGTGTTTGGTTAAAAAAACATGTCATCTTTTCCAATTAGAAAAGAGTGGTGACAATGAGATGATCTTATCCATTTTTAACCTCGTGGTCCATTCCATATCGCATCTTTTAGACGATTCTTATATATTAAAAAGCTTTCCGTTTTTACGGAGAAAAAAAGTATTAGAATTTCACATGCCCCATAAAAATTGTGGTTAAAAAACGACATGACAGCCCTTGCTGCCGTTGACTCGCCCACTCGTGACAATTTGACGTTGACACGCTAATCATTGTTCGTGAATTAGGCGAATTTAATAAAACGCGAGATTCAGATTTTGCACGTTACTTTACTTGCTGACCAGACCATCAATCAGCCAACACCCGTTATTTTTTGCGTGTATGTTGTTATCCTGTCAGCATGACTTTTCATCACCATTTCATTCATTTCGCAGAGGAGCAAAATTAATGTCTAATTATTACTTTTGTTAATGCAGGATTGTTCGGGAACGCGTTTCTGAAATTTTGGATACGATGGGTCGTGCCTCTGCAGGTATTTACATAATAATTATTTGTTTAATGTACGAATTGATGACTAAAATCAACACATTTTTAATCATTTCTCGCCTCTGGGAATTTATTTTAAAATTCTGAACGACTGTAGAGCAGGGAGTTCCAAATTTTTGAAAAATATACACTCCAGATTTTGACCATTTTTGAAGGAGGAGATCTCAAGTTTAAGAAACCTTCAGTAAAATTGGAACTCGTCGAAACTGGCTCAAAAAACTCAACGCCATTCCATTAATCAACTCACCGACCACAAATTTGTCGTCCAGAATTTTAAAATAAATTCCCACAAACGGAAAAATGATTAAACACGTGCTGACTTTGAGGATAATGAGTCCTACAGAAATTGATGAAATGCAATAACTCACCACCCTGTTTTTTATCTGAAATCCACAGAAGCACAATCTCTCCACAGTATAATCACGAATGCAGAGAAGCTAAAATCCGGAGAGAACAAACTCTACATGTTTTGTGATTTCGTCTCGAATCGTGCCGTCGGACTGTTGAAGATCGGGAAGAAGAAGCTTTTCCTTTTCGACGACGCCGGAACGCAGCATGAACTCAACCCGTTTTGCATTTTGGATTTTTACATCCACGAATCCAGGCAGCGACAGGTAGATGATGACGATGTTGTAGTAGACAAGGACAAAGTAACACATATTTGGCTTGGTTTTGGGTATTGTTAAGTCATTTACAACGTTAAGATGTTGATTTCTAATGTTCTGGACTTGTTCTTGTCCTGGTATTTTTCAGGGCGCAGGAAAGTACCTGTTTGACCACATGTTGAGAGAGGAGGGCATCCCGGTCCAGCATTTCGCGATTGATCGGCCATCCGACAAGTTCGTCTACTTTCTTCGCAAGCATTACGGATGCACCAAAGTGCTCCCACAAGTCAATAATTTTGTCTTGTTTGATGGATTCTTCACTGACCGTGCAGGTACATACGCGATTAATTAATGAATTAATTAACGTAGGACTTGATGACGCGTCACCGAAATCAGCACATTTTTTAAATCTTTCTAGCCTCTGGGAATTTATTTTCAGATAAGTTTGTAGTCAGCAAGTTCATTAATAAAATAGCCGTGATTTTTTACAATAGTTTCGACGATTTCAATTTTTCTGAAAGCTTCTAAAACTTGAGATCTCCACCTTCAAAAAGTGTCAAAATCTGCAGCGTATATTTTTAAAATTTGGAACGTCCAGCTCTAAAAATGTGTCATCCAGAATTTTAAAATGGATTCTAACGACTCGTCGCCAAGTTAAAAAAATATACACTCCAGATGTTCACAGTTTTTGAAGGTGGAGATCTCAAGCAAGTTTAGGAAACCTTCAGAAAAATTGGAAATCATCAAAACTGACGTAAAAACTAATCCCCGACTATGAATTTATCGTGCAGAATTTTAAAATAAATTCCCAGAGCGGATAAATGATTAAAAATCTTCTGATTTTGACTATGAGTCGTCAAGTCCTACATTAATTATGAACAATCTTACTAATTCATCATCCTATCATCAGATTATCAAGGGAAGAAGAAGCGATGGGAAGGACTCGATCAAACCGCCGACATTCGTCACGTCGCACACCCGAAGGACAAAGCCTCCCGAATGGAAGACTCCCTCACGTACAACGTCGAACCCTTGATTCATCTCCGCAATGGGGCCCAGCTCCCCCCAAATTACACGCAACGGCGCCACATCAACTCGATCGGAGACATTCTCCAGCCAAACCATGGCGGCGTGAATCAACCCGTGAATCATCACCATCACGGAAATGGAACCACCGGAAACGGTGCCAACGGAAATGGACATCATCACGTTGATCATCACGATTTTATGTAATAATTTCAAAATCAAATCAAACCAAGTTCCCCAAAAATCAAATCCACATTTACACTTTTACGGTAAACAGAATTAACACAAAATTAATTAGGCAGTTGGTAAATGTATGTTTTTAAAATTTTCGTAACTTTCCCTATTGAGTCAAAATTTCCGCAAGAGTTGGGTAAAAATTCCCGTAAATTTCCACATTTCTTGAGCCGGGTCAAAATTTCCGTCTGGAGTAGTGTCAAAAATCAAAATTTCCGAAGATTCCCGTATCGTTTGATGAGTCGGGTCAAAATTTCAGATAATTTTTCAATATCTTGATTTGTGTCGAAATTTCCATAAATTTCCCTATATCATGAATTGAGTCAAAATTTCCGGAACTGATCTTGAAATCACTCTTGAGCTGAGCGTCCTCTCAAAATTTTTCATTCTGTCCCCTCAAATTTAAAGAAATATTAGGAAATATTAACAGAAATTTTAAAAACGTACCTTTCCTAACTGCCTATAAATAACTCGACTAATTAATTACTCACACTAATCCATTAATAATTATCTATGTCTTCCAGTTTTTGTGTTGAGTTACCAATTCCTCGATCAAACCAAGTACTTCTTCCTCCTTCAATAATTTACATACATAAATAGTATCCAAATCCAATTCTACAACGACATCATCGCGATCGACAACGTCTTCTTGCCTCAACAAACAAACCGCAACAGCAACTAAATAATTACCACCACCACCACCATTACTCATCCATCATCACAGTATTGTTAATAATGTGTCGTATATACTCACTCACCAATCCAATAACAAACCAATTGTTAGCTTAATAACTAATAATCAAGAATATCTAGTACTGTTAAGAAACGCAGGGTTTGCAATAATTTCGCTCGTAAATTATTGTTATATACAAAAAATGGTTTTATTATGTAGGTATTGTCGGACGAATAATAATTATTGAGCGATTTTCTTACCTACAATATCAATATCACCACCACCGATTAATGAATGACGACGAGAAGATAATCAATCTTTATATATTCTTAACTTACGTAGGACCGGACGACGCATCGTCAAAATCGACACATTTTTAATCATTTCTCTCGCCTCTGGGAACTTATTTTAAAATTCTGGACGACAAATTTGTCGTCAGTGAGTTGATTAATGGAATGGCGTTGAGTTTTTTGAGCCAGTTTCGACGAGTTCCAATGTTTCTGAAGGTTTCTTAACCTTGAGATCTCCTCCTTCAAAAAGTGTCAAAATCTGGAGTGTACTTTTTTGAAAAATTGACAACTCCTTCTGCTCTACAAATTTGTCGGTCAGAATTTTAAAATAAGTTCCCGGAGGTGAGAAATGACTAAAAATATGCTGATTTTCCCGATGCGTTATCCAGTCCTACGTTATCGTTAACGTTAACAAGCAGAAAAGGAAAAGACTGTCTCCACTTTAAATTAAATTATTAACCTTTTTCCACCACCCCCACTCGAAAACTTGCCGTTTTAGCTACAAACAAGTACACACTTTACCAAGAACCAACGGCAATTCAATTTATGTACCTGTTGATTAATAATTTATGTTGTAATTATAGTATTATCTAATTTATATATTTATTTTACTGACTTTATTCAAATTTTTTGGGGCTGGAGGATTTGTTCAAGTAGTACTACTTAATTTATTTATAACAATATTTAGCAGCTTTATGTTAATTGTCGTCGTTCATCCTCTTAAATAACACAATTAATCATAGTCGCGCAAATCTAATCGTAATTTATAAAGAAAAATACCCTAATTTTTGAAAAAGGGGAAAGGAAAACCGAGTCAATTTTTTGTTTCATTAGACACATAAATTCGAAAAAATGTGTACTTTTTCCTAATATTTATTGCATTTTGTATTATTATATTAATTAACATGCAGCACACACCACTTTAAAAAGGACGGCTAATAAATTTAAGCTAATTTAAATATTAATTGTAGTTATATAATTAATTATTTAACTAAATTTATTAGCATCTAAAAAAAACATTAAAAAACTTGTGTCGAATTTTTACCCTATTTCGTTTTTTTGATTTTGCTTTTTCTTTTTTTTTGGTTTTGTGTTGCATGCGACGTAAAAAGACGTCCTTCCTCGACACGTGGCAGTAGCGTTGCCGGTGACCGTTTTGACCTTCAGGTCATCGATACCGCGGCGGTGGGAGATTTGGAATATGACCAGTTACGCCGACAACCGCGCCGCATTTCGCGTCTCACTTCGCTCAACGCGTCCGATATTGAGATTCATTACCAATTCAACGTTCAGAACATGAGGTCCGAACAGTTCCAAAAGTTGAGGACGTCCTCACGAAATCATGGCGTTGATCAGGGGCACGAAGCGTTGTGGTGAAAATATTATGTGAAAATGCTGCAATTAATTATTAAGACCATAAAATTTAAGAAAATTTAAATTTTAAATTAACGAAACCTAATAATTTATTTTGATTTCATGTTTGAATTAAATGCGACATTTAACCCCTGAATTCGATAATGTTCTATTTTTTATGTGAGAACAAAACCGTAATTAATTGCAGTTAGTTAATTAATTAATTACCAATTACACACCAATTCGCTGATTCGTCATAAAATGACGTACCGTAAAATATAAATTTTTATAAAAAATATACTGGTTTTCAAGCTATGCAAATATGAATTCGTGTACATTGCTAAAAAATAATTTAGAAAAGTTTGTTTAAGTAAAAAAAATAGTACCACTTTAATAATAAAATGTAAGATTATTTAAATCCCATCAATGAATTTTGCGGTGCATAAGTACTTATCAATTCGCAAAACGGAAATTTAGCTAAGTTTTTACCCTCAAAATTGAGACTCGTTACCAATTTAACGTGCAGAACATGAGGTCCGAACAGATCCAAAAGTTGAGGACGTCTTCGCGAAATCATGGCGTTGATCAGGGGCACGAAGCGTTGTGGTGAATATGAAAATTTCCCAAAATAATATTTAATAATGCTGCTACAATTAATTATAAAAACCATAAAATTTAAGGAAATTTAAAAGTAAAACATAATAATTTTAAGTTATTTAGATTTCATGTTTGAATTAAATGCGACCCTTAATCCTTGAATTTGATGAAGTTTGTCGCGCTAGCGTTTGATTTTTATGCAAAAAGGACGCCAATTACACGCCAATTCGATTTAAAAAAATTCGCTGATTATGATCGATAACTAGGACGTCTTCGCGAAATCATGGCGCTGAAGGGACATGAAGCGTTGTGGTGAAGGTGAAAATATTACGATGAAAATTTCCAAAAATACTATTTCATAATGCTGCAATTAAATATAAATCATAATTAAATTACCATAAAATTTAAGCATATGTATCTAATAATTTTAAGTTATTTAATTAGAATGTCGTATATGTATATGATTTTGAAAATGGAAACGCGACAATTAATTACTAAATTTTATGAAATTTCTAGCGTTTTACGAAACATAATAATTATTTACATGGAATGTCGACTTCATTTTTGCATGAAATGCGACAGTTAATTACTTAATTTCATTACATTTATTGTGCTAGCGTTTTATTTTTATGCAAAAAAGACGCCAATTCGCTGATTCGTCATAAGAAATGATATGACGTAAAATATTAATTATTATGTGTAAATATGATTTTGATGCTGCTAAAAACATATTAAAAACAATTTCTTTTAAAACAATTGTACCACTTTAATCAAATTCAATTATTTTGTCATCGAAAAACCAGACATGGAAATTTCTGGAAATTTCGCCAAATTGTCTCGTTGGCGTAACTACGACAAATACGAAACGAGTAAAAAACTACTTCGAGGTCAGAAAATTGTACAATTTCAAAAAACAACCAGAAAAATTTCCAGCCCCCCAGCAGCACAACGAACTTCTCAACTTCTACTTCTCAAATCAAAGCTGGGAAACTATTCGACATGGGTAAATTAAATCAAGATTTAAATTTAAATACACAGTGGGGGCGGAAGCAAGGGGACGATGTCCCCACCGTTGTGCCATGTCGATGTCCCCATCATCTCCCCATCTTATGCAAACCCCTCCCTCCCCCCATCCTCGATTGTTAATGTCCCCCCACCTTCCGCGGCCACTGTGAGCCACCACCCCTACAATTTCATGACCAGTGGTCGCGGAAGCGGAAGGGCGGACAGAGGGATAATGTCCCAACGGTTATTCGATGTCCGCATCATCTACGTTATATGGACCCTTCCCTCCCCTATCCTTCATTATTAATGACGGCTTCACGGCTTCCCACGGCTTCCGCGGCCAATGGGCGCGTGGCTGGATGGCTCATATTTCTTGCACATTCTTGCACCTCATTGCTTGATTTGTGGTGCAGGAAATGTAGCAAACGCCCAAGAAACACTGAACTTGACCTTGAACTTGACCTTGACCTTTTTTTCCCTGCAGCACCCAACCAAAACGACGACGACTTGGAGCGACCTGGTCTAAACCGCGCCTGCAAGTGTCCCCCCACCGGCGGACGTGGTGGCGGCGGCGGTGGTGGTGGTAAGAAGAAGGTCGGCAAGAAAATCAAACGAAAGGTCATCACGGGTCGGCGCCACGGGAAGAAAGCGGGTGCTGGAAAGCGCCCGAAATCCGGAGGCAAAGCGGCCGGTGGGAAGAAGAAGAAGACCGGTTCCTCCTCCAAAGTGAAGAAAGCCAAAGCCGTCGCGATCGCACTTTGGCGCAAGAAAGGCAACGGAAACCATTCCGCGAACTGCTTCATCCTGTACTTCCTCGACACTTGGAGGGTAAAAAAGCTCAATTTATTAATTATCTTTCACTCATCCTCAAAATCGTCAAAATCAGCACATTTTTGACCATTCCTCTCCTCTGGGAACTTATTTTAAAATTCTGGGCGACAAATTTGCAGTCAGTGAGTCGATTAATGGAATGGCGTTATTGGCGTTGAGTTTTTTGAGCCAGTTTCGACGAGTTCCAATTTTTCTGAAGGCTTCCTAAACTTGAGATCTCCTCCTTCAAAAAGTGAAAAAATCTGAACTGTATATTTCTAAAAAATTTGGAACTCCCCTTGCTCTACAAATTTGTCGTCAAAATAAATTCCCAGAGCGTTTAAGTCACTAAAATATTTACTAATTGGATAAAACCTCTTCTTTTTCTCCAGAAACAAGGCGGAAACGTCTTCCATGTTGCGAAACAGTGCGGCCACGACTGGTGGAAGCTTCCCGACAGCGTCAAGGAGAAGTACCGCAGAGCCTACTGCGCCGTTCAAAAGAATTCCAAAGTTTGTGGTGGAAAAGGGGGAGGAAAAACTGGAGGAGGAAAAGGCGTGAAAACCGGAGGAGGAAAAACCGGAGGAGGAAAAACTGGAGGGGGAAAAGGCGGAAAAACTGGAGGGGGAAAAGGCGGAAAAACTGGAGGGGGAAAAGGCGGAAAAACTGGAGGGGGAAAAGGCGGAAAAACTGGAGGGGGAAAAGGCGGAAAAACTGGAGGGGGAAAAGGCGGAAAAACTGGAGGGGGAAAAGGCGGAAAAACTGGAGGGGGAAAAGGCGGAAAAACCGGAGGGGGGAAAGACAGGAAAACCGGAAAAGACCGAAAAACCGGAAAAGACCGAAAAATCGGAGGGGGAAAAGGTGGAAAAGGAAAGACCGGACCCCCAAAGCCGAAGCCAGACCCAATTCGACCTCCAAAACCAACGACCGGACCAAAACCACCACCACCACCACCGACATGTTAAATAGGTCAAAAAATGTCAATAATACTGTGCAATCTATGTCATTTCCTAACTACTAATACGCCATGATAATGTATTTGTACCACTAAAAATTGATTTTAACCATGTATGTAAATAGGTAAATACGTATACTATAACGTCTAAATTCCAATTTGTAAACGTGATAAATGATGAAATATGTATTAAATAAAGCGATCGATCCATCCACGTAAATTCTTAGCTTTTCACGATAATTAATTAATTACTCAAACTTAAAACTTAATATACCAATTAATTAAATACTTATTATAATTTAGACATTAATTCATCCAGCGTCACGTATTTACTTTCTTAATACTAATTAAATATTTACTTATCAATGAGACATTATCAATCCCAATAATCCCAAGGCCTCCAATTTCTCCTCTCTTAACTATCCACTAACTGCTCCATTAATTAAACCTAATAACTTCTCAATCCCAACCTACATAATCTTTTATTAGTCAATAATAAATAAGCCTCTACATAAATTTGCATATCGTATACTCCGTCGCCTTTCTTACTATTTGATCACGATAAGTAGGACATTGAGATGCATGCAGGGAAGCTTATAAGTTTGAGGTCATTAATTAAATATGTATGTATTTACATACGCTATCGTGCCCATGAAAATCTGATACATTCAAAAACATACCAAACCAGCAGACTAAATAGATCCCACTGCTGATAAGTAAGTAAATTATGAACAGCAGCAGACGCATCATTTTCTTCTCTCCAGATAAGAACTCATCGTCCCCTCAAAAAGTGCACTTTTTTATAAACTTCATTCGCAGTTTGGACCCGTTATCGCATCACTGCTGCGTATTTTCATAGCGTAATTAATTTCATAGCGTAATTTTCCCTGTGCACTGTAAAACACGACATTTTAATAATTTTTCTACACAAATACATTATTTTTAAAGACATGACACGACTCAAAACTTTATACATTTTAAATAATTAGTGACGAATTATAATTAATTAGTTATATCGCTTCACTTATATCACTGCTGCGTATTTTTAATTAATTTCATAGCTTAATTTTCCCTGTGCATCGTAAAACACGGCAGTTTAATAATTTTTCCACAAAAAAATAACATTTTGAACTATTTTTAAAAACATGAGACGACTCAAAACTTTGTAATTTTAAGTAATTAGTGACACATTTTAGTTAATTAATCAATCAATTATAAATAATGGCTCAACAACCTTCATCTCCAGCCGTTCCGATAAGCTCTCCGCGACGCGGACAAGCCGGACCACCCCCACCACTGATCTCACTCCCCTCATTTGCATCAAATCATCAATATTTTCTTCACGGAGGAGGAGGCAAAGAAGACTCACTTCCGTCCCAATTACATTCTTCTCTCAATTCTGAGTCGACACGTAGGAGTCGAAGGTATAAGTAAAAAAAATTTGAATTTTATAAAAATTTCAAATTCATAAAATTCTGAAATGTACATAAACAGGTCACGAAAGACAAGTTTCCGATTCAGCGAGTGTGACGGAGATGAAGACTTGCCACAGTTCCAAGGACCCAGAAGGGTCCAGTATTTCGCAGCTTTGGCAGGTTTGATAGATATATTTTTCAGAATTTTATTTTTCAAAAATGTCCCATTTTCTTCAAAAATTTCACAAAATTTCATATGTATTAGCGAACATGGGAGCTCTCGCGTTAGGAACGGTTCTCAGTTGGTCGGCCGTGGGTAAGATTTATAGAAATTCTTTAAAAAAACATTATATTTTTGGAAACGTTAACTTCAAAATTTCAAAATTTTAATCAGCCCTGCCCGATCTGAGGAAGGATCCCAGATTTACGGCCACTCTCACCCCCACCGTAGAAACTTGGATTGGCTCAATTATCACGGTATGTAAATTAACCTTGAATCAATTTGCATGAAAGTTTACTTGGATTAGCTCCATTAAATATCACGATATTTCTAATAATTTCAAATTAAAATCATCAAAATAATTCCTCCAGTTTAACCCTGGAATAATTTGCATGAAAATTTCCCATAAAAAATATCTCTTAAAGTAATGTGTCACTGAATAAATATCGATTTTCAACGGAAATTAAGTAAGTACAGGAAGTGCGTCTGGCATACTAATGATCCGATTGTACCACGACGTCGCGTGATTGACACACATCACACATGTCCATTTTAATCCCGGATTAACAACAAACTTGCCACACTTTTATTATCGCTTACTTAAATACCTTAACAATTACGTAGTAAACTATATTCAATACTTAACTCTGGTAGCAAATAAGTATTAAGAATTTCATGCAATTCGAATCGACTCAAAATCCGGCGTGACACTGGATAAAACTGACGCCATCGTGATCTTATTATGCCACTAGTCTGTTACGGGTCAAAGGGAACATGTTTACATATTATGCTAATTTTATGTATGTACAATTTAAACCCATCATTTACGTAAATACCTTAACAATCATTATCAAGTATTAAGAATTTCATGCAATTCTCAAAATCAGACGCGACACTAAATAAGACTGACGCCATCGTAATCTTGTTATTATGCCACACGATTAATTATGGGTCAGTAATAAGGAAAGGGAGCAGACATATTATGCAAATTATACCCGTACTTTAATTAAATACCTTAACCTTAAAATCCGTGTAATTAAATACCTTAATTATGTAATTATTAAGAATTTCATGCAATTCCCATCGATTCTAAATCAGACATTACATAAAACTGACGCCAACGTAATCCTTGTTATGTCACAACGATTAATTTCGGGTCAAAGGGAATACACATGTTATGCAAATTAAGCTCGTTACACAATTACGTATGTAACCTTGACCTTGACCTTATCCAATTAATTCGCAGTTGGGCGCCGTGGCTGCGGGACCAGCATCCGGATTCGGTATCGAGACCTTGGGTCGCCGCAAGTCGATGCTCCTCCTCACGGGGCCCTTCCTCCTCGGGTGGCTCCTCATCTATTTCGCCTACAATGTCAATATGATTCTGGCTGGAAGATTTGTCACCGGTTTCTGCTCAGGAATATTCGGTTAGCCAAAATTATTAGCAACAGGTTTCACGAAATATTATGATAATTTTTGAAAATCTGTGGAAATTTGCAGCCGTCGCGGCACCAATTTTTTGCGCTGAAATGGCCGACGTTGAAATCCGGGGGACGCTTTGCGCCGGGTTCGACTGCATGATTTCGGTCGGAATTCTTTTCATGTGAGGCTCAAAAAATACAAAGCTTATATAACGAAGAACTTATCACCAAAATCAGCACAATTTTAATAATTTCTCGCCTCTCGGAATTTATTTTAAAATTCTGGACGACAAATTTGTAGAACAGGCCGTTCCCAATTTTTTGAGAATTTTTTTAGAAACTCCAGATTTTGACATTTATGAAGGAGGAGATCTCAAGTTTAAGAAGCCTTCAGAAAAATTGGAACTCATCGAAACTGGCTAAAAAAACTGAACGCCATTCCATCAATCAGTTCACTGACTACAAATTTGTCGTCCAGAATTTTAAAATAAGTTCCCAGAGGCTAGAAACGATTTAAAATGTGTTAATTTTTCCGATAAGTGATCGAGTCCTACCTTAATTTACGCAAACATGACCTTTCTCCCCCACATTCAGCTACATCCTGGGTTCCTTCACCACTTGGCAAACGCAATCCCTCATCTGCGCTGGATTTCCGGTCATCATCTTCATCATGATGCTATTCGTCCCCGAATCTCCACGTTTTCTCGTCGCCAAAGGAAAATTTGAGGAAGCCTCGCACGCCCTGACGCGCTTTCGAGGGGCCGTCGTCCCAGAACAAGTGGACCCCGAACTCGCCGCGTTGAAAGTCAGTTTCCGCCTGTCGCACGATAAATCTACAAAATTTCAGGAACTTTTCCGCGGTCCGATCCTCCGCCCGGTGTCGATCGCCTTTTTCATCTACTTTTTCCAAGTCTTCTCTGGAATTGATCCCGTCCTGTTTTACACGGTACGAATATTTATAACTCTAACAATGCGATGGTGTGAACTGTAACCCTCCGATTTGGTTGAAATTTTGAAATTCTGTGGTCCATGTCAATACAACCCACGTTTCTTGAGACAGTTTGTGCGATGGTTGGAATTTTCCCAAAATATTTGAGGTCAAAGTTGAAACACGGGCGATTTTTAGCACGGAAAAAGAATGGACGTTGAATTCGCTTTCTCCGCCTGGTTAAAATCGCCCGTTTTTCAACTTTACCCTCAAATATTTTGCCAAATTCTGACCATCGCACAAACTGCCTGAAGAAACGTTGGTTGTATTGACATGGACCACAGAATTTCAAAATTTCAACCAAATCGGAGGGTTACACTTAACACCATCGCATTGTAAGAATGGAGGTCTCCCACCCAGCATATGCTCTCAGATTTTGAGCAAATTAGTGTCAATCGATCGCAAATTTAATTAGAATGAAATTTGCGAAAGACGCGATCTCCTAATGGGCACGTTTGGCGCAGATATTTGCATCCCTAGAGGAGAAAACGAGTCGTAAACTTGACAAATTTTGCAGTTTAGAATATATAATTTCTAAAATATATAATTTCCTGTAGCAAAATTCAAAATGTGTTTTCATTTTATTTCGTAATTTCAACAAATCTGTAAAACTTAAGATCCCGGATGAAAATTCGGTCAAAATGTATAATATAAATGACTTTCAAAGATATTGAGGGTCAGGTTTCTGAGAAAGACTGGATCTTCCAATGGGCAAGTTTTGCTGAGATATTTGCAAAAATAAATCGAAAAGTTGACAAATTTTGCACTTTCAAAATTTCTCCTCTGCAAATATCTTTCTGCTAAACAAGCCCATCGCGTCTTTCGCAAATTTCATCCTAATTAAATTTGTTATCAACTGGCACTAATTTGCTCAAAATCGGAGAAGTTCGTTGAGAGACGAATTTTCTTCATTGTAAGATTTTTATGGTGAATTCAAAACCCCAAAATTTTATGAATTTTTTCCAGGTGGACATCTTCCACTCTGCGGGTGCCAACGTGGACGACTACTATTCAACAATTATCATCGGCACGGTCCAAGTGGTATTTAAGATTCAATTATAAATTTTTTGCCAATACAGGATCTGTAATTTTTGCTAAAAATTTGCACGTCCGTCAGATTTTCGCCGCTATTGGTGCCTTCATGGTGGAATACTTCGGGCGTCGCGTCCTCCTCATGCTCTCCGAAGCCGTGATGGTCGCATCCCTCACGCTGCTCGGATTCTACTTTTATCTCAAAGCAGAAAACGGTGGGGTTAATTTGCCAACAATTTCTAATTTCAATAATACAAATATTTGTTAAATAATTATTATTCAAAAAAGGTTAAATATTTAATTAATCATTAATAAAAATTATGTAAATGAAGGTGGCGTCGCGCCGGACGGAGGGTGGGGCTGGTTACCCTTGGGATCTCTTATCGTTTACACGATCGCCTACTCCGTCGGCGTCGGACCGGTCGGATACATGATCATGGGCGAAATTCTGCCACATCACGTTAAAGGTGTGATATAACTTTAAATATTTACCTTATCAATCTCAACTTATCATCAGAGGGTGGATATGCACTTATCCATTCAACTTCTCCATTTTATGACAACCAACAACTGTCAAATTTTCTTATGTGATCATTAACTCGAATAGATCACTAAAATTTCAAAATAGTTCTACATATTGTCACGTATTTCTAGGTTTTCAGACATGTAAATATTTCCACTATTTACTTGAAATCTTTCAATCTTTTACATATTTTTTTTCAAAAATGCATATATTTTGAAAATACATATTTCAACGATGCGAGACGAATTGTTTTCCTTAAAGAAATTTGAATACAAATCATCCAGAACATTATGTTCAGAAATACGAAAAATTCTTGTTTTTTGTACAAATTTCGTAATATTTTGGGGTTTATTTCATAAGTATTAAATACATTTTGCGGGTAGAGGTGAGTCGAGCAGCGATTTTCAGAAGCTCGGCTCGCTCAAGCTCGGCTCGCTCAAGCTCGACTCAGGAAAAGCTCGAGAAAGCTCGGCTCGCTCGAGCTCGACTCGAAAAAAGCTCGGCTCGCTCAAGCTCGACTCAGGAAAAGCTCGAGAAAGCTCGGCTAGCTCAGAGCTCAGTTGAACCGAGACGAGCACGATCAAATTCGGCTAAATTCAGCATTTCTTGTGACAAAGATGCATTCATGCCATAATACATACTAAATTTTAAATATTTATCGTTCTATTAAAGACCAGGATACAAAAATGTAGAACTTTTGCTTTCCTGTTGGATATGTAACAATTTGACTTCAATTAGTGATTAACATCAACCAAAAAGAAATTGTCAAACCAAAGGTTGGCAATTAATGCATACATTTTATACCCTGTAATTCACTTTTTGTGAGAACAATTTAAATATTATTGTGAAGAGAGAAAAATATGTTTAAACTACACGGATACAAATTTCTCACTTTATCCCACTTGAAATTTTAGAAAATAACGAGCTTGTGAATAAGCTCGGCTCGGAGCTCGACTAAGTAAAAGCTCGAAAAAGCTCGGCTCGCTCAAGCTCGGCTCAGAAAAAGCTCGGCTCGCTCAAGCTCGACTCAGGAAAAGCTCGAAAATACTCGGCTCGCTCAAGCTCGGTTGAGCCGAGCCGAGCCCGAGCTAGCTCGGCTCAACCGAGCATTTGGCTCACCTCTAGTTGCGGGGATTTTTCGTAAATATGTACATATCCGCCCTCTGCTTATCATAAATCTTAACTTATCATTGTTCATTTACATATTATGCAGGTCTTGCTGGCTGTATTTTGACCTCTTTGAAATGGTTCATGTCCTTCGCGATGACGAAATTCTTCCAAGATATCATCGCTTTGCTGGGGAACGACGGAGCGTACTGGTTCTTCGGGGGATCCTGTCTCTTCGGTTTCATCTACACTTTCCTCTTCGTTCCCGAAACCAAGGGCAAAACGTTGGACGAGATACAGGCCGAATTTGCCAGCAATAAAAATGAGGAGGAAGACTTCGAGCGAGAAAGTTTGCTGGGCGGGGGAGGTGGAGGTAGTTATTTGGCGACGTCGCCATACAGAAATCCGACCAGGGCGACGTCCACAACTCTGTCGCCACCACCAGATAATCTGAGGAAGAAGCGGGCTCGCACTTATCACTCGTTTGGGCAGCATGTCTAGATAAGCAGAAATTTTAGGATAAAAATGTGGTAAAATTGCAATAATTACAATGATTTGCAAATAAATTTTAATCCAAAATTGGGACACGTTTAAATGCAAAACTGTGCAAAAATTGGACAAGTTTTGTTCAGAGGAGTTTTTTTATCTAAAAAATAGTGATGCAAAATTGAATTTGCGAATAAGTTTTTATATGAATAAACTAATTCTTTAAAAAAAACTTAGGTGAGGCTTGCTTAAAAGGGAGAAACAAGAGGTTCTCATCGTGTAGTAAAATAATATGCTACATCAATGTTCATCTCATGATTTATAATTTTAGGTGAATACAACAACAAATTATATGCGTTTCGGACCATTTGCCTCGCCGTGGGCCTGATTAATTGTTCCATACCAATGCATATATGTATATATTTATAGTATGTGCGCCATATTGATGCTTGTACCTAAATATACATAAGTTGCAATCTTCGTTACTATTCGATTCTGCTTATACTGATGGCCTACATGAATATATTTCAAAGATAGGTCGAAGTTTTTAAAATTTAGTGTTCTGAAATATAATATTACAAACTAACTCAAGCTTCGTACATTACATCACCAATAGATTATGGATAACGAAATTATCTAACTAAATCCTGTATCGTTTCATATGAATTATTACTGCATATGTGTATCAAATGCACTGAGCGCTAATAAATTTTCAAGTTATTTTAATTATTTGAATCATAAAATGGCCCACGGCGAGGCAAATGGTCCGAAACGCATATAATTTGTTGTTGTATTCACCTAAAATTATAAATCATGAGATGAACATTGATGTAGCATATTATTTTACTACACGATGAGAACCTCTTGTTTCTCCCTTTTAAGCAAGCCTCACCTAAGTTTTTTTAAAGAATTAGTTTATTTTTTTGTTTTTAAGTCTCTTTAAGTTGTCATCAATAATAGATACCAAATTAAATCTCATTAGCCTGGATGCGTTACATAATATGCAATTAATTCTCCAGTGGGTGTGAATGCGTGGAACACCAAATTAAATTCCCCTATCACCCGTGGACTAAAGGGCAAGAAATGCATCAACATCATACATACATGTATTTTGTATATACACACACTTAGAAATCTGGTATAATTGAAATCTCAGTGGTTCCTATTGCTTGCAATACGATGACGCCAGCGGTCTAGCTCCGATTTTGACGAAAACACGATAATTATGTATCCTTAGATAAATGATTAAACACGTGTTTCAGGATTTTTCGTAATGCTCATCCTTAGTTTAAACAAAGTTATGATGGAAAACGTGAAAGAGAATTTGCATTTTCACCGTGAAATTTTTCTCACATGGGAGAAAACGAAACATGATTACGTCAGAGCATTAGTTATGAATACCATTTTTGTAGTCATTTCTGAATACCGCTTGGTACTATTTTAATACTGGATTTCTAAAAGTGCATACATGTACATACATATTTACATGTTTAGATATTTGCATATGTAAGTGCAGAGCTTACATGTTTCTATTGTGCTGGTTGCTAATAGAAACGAGTATTTGTTATAAGTAATGAAGAAACATTACAAGCAACGTAACTGGCTGCAGATGCTACCAAGAAAACTTTTTCATTTCTTGTCCGATTTCGCTCGGGTTTGTTTTAAATGACGCGTTATAGATTTCCGCACATTAAAACATGGACGAGTCACAACCTTTGCATGGGAAAAGTGAATTTGCCAGTCGTTTGAAAGTTTAAAATCGATTTAAAATGGGTTAAAATAAGATTGTCAAGTCTCTAGACCTGACGGGCATCATCTACCCAGCAAGGTCTGCACGATTGCCTTTTACACCATTTTGATACGATTAGCCGTTTTGCCACAATCTTGAGTGGAATTTTGGGAGGGGGGGTCTGTTTGCATACTTAGGCTTCGCCGTAACCATGCATTTTTTCAAGAGGTCATGGTTACTATGCCTCACCTAAGAAAAATGTACTGAACTTTTAGGTGCACCTTTGACTCTTGAATCCATTGAACATGTTTTCCGCAAAAAGATTCACGCTTTTACTAACATGGCTGGTCGATTGCATTCCATTCCAAGCCATATTGCGTATTATCTCTTGAAACATTCACTAGCTATTCCACGATTAGTTTATCTACTAAGGGCAGCCCCTATTTTTAAATCTCCACATTTGCTAGAGGAGTTTGATTCATTGCTCCATAATGCCTTAGAACAAATTACAAATTGCCAAATTAATCCTTTGTCTTTAGAAGAAATTGCATTACCAATTAAATTAGGTGGTTTAGGAATTAGACAATCTAAAACATTAGCAACTCCATGTTTCCTTGCATCTTCATTTGCCACCACTGACTTGGTTTCTTTAATTTTGCCCTCGTATGTCACTGCTTTGTCCGATTCACTTGTGACCGAGGCGCAGGACTTGTGGAAGTCAATTAGTTGTGAAGAACTACCTCGCAGTACAATTACTTCTTTTCAATCATCCTGGGAAAGTCCAATTTTCAATTACGTATCTTCACGAATCCTGGAATCATCCACCACCCCAATAAATACTGCTAGGATTTTGGCATCAAGGTCAAAAGAATCAGGTGCATGGTTGCAAGCTTTACCATCGAGGAATTTAGGCACACTTTTAGACGATAATTCCTTCAGGATTGCAATAGGTTTGAGGTTAGGGTTAAATTTATGTTTCCCTCATAAATGTGTTTGCGGCGCACAAGTAGATGAACTAGGCTTACATGGTCTTTCATGTAAAAAAAGTGCTGGCAGGCACTCTAGACATACGCAAGCCAATGACATTATAAAGAGAGCCTTAATTTCTGCAGACATACCAAGCATTAGGGAACCATTAGGATGTTGTAGGACAGATGGAAAAAGACCGGATGGTCTAACACTAATACCTTACAAACATGGACGCTCACTAATATGGGACTTTACATGTACAGACACTTTTGCCCCCTCTTATCTCTCTCACACACTTAGACATGCTGGCACAGCAGCAAAACTAGCCGAGACCAAAAAACACAAACTGTACTCTGAACTTAAAACAAACTATATCTTTGTTCCGGTGGCTATCGAGACATCAGGAGTATGGGGGACGGAAGGGTTGAAGTTCATCCAAGATGTTGGGAGGAGGATGAAGGATGTCACTGGACCAATGTCGACAACTTTTCTCATTCAACGGATTAGTTTGGCAGTTCAACGCGGGAATGCGGCATCAATCATGGGAGCTGTCCCCAGTCAACGAGGATTAGAAGAATTATTTTATATTTTAAATGATAGGTCGTTTTATTTACAAAAATCATGTAAGGGGCCGAATGGTGATCTCGGACGCCTATCCGGATCAAGTAAAGGTTTTCCCAACCCACCAACATCGGGTTTTTCCTCTACTCCCCAAGCCAACTAAGTGTATTTCATAGTTTATCAATGTTTATGTTAATAATAAATAAAATCGACCATTAATCCTCTTGGTAAAAAAAAAAAAAAAAATGTGCAAAAATTTGCATGCCATTTTATTTGCTCAGCATTTCTACCGTGCAAAAATGACGATAAAAGGAGGCGTTTTGTGATAATTATATTTTTCGACTCGAGTCATAATAATTTTAATGTGTGAATGATTTTGAAAATATTGTGTAACGTAATTAATTTTATCCATTTTACGAACTGAATAAAAGTCAAGACTTTGTAAATAATAAATCGTTAGTTATTTAGTCCTCATCTTATTTTAGGGCATGGACAATTACATTTCATGATAACGTATAGCAAATTCTCATCTAAATACAATAAATACATCGACGAAGTCATGCATACGTGAAGATGACACAGAATTTGTCGGGTTTTTAGTCCAAAATTTGTATATCTACATAAAATTTAGCCAAGCTTTTCGGTACGTCTGCTTATCATCGCTTTTCGATATGTGGTGAAATCGCAATAATGCCAAAAATTAAGAAGAATTGTGCATATTAAATGCAAAATTGGGCATATTTCTGCACTTCAAAATTGTCAATAACGAATGAAATGAACAACCTTGCGTAAAAATTGAGACAAAATTTTGGCAAGTTTTGATGCAAGCTGCTTGACAAGTTGCTTATTTGGAGAAGTTCTTATCTTTGGTTTATATTGATCGCCCACCCGGAGGCAGGCTGTCAAAAAATTGTTAAATTCTCATAGAATGTCCCCCCCCACGGAAATCTTTAGTAAAAGGCGAAAGATTTATACGACTTGAAGGGAGACCCGAGATGCTTTAAAACGTCCAAAATCCGTTCCCCCAACCTTTTCACACCCGTAACCACTAAACGAGACAACTTTTACCGATCTCCACCACCCCCACGGAACCTCACCCCACTCCAAAATCTCATAATTTGCATCCCACTAATATCCAAGTAACCTTTTGTGCATCAAAATTTTCAAAAAGTTCAGGAATTATGGAGATATCTTAAATTTCCTGAAAATTCCGAGAAATTCGTATTGCACGACATGAAAATAATTGACAAATTGAATAAATGCACCAATTTTTCTGATTTTTCATTATAAATAAATCGTAAAATCATACGGATTGAAATTTCGATTATAATTTTTAAGCAAAATTTGAAATTCCTAATTTTGGAAAAATAACGAAACTTGACGTATTATTTTATCCAGAAATCTGGAGCCAAGCGCAAACCTGGCTCGATTTGATTGATGGATTTTCTTGGTATGTTTATCAACACTCAAAGAAATTGCATTGCAAGCTCTGCTGTCTGAGAAAATAAATAATTGCGCAATTAACTAATCAACTTGGAGAATTTTTAAAAGGTTAAAAATACAGCTTAACTTAACGTGCATCGTGTTTATTTAAAGTTAAACGTTCTCCAGGAATTTTCAAAAATGGAAGAAATGTCGATTTGAATTCGTCGATAATTTGTGATTAAATTATAATCGTTAAATGGTCGTGTTTTTAATAAAAGGTATGAGATAACTCTTTAAAATTGTATAAATTATGAATTGTAATCAAAATTTGTACCTTTTCAGAATCATGGAAGCTTTAAATCTCAATTTGAAACACGATATTCAATCGCAACAAAGATTATTCGACATTCTTCAGTCGTCCTCATCCTCGGGGGGTGGAGGACCGCATCATGGTCACGGTCATTCGGGAGGCAGCTCGTCGTCCTCCTCGATTGAATTTATGCTCCGTTCTTACGATCATCAACAAGACCACGATCTTATCGCTGCCTTTAATTTTAATCAGTATGCTAACAACAATCAACATCATCATCATCATCAACAACAACAACTTCCTCCTCCTCCACCACCCCCACAAGCGCCACAAACTCCGCCACAAAATCATAACACGGTCAGTATTTAAAGCAGGACTCGATCGTCAAAATCAGCACATTTTTAATCATTTCTCGGCTCTGGGAACTTTATTTTAAAATTATGAACGACAAATTTGCCGTCGGTGAGTTGATTAATGGAATGGCGATGAGTTTGTTGAGCCAGTTTCGAATTTTGCTCTACAAATTTGTAGAGCAGGGAGTTAACAATTTTTGAAAATATACACTCCAGATTTTGACACTTTTTGAAGGAGATCTCAAGTTTAGGAAGCCTTCAGAAAAATTGGAACTGGTCGAAACTGGCTCAAAAAACTCAACGCCATTCCATTAATCAACTCACTGACTGCAAATTTGTCGTTCAGGATTTTAGAATAAGTTTCCGCAGAGCGGAGAAATGGTTAAAAATGTGATGATTTTAACGATTTCGGATACGAGTTCTACGTTAAATTATAATTATTTATCATTTCAAGCATTTACTAAATATTTTATTAATTCAAAACCACACAGACTATTCCTTCTTCCTTGTCGTCATCGTCTACGACAACCTCGTCCACCACGACAACTTCGCCATCGACATCTTTATCAGCTTCGGAACAACATCAACATGACATGATGACTACGACGTTAGAACTCGATCCGAACATTATCCTGCAAAATTATGTCAATGACAATTCAGACTTTGGGGATGGGAGCATCTCGTCAAATTCTGGTAGCAAAACGTACAATGGAGTTCCACCAGCGTATACTCTCTGACTTTTTAGCAAATTAACGTCAATCGACCATCAAATTTAATTATGAAATTTGCGAAAGACGCGATCTCCAAATGGGCACGTTCGGCAGAGATTTTTGCATCCGGAGAGGAGAAAACGCGTTCTAAAGTTGACATATTCTACACTTTCCAAATTTACTGCGCGTTATCTCCTCTTCAGATGCAAAAAAACTGTGCCAACAAACGTGCCCATTGGGAGATCGTGTCTTTCGCAAATTTCATACTACTTTTTGTCATCGATTGACACTAATTTGCTCAAAATTGGAGAGTATATGTTAGGAACCATCCATTGGTTAGTTAATAAGTAAGTATAAATTAATTGCGGAATTTCTTAATTATCCAGGAAAAGGTCGTCCCCACTACTGCACGCATTGCCAAGCCTCGTACAAAACAAGGACGCATTTACGCCGCCACATGGTCATCCATCTCCCCTCGCGACCTTATCCTTGTGCCGAGTGCGGCAAGGGGTTCAATCGTAAAGAGCACTTGAGCAAACATATGGAAGCCGTGCATAGGTGGGGAATTAATAAAATGCCACTTATACTTAATTTAATACCGTATTTTGAGCTTCCCAGAATTGTGGGTGTTACGCCCGCAAAACGACGAAAATCTACGTGAAAAAGGCAACAGTTGTATGAAAATATAGGTTTTCTGAAGAAATTAACGTTTTATCGCTGCCAAAATACCTTGTTTTCACGATGGCATACAATTAACACGCCCAATAAAATAGTAAAAAATGCACAGTAAAGTGGTAAAAACCAATAATAGTAACTATTGCCCAGATAAATAGTTTTATGAACCCAGTATAAAAGTAAAAAGGTCCAATAATGTCGTAATGCATAAAAACGATACAAAATGGAGAATTATAAACATAAATCAAATATTTATTTCCTCCACCTTATTCGATGATAAATTTTTAGATAGGAATTAATGCCTTCTTGGCTTTGGAATTGCATCCAGGGCCAAACAATTTGTGTACAATAGCAATGCCATTATGTGTTTACATAAATACATTTTTAAGAATACAGGGCTCGAGCGTGAAGATTTAATCCACTGATGAGTATTAAATTTCACTAACCATAGCCTGCCTAAACAAGTCTTGTATGTGTCAAAAGTCTTTCAACTTCGTCGTTCTCTTAATCGTAAATATCTATTGATATCGTCCTCCTTAAGTTTTGGTTGATTTGCTGCTGAAATGAACTATGTGGTAACATTGTCATCATAGGTACGATATTTGATATCGGGTTTGTTTTGAACCGAGTTAAAAACAGATGTCTGCAATGCGAGGGACACAGATGGTTCTTCATGAAATGATTTTGAGTTAGGTAATCCTGGTATTCGCTCCTTCGACCGTCTTTGTCCTTGATAGTAGAACGTCGGGCATCGATATTTTTGCACAAGTGGAACCAGCAGTAAATACGGGTAATGTCCGAACCGGACGCTTCTTTAAATCCATTTGTGATGGATTCTGACGCGTCGGCTATTAGAATACTAGGCTTGTATTCCTCAGAGGTACCTTTCTTTAAACTTTCAAATATAAATTTGAAGTCGTCTGAAGTTTGGGCAAATGGCAAAAAACTGACAAGAACTATGAACAACGAGAGGGTGACTGACTGCAATAATTTATCTGTTTAGATGGCTAAGTTTCAAGCTCTGAGTAAAAGATACCTACCACTATGTATTTGCATATCACGCTTAATATTGTGTTAATAAGGTAATTTGGCGAACAACATTATTGGACCTTTTTACTTTAATATTGGGTTCATAAAACTATTTATCTGGGCAACAGTTACTATTATTGGTTTTTACCACTTTACTGGGTATTTTTTACTATTTTACTGGGCCGCTTAATAATATTCCTTTCACGATTTATGCAAAATAAGGTAGTTTGACAGCGATAAAAAGTTAAGTTCTTCAGAAACGGTGCATTTTCGTGTGGTGGTTGCCTATTCCACATGGATTTTCTTCTTTTTGAGGGTGTAACACCACTGGGCGCTTCAATTATCATATTTAATTAATTAATTAATCATAAATTACAGTGGAACGAAGCACGTGTGTCCATTATGCGAGAAATCAATCTCTAGAAAAGACCACTTGGCGAGACACGTTAAAAATATGCACCCCACCTACGCCGTCCTCCTGAACAAGGTAATTAATTAACAATAATGCATATTTAACTAATTAAACTTAATTAGTATTAATTATGTAATTGCATTTACAGGAAGATTTCCTCTCACTCACCTCGTCCGCAACGTTAGCGAAGATTGGCGTAGTATCAAATCGAACAAAAATTGCACCTGCCCCATCACCGACAAAGTCTTCTTCAAATCCACGCTCCACAAAAGCCTCGCTCCGAATCCCGGTAATAAATTCGCAACAACCTGGTGGTGGCAACCTGTCAGCCAGTCCGGACGGAAAGAAATCTCTAAATTCATCCCCTCCACGTGAGGATAATAACGATACGAGAAATCGGTCAGCGTCTTCGTCCTCCTCGTTGTCATCTTCTTGTTCTCGTCAAGAGGAAACGACGACCAAGTCCCATCCGCAGCAGGGACAAGTGCAATCTCAAAATAGTTTACAAACTTTTCATCAACTTGACTCTACTGGTGAGTTATTTATTTGGGTCTACGTACGACAAGGACTTGATGACAGAATTGGCACATTTTTAATCATTTCTCGGCTCTGGGAATTTATTTTAAAATTCTGGACGACAAATTTGTAGTCAGTGAGTTGATTGATGGAATGGCGTCGAGTTTTTTGAGCCAGTTTCGACGAGTTCCAATTTTTCTGAAGGCGTTTTAAACTTGAGATCTCCTCCTTTCGAGGAGGCTTCGTCGGAATACATGGGTGTGGATTGTAAAAGCAATTTATTTAAGCTTTCGATGCTGAACTTACATCATCAGGAAATCAGGATTTTTTAACAATTTTTTGGAAATCGAAAAAACAGTGATCTTCTCAAATCTCAAATTTCCTCCTTCAAAAAGTGTCAAAATCTGGAGCGTGTATTTTTATAAGATTGGGAACGACTTGTTCTACGAATTTGTCGTCCAGAATTTTAAAATAAGTTCCCACAGCCCAGAAATGATTAAAGATGTGCTGATTTTGGCGATCATCGAGTCGTGCGTTAACTGAATAGAGGTCATGACCTCGATAATTCATGACAATTCCTAATCATAATTCGTTAATCATGACCACGCATCATGCGCTAATTATGCAAATCATGTTACCCTGATCTGCAGGACCAAGCCTGTCGTACAGTACGACGAGCACGACCGTGACGAAAACCACCACAACATCATCACCTAAACTTCCAAAACCTCCGAAACGATCACTCCTCCAACCAAATGGAAACGGACTTGTCAGCCTCACAAATTTGAGTCTAACGTTAGGCGGACAAATTAAGGAAGCCCCCTTCGCCAATTGTTCTCCAAACAAGAAACAGCAACTCAACATGGTAAAAAAAACTCTGGTTATCACATCGAGAGATTAATTAACTAATTAATTGCTCAAGTAATTACTAATTTAATTAATTAATTGATAGACCCTCCAATGTCACGAATGCGGAGTTACGTGTAACAACGAAAAAGATTTAGCGACCCATTTGAGAGGACACAAACCACAAAATTTCCGCTGTCCCGATTGTCCAAGGGCGTACACGAGAAGAGAAAAATTGTCTGAACATATCCGTTGTTTTCATCAGGGACAAAAATTCAAGTGTGAACATTGTGGAAAAGAGGTTTGAGAACTAATATAAAAGAAAAGCTCGTCAAAATTCAAAATTTGAAACATTTATATATCCCAAATTTCAGCTCTCTCGAAAAGATCACGTCCTCCGCCACGTGCGAAGCATTCATCCGGACTTATTAGCGTCTCGATTTCATGGGATGAATTCCACCGTAAGTTTGATCGTCGCAAACAATGGATGTTTCCCATCGTATGCTCCCGATTTTTACCAAAATAGTGTCAATCGATCACAGATTTAATTGGTATGAAATTCGCAAAAGCCACGATCTCCCAATGGGCACGTTTCGCAGAGATATTTGAATCCGACGAGGAGAAGTCCTAAAGTCGACAAATTTTGCACTTTCCAAATTTACTGCGCGTTTTTTCCTCTTCGGATGCAAATATCTGCGCCAAATGTGCCCATTGGGAGATCGTGTTTCATGCAAATTTTATTCTAATTAAATTTACAATCAATTGACGCCAATTTGCTCAAAATCGGATCGCATACGCTGGGAGACCTCAATTATAAGTAATTATCTTACTAAATAAGTCAATTAATTAATTAAACTTTTCTCAGGACATCCCCGTGGAACACCTCGGCCTTCCTTTGCCCCTCGTCATGAACGAGGATGACCACGACCGCCTTTCCTCCATTCCAATGCCAACGACGAAACAGTCTCATGGAAATGGTGACGGGAGTAGCGGTGCGATAACGATCGCCTCCTCCTCCGCCAACGATATGGGCGTCCTTCTCCGCAGTATTTGCCAATATTGTCTCAAAGTTTTCGGGACGAGTTACCATTTGAGCAGGTAATAAAACGAGTATGACCATCAAGACTATAATACTAGTCTAGTATTACTAGATATGCTGTTAACACGTCTTATTGACATATGTATGTCCCTCAAGATTTTTCTCGTAGGACTCGATGACTTCGTCAAAATCAGCACATGTTAAATCATTTCTCCGCTGTGGAAATTTATTTTAAAATTCTGGGCGACGAATTTGTGGAGCAGGTCGTTGTCAATTTTTGAAAATATACACTCTAGATTTTGACACTTTTTGAAGGAGGAGAGCTCAAATTTAAGAAACCTTCAGAAAAATTGGAACTCGTCGAAATTGGCTAAAACACTCATTTCAGCGCCATTCCATCAATCAACTCACCGACTATAAATTTATCGTCCCGAATTTTAGAATAAATTCCCACAGCCGAGAAATGATTAAAAATGTCCTGATTTCGACGATTTTATTACCGACGAGTCTACACACGTTAAATCTGACCCTATTTGTTTTCTGCAGACACATAGAATCCTGTCACAACGGGGACATCCGTCCCTACCCGTGCCCCTCCTGTTCGAAACAGTTCAAACGGAAGGACCACCTCACAAAACATATCAAGTCACATTGTCCCACGTTACGCGAGGGGGTAGTAACGCCACATCGCCCTCGCACCAGCAGTGGCAGCAGCGGGTGCAATATTGTCAAAAATGGGCCAGAACAACATCGCCACGATCAACAACAGGGCTTCGTCCCACAAAAAAGCCAAGCGGTCAGAAATCCATTTCATCATCACGACAATGCCAAGGAGTCTTCCGGGAGTAAGAGAAAAGTCAAATCGGTGTGTGACATGCTATAGAATAATGTCATAATCAGAGGGCGGATATGTATTAACGAAAATCGCTGAAATATGTATTCAGTATTTATGTAAAATATGCCAATATGTTTGCCAAATACGCACAAAAAATCCAAAATAGAATTTTCGCAAAACTTATATTTCTGAAGTTGGCTTTGGACTTTTCACGATCCAATTTGGAAATTGGTTCTTTGGGCAAAAAATACTGGATATGTATGTATTACAAAAAAATCTCTGAAAGGTGTACATATTTACGAAAAAATGCCAAAATCTTTACTAATTATGTACGAAAAAAGAAACACAAGAATGAGAATTTTCCCAAAAATTATATTTCTGAATTAATGGTCTGCTCTGGATTGTTCATGGTCCAATTACAAAAATTCGTACCGTCCCCTCATATCGTTCAAATATTTATGAAATATGCGTATTTTCGAAAATACATATGTAAAAGATTTCCGTATTTTTCAAATAATAGCGGAAACATCCATATTTCTGGAAACCTAGAAAAAATATAAAAATTTTTGCGATCGATGCAAGTTAGGGAACATACGCACAAAGTTCGACCGTGGTCGTCATCAAATGAACAATTTGATAATAATCTGATAATAATTATAAATTTTTATCCACCAGGAACGAATCCCATCCCGCAAAAAGGTTCGCAAGACTGATCCCCCTCAATCAACTTATCCTCCTCCTCCTCCACCCCCACAAAACGGGCCCCATCTACTCGACGGCATAATGAATCTGACCAACAAGGCGGACTCGATCTCTGACGAAGATTCCTCCTCGCAAGACTTCAATCTCGCCATGATCTCGTCCTTCATTTCCTCCTCGGCTGAAAACGTCGGCGGCGGCGCAGAACAAGACTTATCTACCGCTTTAATGCTCACCCAAGAAAATGATAACCACGACCACGACGAAGGTGAAGAAGTCGTCTCGGTTATCGTACATCAAGATGATAACCACCACGACGACTTAGTACATCCCCTCCTCTCCCCACAGTCTTCGCCGACCAGCTCGTCGTCCCTATTTCGGTGTGGCCACTGCCAAAAAGAATTCTCCTCACGGGATCAACTTCTCGACCATTTGCAAGATCACAGTGCGGATGATTCGTCCTCAAATTCGTCGCCATTGCTAAATAGTAATCATGACGTGCAGCAAAGACGACATCATCATCACGCCGACCGGCATCACGAGGGACTCAGAAGTATACAATTTTCTAATTATTGAGGACATCATAAACTTGGACATCACAGCCTTTAATATTTAGTCACGAGATTGTAGAGGTCTTCACTCATGTACAAATTAGTTTAACGTAGGAGTGGATGACTCATCTTCAAAATCAGCAGATTTTTAATCAATTGTCTCCTCTGGGAATTTATTTTAAAATTCCAGAAGGTAAATTTGTAGAGCAGGGAGTTCCCATTTTTTGAAAATATACACTCCAGATTTTGACACTTTTTGAAGGAGGAGATCTCAAGTTAAAGAAGCCTTCAGAAAAATTGGAACTCGTCGAAACTGGCTCAAAATATAGTGAAAACCAACACATTTTTAATAATTTATCGCTTCTGGAACTTATTTTAAAATTCTGAACGACAAATTGGCCGTCAGTTAGTTGATTAATGGAATGGCGATGAGTTTTTTTGAGCCAGTTTCGACGAGTTCTAATTTTTCTGAAGGCTTCTTTAACTTGAGATCTCGTCCTTCAAAAAGTGGCAAAATCTTGTGTATATTTCTGAGAAATTGGAAACTTCCTGCTCTACAAGTTTGTCATCCAGAATTGTAAAATAAATTCCCAGAACGTAGAAATGGTTAAAAATTTGCTGTCTTTAACCATTTTGGTGATTTGTTATCTCGTCCTACGTTAAAAATGTCAGCTAAATATGCCGCTAAAAAACCTGGGTGCCTTAACTAATGGCTTATCCAGACTAATTAATTAACTTATCATATTTAAATTTCTACCTGTACATACAAATATAAATGACTCATAATTAACATAATTAATTAGTATTATACATACAAAAATGTATACTAAAAATGGAAATATTTTGGTCCCCATTTGGGTAACAATTGACTACTTTTTCAATGCCAAACTTGTGTATCATTTTTACTCAGAAATTATTGTACAAATTCGTACACACAGTACGAAAAGTAGATATTTATCGTTCTTTTTTTGCTATGTATTCATTAAATTTGTGTATGTATGTACCACCGCTCGCTATTTAATACTTAATTTAGTATTTATTTAACAACCCGTTATTAACAATCAGTTACAGAAACGTATTGTTCATTTGTAGTAATAATGTAATGCATGTAATAATTTACATAAATATTTATGTGTCCACTAAGTTGTAGAAATTCTTATGTACCGATTTAGTTGCAATAAAATTCTTAACAAAATGATAAAAATTTCCAACTAGCAAAATTTGTGTATCTCACCGCAGATAAATACAATTCTTCACATAGAACGGTTAAGCAAAAGATGAAATTCGTAAATGCATGAAAATTTGCAAACTTTTTGCATATCCAATCCAAGCATATGAAATTATTACAAAATTTGTTTTCTCATCAAACCTAGGTAATTTGTCTTTGCTATATTTTAAAACTCTGCGAATTTTCGTAATCGACGTTAAACTCTATTTTCATAAATTTTTCATGAAAATATGAAAAGAATTTTTTCCACTTATTAAATTTGTGTTTATCACGGCTCGCTATTTAATATTTAATTTAGTATTTAACAACCCGTTATTAACAATCAGTTTATTGTTTATTTGTATTAATGCAATGCATGTAAGTAATAATTTACATATGTAAATATTTATGTGTCCACTAAATTGCAAAAATTCATGTGTCAATTTAGTTGCAATAAAATTCTTAACAAAATTATAAAAATTGCCAACTAGCAAAATTTATTTGTGCAAAATTCTTCACATAGAACGGTTATGCAAAAGATGCAATTCGTAAATTGATGCAAATTTGCAAACTTTTTGTATGTCCAATCCAAGCATATGAAATTATATGAATTCTCCAAAAATCTAGGTAATTTATCTTTCCGATATTTTAAAACTTTGCAAATTTTCATAATCGACGTTAAACTCTATTTCTTGTATTTTTCATGCAAAATATGAAAAGAATTTTTTTCTACTTATTAAATTTGTGTTTATCACGGCTCGCTATTTAATATTTAATTTAGTATTTAACAACCCGTTATTAACAATCATTTTCAGAAACGCATTGTTTATTTGTATTAATGCATATAGTAATAATTTACATAAATATTTATGTCCACTAAATTGTAGAAATTCTTAAATGTCGATTTAGTTGCAATAAAATTCTTGACATAAGAAAATGATAATCCATGCGAAAACTCGCGAATTAGCAAAATTTTGCATGTCTCCAAAATTCTTAAAGTAAAACGGTCGAAAAAAAAGAAATTCAAAAATCCATGCAAAGTTGCATAATTGCCAAATTTTTGCATACATATAAAACGATTGCAACAATAGTCTTCAAAACCAATCTATCTTTTTTAAATCTTTGGCTATTTTAAACTTTTAAAATTTTCAAACCCGACGTCAAACTTTATTGAATTGTTTTTATTAAATAACATGAAATTTAAATTCATATATGGATGCAAGCACTCTTTTTTGCAAAATTTTTGCAAATCAATGCAAATGCAATTTTTGCAAATCGATTCGGATGCAATTTTTGCATATCAATCAATTCACGCTGAGAACTTTGAATCTTTTGCATTCTCTCGATATTTTGCTCTTTACAAATTTCCATCATCGACGTTAAACTTTACAAATTTAATTTATTTTTTTATGAAAAATACTTATTAGCTCTAAAATATGTACATATTTATTTCGCGAGAGTTTGCCAATTTACCAAAATTTACAGTAGTTTTTCTGCTTACACAATTTAATATGCTGCCATATTCGCAAATCGACGCAAACAAAAATTGTTTGCAAAATTTTGTAATATCAATCAATTTTTGCCTCGGATCTAAAAATAAGGGATCTTTTGTATCCTGTCGATATTAAAACTTTGCACATTTTAAAACTCTACATATGCAATTTATTTTTTATGCGGAATATTTACTCTTAAATATGCCCATATTTCGCGAGAGTTTGCTAATTTAGTTGGTAAAATTTACAGTAGTTTTTTCATTATGCACTGCAATTATATTTAACTGCAAAAATTTTCATACCCGACATTCAAATCAGTTCAATTTCAGTTTTATTTTTAAATAAAACGATTTAAAACAAAATAAGATGTAAGTTAAATTCAAATTCATAAATCAATGCAAACAAATTCTTTGCAAAAATTTTGTTGCATATCTTTATCAAAAGTACGGGGTTAATACGATAAGATAGGGACCTTTTACTTCTCTCCTTATTATAAAATTTGCAAATTTCCATCATCGCCGTTAAACCCCACATATTTCATTTATTTATTTTTTCATGCAAAATATTTAGTCTCGTAAATACGTCCATATTTCGCGATTGTTTGCCAATTTTGTTACCAAAATTTAAAGTAGTTTTTTTTAATTACACACTTTAATACATACATATTCGCAGAAAGCAAATTTTTGCATTTTTTTCGAACTTTTGGCATTGGGCATATGGACCTTTTTTATCATTTCAATTCTTCAAACTTTGCAAATTTTCATCATCGACGTTTAACTCTGCAAATTTCATTTATTTTTTTATATGCAAAATACTTATTAGCTCTTAAGTATAGTATGCACATATTTATTTCGCGATTGTTTGCCAATTTCGTTACCAAACTTTACCGTAGTTTTTTTTTTAATTACACAATTTAATACGCTGAGCCATTATATTATTTAATTGCATTGTTAATTTTAACATGCTTACATATGAAAATAGTCACAATTATGAAAATTTTCATAATTTATTTTTAAATGAAACGATTAAAAAAATAAAATGTAATTCAATTTTCATAATGTATTTTTAAATACAACGATTTAAAAAAATAAAATGTAATTCAAATTCAAAATCATAAACTCTACATATGACATACCTATTTCATTTATTTATTTTTCCATGCAAAATATTTACTCTTAAATATGCCATACTTATTTCTTGATTGTTTGCCAATTTCGTTACCAAATTTACCGTTGTTTTTTTAAATTACACACTTTAATACATACATATTCGCAGAAAGCAAATTTTTGCATTTTTTTCGAACTTTTGGCATTGGGCATATGGACCTTTTTTATCATTTCAATTTTTCAAACTCTGCAAAATTTATTTTTTTCATGTAAAATCCTTATTACCTCTTAAGTATGTCCATATTTATTTCGTGATTGTTTGCAAATTTCGTTACCAAACTTTACCGTAGTTTTTTTTAATTACACAATTTAATACGCTCTGCCATTATATTATTTAATTGCATTGTTAATTTTAACATGCTTAGATATGAAAATGTTCACAATTATGAAAATTTTCACAATTTATTTTTAAATACAACAATTAAAAAAATAAAATGTAATTCAATTTTCATAATTTATTTTAAAATGAAAACGATTAAAAAAAATCAAATGTAATTCAAATTCAAAATCATAAACTCTACATACCTATTTCATTTATTTATTTTTTCATGCAAAATATTTACTCTCTCAAATATACTCATATTTCGCGAATTGTTTGCAATTTCGTTACCAAACTTTACTTTTTTTTAATTACACAATTTAATACGCTCTGCCATTATATTATTTAATTGCATTGTTAATTTTAACATGCTTACATAAACATTATGCAGTTGATCAATTGTTCTTTCTTAACTTTTATTGAAAATCGAAATCAACTCTCAACTCTCTATTTTTGGAATTTGCCCATTGTTCTTCTTAATATTTGTCACTCGCTATTTTATTAATTTCGCTGTGAAGGTCACATTCTTGCGCCACACGGAGACGCACTTTCCTCCTGGAAGTCATTCCCTATTCAACGTTGGTACGATTTGGATCCCAATTTTTCTTGGGGCAATATTTTATTTTTCGGAAACTTATCTCAGAAATATAAACTCTGGTAAACCAACTTTTGAAGCAGAGGTGTACCGTCACCTGTAACCACTTAAAACTACCCTAAATCCCACTTTTTAACATATCTAAATTAAAGGTATTAATGAGTAGATCATTTCTAAGTAAAAAATTATCAACTTTAAAGCTCAACATTTTTCAGGAAAAATCAAAATATTCACAAAAACCTATTTTTCTTGCATATTTTAATTTTCCTGAAAAAAATTCCCAACTTTTACCTTAAAAAATTTCAGGAGAAATCAAAATATGCAGAAAAAAATGAGAAAAAGATAAGTCTTTGTGCATATTTCGATTTTCCCTGAAATTTTTTAAGGTAAAAGTTGGGAATTTTTTTCAGGAGAATCAAAATTTGTAGAAAAAAATGAGAAAAAGATAGTGGTTTGAGCATATTTTGATTTTTCCTGACAAATTTTTGAGGGTAAAAGTTGGGAATTTTTTATATAGAAATATATGATCTATCCATAATACCTTCAATTTTATAAATGGGTTGACCCTAGGTCAAAGGTCATGCTTTTCAAATTTAAGGTAACACACTGTAGATAACTGGTTTCAGGTAGCGGTACACCTCTGCATTTTTTTGGGACAAAATAATTTTTATTTTTATAAAAATTTATTCATCCCAGAAACATAAAGAGTTCAATTTTTACAGAAATTTATTTCCCTCAGAAACATGAAGATAATAATTTTCACCCTTGCCATCATCCTCCATACCGCACACGGCGTCATCTTCTCGTCCCCCACGTCCAACGCGGTCGTCGCTCCCGTCCCCACCGCTACCACCACTACGACGACCACCACAGAATCCAAGAAAATTACCCCCGCCGACCCCAAGAAACAACCCCCCTCAACAAAAGCAAGTGACGAAAATAAAATCCCCCCGCCCCCCTCGTTCCCCTTCCTCACGCCGACCACGTTCCTCTTCCCTCCGACCCTGTTCCTCTTCAGAAATGTCGAAATGACCAAGAAGATCGAGGAGGAGGACGAGAAAAAAGTGACGACGACGACGCCCATGGAGGTGACGACAAACAGACCAAAAACGGCTGCAGAACTTCCTGAAGACAATCCGTTCTCTATTTTGTTGCAAAAAAGTAGAATGGCCAATCTCAAATTGGGAGATTTTGAAAATAAGGGAGCAAAGGATTCCGATCCTGAACCAGAACCGTTTGAAAGAGCTGATAACCACCAAGCTTATCACCACGAGATGGCTACCAATAAAGCGAGAAAAGAGACGACACATAGGCACAGATTTGCTGCTTCCCTTAAGGTTAAAAAAGTCGTACATGTTTTAAATTGATTAAGAATTGAATGGAGGTCTTCCAGCGATCCGATTTTGAGAAAACTAGTGACACAAATTTTTAAATTTTTCTTAATTAAAATTAGGGTTATATACGTAAATTTTCGAAAGGCACGATCTCCTAATTGGCAGAGATATTTGCATCCCAAGAAAACGAGCAGAAAATATGTATACCTACACTCAAAATAAGGTAGTAATGAATCATTACCATGCGGAATGACTATGTGGCTCTACCACGTCGGTTACGATTTCTCGTAGAAATGGTAATAATAAGTTCAGGGAAATTCAAATTTAATACATAATGGTATTGACTTCCTTAATATTTGGTAATGAATTTGAATTTCCCTGAACTTATTATTACCATTTCTACGACAAATCGTAACCGACGTGGTAGAGCCACATAGTCATTCCGCATGGTAATGATTCATTACTACCTTATTTTGAGTGTAGTGTAAAATTTGTCGACTTTAGGACGCGTTTTTTTGGGGAGATCGTATCTTTCGCAAATCTCATCCTAATCAAATTTGTCATGGATTGACACTAATTTGCTCAAAATCGGATCGCATACTCCGCGAGATTTCAATTCGGAGTCATTATGAAAATTTGCAAAAATTCAACCTCTTATTTTTGCAGGCACCGACCCCCACCCCACACAAGAAGGTTACCACCGCCCCCGCTGCCCCCAAAACTTCGGACGTTCTTATTCCCCCACCACCATCCCCCTTCCAGAAGACCCTCATCTTCATCATTCTCCAAAAAGCTCTCGAAAACAATAAAGATAAGTCTTCTCCCCCTCATTTCAGCACGTTTCCCCTCCTCCCCAACCCTCCAAAACCGTCCAAGAAATCCTCCAAACCGCAAAAAACCTCTAAACAAACCACCAAAAACAAAGACTTAGAAATTCTCGAAAAACTAATCCGGAAATCAAAACTCGCCCCACCCCCGCCCCGACCGGCCGGCCCTTCCATGCTCTCGATGGACCACTTCTCCTCCTACGAGGACGATCTACCCGACTACTTCTTCTCATCCGCAGAACTCTTCGGTTATCCGGGCAGCGAACAACACCACTCCCGCCTCCGAAGCGGCGGAGAAACGGATCACTTCCGGTCAACAAAACCACAGAAAAAACAGCAAAAAGATAACCACCCAGCGAAAAATGATGTCTTCTTCCCCCCGAAATTCAATCCCCTCAAAAAATCCGGGGATTACGACAACCAAGACTATTTTTTCTCGTCTCCAGAACTTTTCGGTTTTCCGGGCGAAAAACATTTCGGGCCACCAAAACCGCAAAAAAAGCCGCAAAAAGATGCAAAAAATGATATATTTTTCCCACCCTTAAAATTCATCCCCGCCATAAAATCCGCGGATTTTCCTCATTACGAACACGACGACTTTTTCTCATCTGCAGAACTTTTCGGTTTTCCGGGTGAACATCACTTATCAAGCCTCTCGTCAACAAAACCACAGAAAAAGCAGCAAAAAGATAACCACCCAGCCAAAAATGACCTCGACCTTGATTTCTTCTCAACTCAAGAACACTTCGGTTTTCCGGGTAGCGAACAGCACCACTCCCGCCTCCGATCCGGCGGAGTGGATCACTTCGGGTTATCAAAACCACAAAAAAGCCAACAAAAAGATAACCACCCGGCGAAAAACGATGTCTTTTTTCCTCCTCTGAAATTCAATCCCGCCACAAAATCCGATTTCTCGGCGCCACCCCTGCCACCATCTTTCTTTTGGGATTTCCCCCAGCAGAAAGAGCGACCCCCACGATTCGCCCCCTCATCGTCCTACATGGACGACGACGTCCCTATTTTCGACTACCCGGCGACCTTTGACCTCGACGATTTCAATCATCACGAAGACGAACATAACTTCATAATTCCGCCAGCGCCACCAGCACGCAAGCAGAAAATTCAGAAAAACCCTGTCAAACATGCCCCAATTGTACCCGACTTTTTCGATCTGGCTCTAAATGATGACATCTTGTATTAAATTTTTTGAATTGTGTATTAAATTTTACAAATTATTATTAAACTTTCCGAATTACTACTAAATTTTCCGAATTATTATTGAATTCTCTGAAAACATTCTATGAGAAAAATTGTATATTTTAAATTGTTTCTGATTTTATTTCATAATTTAAATTCAATAAAAACTGTAAGATTTGGAAACCAAATAGAAACTCCGTCAAAATATTACAATGTAAATGTAATTCGAAGATATATCTGCACAACGAGCTGGAGCAAAGCAAAATTTAACAATTTCATAAAATTTTCCAAAATTTTTAACACAATTTCCACTTTCAGCAATGCCAAAACCTTCTTCTCGTCCTACATGGACGACGATGTCCCCATTTTCGACTACCCGGCGACCTTTGACCTCGATGACTTCAATCATCACGGAGACCAACATAACTTCATAATTCCGCCAGCGCCACCAGGTCGCAAGCAGAGAATTCAGAAAAACCCTGTCAAACATGCCCCAATTGTACCCGACTTTTTCGACCTGGCTCTAAATGATGACATCTTGTATTAAATTTACCGAATTATTATTGAATTTTATGAATTATGTCTTAAATTTTATGAATTATGTATGTATTGAATTTTCAGAATTTTTTTTTAATTTTCCGAATTATTGAATTTTCTGTAAAAAATATAATTTCTTCGAGCAAAATTCTATAGTCTAAATTGGTCCTGATTTTATTTCTTAATTTAAATTTAATTAAAAACTGTAAGATTTGGAAACCGAATAAAAACTCCATCGAAATTGTACAATTTTTATGTAATTCTAAGATCAATTTGACCTGCATACGAACAATAATAAAGTAAAATCTAACAATTTCATAAAAATTTCCAAAATTTTCACCACAATTTCCACCCCTCAGAAATTGTTCTCCTCCTACACCGACACCGACGCCCCCGTCTTCAACTACCCCGTGACCTTCGACCTCGATGACTTCAATCTCAATCATCACGAAGTAGACCAAAAAAATCTCCTAATTCCGCCAGCGCCACAAAAATTTTCTGCAATTTTCTGCAATTCACTACAATTTTCTGCAGAAAATTGCAGAAAATTTAAGAAATTGCAGAAATTGCAGAAAATTTAAGAAATTGCAGAAATTGCAGAAAATTCAGAAAAAAACGTCAAATATGCACCAATTATGCCCGATTTTTTCAACTTATTCGCCAATGATGACATCTTGTATTGAATTTTATGAAAAAAATGCCATTTCCTCCACCAAAATTAGAATTTAAATTTGCCCTTCCTGATTTTATTTCATGATTTAATAAAAACTGTAAGATTTGGAAAGCGAAAACAAAATCTGTCGAAATTACATAATATTTTTGGACTTCTAAGATTAATTAGAATGATTAATGGAATAAAGCAAAATTTCATAATTTCACAAAAATTTGCAAAATTTCCACTCTCAGCAAACGAAGCAGAACATCCCCCCTTTCTACATTGACGACGACGACCCCATTTTCGACTACCCGGCGACCTTTGACCTCGATGACTTCAATTATCACGAAGAAGACTAGCAAAACTTTGTTATTCCACCGGCACCAGCAGCCCGGAAATTGTAGAAAATCCCGAAAAAACCGGCAAAATTTGCACCAATTGTCCCCGATTTTTTCGACCTGTTTGTAAATACTGAATTTCCTCAAAACATATAACAGAAATAGATAATTTCCACCCCCAGGAAATCTTAGCAATAGCATAAAATTGTAATTTCCTGCGGAAATAGTTATATTTGTTTTGATTTACTTCATAATTTAATAAAACTGTAAGATTTAGAAACCGAATAAAAACGGTCAAAATTTTATAAATTTTGTGAATTACTACAGATAAGGTGGATCCACAATCAATCAAGTAAATTACAGTTTCCCAAATTAATAATTTTGCAAAATTTCCACAACAATTTGCACAATTTATCAGAAATAGCAGAACCTAACGTTGACTCCCCATCCCCATCTTCTACTACGCTGCGAGCTTTGACCTCGTCAGGACCTTTGACCTCGTCACGACCTTTGACCTAGTCACGACCTTTGACCTAGTCACGACCTTTGACCTAGTCACGACCTTTGACCTCGTCACGACCTTTGACCTCGTCGCGACCTTTGACCTCGTCGCGACCTTTGACCTCGTCACGACCTTTGACCTCGTCGCCTTCAATCTTCACGACGAAGACCCCCAAAACTTTTTAATTCCACAGGCGCCACCAAACGCAAGCAGAAAACCCAGAAAAAGTGCGTCAAAAAAATTGTGAGATTTGGATGTCGAATAACAATTCTGTCAAAATTTTATAATCCTTTCAAACTCAATAGGTATAACTGAAACGCTAATGGAAATCGATTAAATTAAATTAAATTTCGTTATGATTCAAATTTCCTCCAAAAAAATTTTGAAATATATTTTGATTTTATTGGATAATTTAATTAATCTATAAAATTTGGGTGTAGAATACAAATTCTGACAAAATTTCTTATATTTAGGAACTTCAAAGATAAAATAAAAATGCGATCTATAAAATACAAGATGATTTTATTAATTCATAATTTTACAAAATTTGAAAAATTTCCACCCCCTCACACAACTCTAACTCGATTTTTTCGATCTATTTGCCAATATTGGCTATTATTTGTCAATAATATTCTCTATACAATTTTAATAATTTCCTCTAGCAAAATTTTTGGGATTTTTAATTTTCTCCTGATTTTATTTCATAATTTAATAGAAACTGTAAGATTTGTAAACCTAATTAAAATTCTGTAAAAATTATAACATTTATGAAATTTTAAGATAAAATACAACTGCTTAACATATAAGAGTGTAAAATTTGGTGATTAAATTTTCTAAAAAAAATTGTATAATTTCCAAGAACAATATTCAAAATTTGATTTTATTTCATTTCCTAATTTAATACATAAACGGTAGAATTTGGATCCCGAATAAAAATTGTGTTAAAATTTCTAATATTCACCAACTTCAAAGATTAAGAAGAATGCGTACGATAAACGATTAAAGTTAAAGTTAACATTAATTACTTCATAATTTTACCTAACTTCTGGGAAATTTCCATCAATATTACCCTAAGTACGTAAGGTAGGAGAGAGAAGCCAACATATTTACGGTCGAGTATACGGGGATTGGCCGAGGTGTTGCACTCGGATTGAAAAAAAAACATGTGGAAATTCTCTGAATGGAATCTGGTCAACCTGCCAGCTGTGCCAGGCTGTGTATATCCCTACGGTGAGTTTGTAAACGTCCCCCCATGGGGGGTGTGGTCGGGGCAAAATGAGACTTCTGCTAAAATTTAATCTAAAGATGAAATGAAGTGAAATTATGTGTTCCCGCGACGTGTCGCACCCCCTCCCACCCAGGGGGTGTGGTCGGGGCAAAATGAGACTTCTGCTAAAATTTAATCTAAAGATGAAATGAAGTGAAATTATGTGTTCCCGCGACGTGTCGCACCCCCTCCCACCCAGGGGGTGTGGTCGGGGCAAAATGAGATTTTTGCTAAAATTGAATCTAAATATGAAATTAAGTGTTCCCGCGCTATCGTGGGCGTGGCGCGGGTGAAGTAAGTCTGAAGCTAATTCTTCATGTGCGTTTGACAAGGTTTATTTACATTTCATTTATTAATTATAAAAAAATCATGATGAGACATTTCTGAGGTTTTGTTGATGACAAGATGATTAAGGGGGATTATTTAAATAAATTATTGAGTCATGCAAAGCTTGCAATGTTTCAAATAAAATCAAGTATCATCCCCGAAAACCGCGGAAATGTTTCGTCATTATATTTGTATAATTAATAAATGAGGTATAAATAAACCTTGTCAAACGCACATAAAAAATTAGCGTCAGTCTTACTTCACCCGCACCACGCCCACGATAGCGCGGGAACACTATGCAAATATCTCCGCCAAACCTGCGCATTGGCAGATAATTCCGTTTGCAAATTTCATACTAATTATATTTGTGATCGATTGACACTAATTTCGTCCAAATCTGCGAGCATACGTTGGGAGACCTCCATTGTGAGTGAAGATATTCATTCACACTCAGTCATTTTTTTTAAACTAATTTCATTTCAATTCATCCGACCTCATTTCTTACTACGCATAGGGTGAAAACTTGAAGGAGTGAAAACTCTTTCATTCATCTGAAATGACGGAATCCTTCAGTTATTTTCATTCAAATCACAGTAAATTCATTTTAATTCACTATTATTCACAATCATAATCAGTAAAATGAAGGAATATGAACAGGTATGCCTTTGACCTCGATGACTTGAATCAAAAGGACCAAAATAACTTTATATTTACACCTGTACCACTAGCACGAGCATGAAATACACAAAAATCAGGTAAAACATGTACCAATTTTTTCGACTTCTTTGCAAATGATGCCATCTTGTATTGAATTTTATGAAAAGTTACAATTTCCCCAGAAAAAATTTTTTAATCTAAATTGGTCCCCATTTCATCCATAATTAGTAAAAACTGCTGTAAAACTTCATAAATTCATAATTGCACAAAAAAACTGTGGCCAATGTTTTCGACATGTTTGCCAAAGACAACATCATGTATCGAATTTTGTGATCAAAATATAATTTTCTCGAATAAACTTATCAAGCTTTAATTTTTTGTTTTAATTCACATTCACAAGTAAGATTTGGAAACCGAATAAAAATTCACTCAAATTTTTATATTTATTTTACTTCAAAGATAAAGTTCAGAATATGTTTGAGATGATTATGGTAAAACAACAAGAAAAATTACATTAATTAGTGATAATTCAATTTTATAAAGAAATGTAATTCCCTACAGTAAAATTCTGAAATTCGATTTATGTTTTATTTTATTTCATAATTTAATATATAAACTGTCGCTGGATGTCGATAAAAAAATTCATTCAGATTTCAATGCCAAATACAAATTCCGACAAAATTTTGCAACGTTCACGACCTTATAAGATAAAAATTCATTAATTTTCTATATAAAATTGTCTAAAAAATTATAACTTTGTCGAGCAAAACTCAAAATCTGGTTTGACTTTATTTCATAGTTT